ATGGTCAAAAGAAAGAGGTTCCTCCACCCTGGTTCGAAATATGCGAATAAAAAGTAATTTTTGATTATTTTTTTATCTTTGAAAAAGTTTTTAGATGAGAGCGATGGAACGTTCGCTGCGTAACGTCCCAAGCCATCGATTCGCAGGCCCTTATTAGAAGACTTTTTTTCCGAGGCTAATGGATGAATGAAGGAAGAAATTGTGTTCAACACTATCGAGATTCTGCTAGCGCAACTGTACACATCTTTATATTGTTGAAAACCCACTTGCAAGAATATGAACATCATAATTTCATGTAGTTTTTCTGAAAAGTCGAGACTATACTGGAAATCGTTATGCGCGATCAATTATTCAAGCTACTTGTAATTATATTTTTACCTAGCCCTTACCAGGTAACTACGCAGGCACTTGTTTGCAAGTTGAGTTGCAACATTTTTTTAGATAGACCTGGATAGGGATGCTTGAAAACAAAAAAAAAGTTTACCTACTGGGTTTCAAAATTTGCAGAGAAATAGGCTCACTAAACTGCACAGAAAAAGATTTGAAAAAAAATACTTTTTATAATACTACTTTTTCATTAGATTGAAGTATCAGAACTCTTGCAAGTGGAAATTTTTTTATTGTATGTCATGATGTATTTTTTTGATATTTCTGCGTTTTTGAAATTGTTCCATGTTTCACTTTTTTTCACTGTTTCTGAACTTCCGGGTCTTCTGAATCTTACTATTTTTGCAAAAACCCCCGGTTGTTTTATTACTGGAAATAATTCGAGTCATTGTAATTATTAAACATAGCTTAAATTTTTACCATTCTCACGTTATCTTTTTTTCCTTTCATTATTGATTGATACCATGAAATCCAATGCATCTTAAAGACTTCAATTGTTGTAAAGTGTAAAATTAGTTCATTTTAGAAATAAATATAGTTTTTTTCCAAGTTTTTCTGTGTTTGTTCAGCCTCTTTGAGCTGCGACACTCACAGGTTGCTTGTATTTTTTTGTTTAAATCAAGCTGAAAAATTCAATGCTATGGATAAATAGAAAAAAAGCTTGAGTTAAATAAAAATACAGGCGACCTTTGAGCGTTGTAACTCAAAAAGAGGAAAAATAAGAGGAAGGACGAGGAGGAGAAAGGAAAAGGATATCACGAATGCGTGCTCCATGGATAATTCGCGCAACCCTTGCGCCTCTACGCGCAAGCTTGCGGCTAACATGTGCACATACTCGCGCAATTCACGGCGCAAGCCTGCGAAATCCTCGCCGCAAAGTCGCGCCAGACGGGGGAGAACCCTCTGTTTGTTAATGGAGCGCACTTTCTGGTCAATAAAGCTTGAGAAAAAGTCGTGAAAACATTTAACCCGAAATGTCACAGCCGTACTTCGAAAATATGTGAAATTTTTTATACTTGATTCACTTTTTTCCTGCTTTCGTACGAAAAACTGGAACGTATAAACACAACTTCAGAAATTTTTTTTTGAAAACGTTAAAACTGGAGCGCCCTCAATAGAACCTCGGTAACCCAAACCAGACGCGTCCCCGACGTTTCCAAGAAGTTCTAGGGACCACTTAAGAGAGCTAAAGCTGCTTAAGGGATCACTAGAACATCATCAGTTCATCATCATCACCTAGAACTGCTCAGAAATGTCCGGTTTGCCTCATCGAAACCCAATAACTAGTAAGTCTACATCTTACCCTTCACTTCAAAAGCTCAAAAAAGTTCTTTCAGTGGTTATTATTGATAAAAGATCTTCATGAAGCCCTTCAAGCCGTAAGTAATCCCAATAATCGCTTCTTAGTGTTCCTCAATATCTCTAATCCAACTTTCCGGCCCAGGTCATTTGAAAAACTTGTCGGATCTGGAATGAACTTTTTCTGAGACAAAGATTTAGTGATCCCTTAAGAGGTTCATCAAGGACTACTTAGAGAGGACACTAAAGTGACCACTATAACCACCTCTAACAAAGCCATTATTTTGCGTCTTAGTGGCCACTGTAGTAGTTTTAGCAGTCTGGTGATACCAATTAGACTTCTAAGTGGCCACTTGTGGTCACTAATTCAACTGCCATAATAAACCCTAAAACGTCAAAACCCTGAAGTGGCCACTTTAAACTTTTCCAGTCCCTTACTGATTTTTTTTCAAGAGCGCTCCCTCTGGTCTGGGAAAATCTTCAGTCATCACTTAAGAGGTTCATCAAGGACTACGTGGAGAGGACGCTAAAGTGGCCACTATAACCACCTCTAACGAAGCCACTTTTTTGTGTCTTAGTGGTCACTCTAGTAGTTTTTAGCAGTCTGGTGATACTGATTAGACTTCTATAGACGTCAATTTTTTTTAGCCAATTGTGTCCACTAAAACGTAAAAAACCCTAAAGAGTCCACTTAAACCTTTCCAGTTTCTTATTGAATTTTTTGTAAATGTCAAGTGAACTCATTTTGATCATTTGAAAACTGCAAAAGCTGTCATGAAAATCACATTTGGCCTAAAAATGACCCAAATTTGCTTATTATTAAAAAATTTGTTTACCACGACTTTTTCCTGTCCCAAGCTCAACATTTTTTTCTTTTTTCTGTCCCAAGCTCACCATTTTTTTTTCTTTTTTCTGTCCCAAGCTCACCATTTTTTTTTTTTTTTCTGTCCCAAGCTCATCATCTGTCCCAAGCTCACCATTTTTTTTCTCTTTTTTTTGTCCCAAGCTCACCAAACATTGAAAAATCGACTAAATACTCATAAAACGATCCAGAAAAAGCCCCCGCAAACGAGTCTCGAAAACAAGGTTCGCCCATTTCGCCACCCTCCTTTTGTTCATGCCAGGGGGGCCGATTATTGAGTTTGGAGCATTCCTCGGCTCCTTCTGCAGCTCGAAAACGATTCGTCATCCGTGTTTCGACTGCTAATCATCACCCCCTACACTCGCCCGAAGCTCTCCATCCCCCGGAATTCGCCAAAGGAGAAATCAAGTCGGGAAGCCGCCGGCCATGATTTGCATGTCCCCAGGGGCTGTACACCGAAAAATGAGGCTTCCAGGGCGATGACAAGTGCCGAGAAAAATGCCTTTTTTGTTCAGAATTTTGAGTTCCACACCGAAAATAACGTCGTAATTTGAGACCTCTTCGTATTTGGATGCATTTTTTGATGGATGCTAGAACTTATAGCAGAAATTCTTTTTTTTTTTGAATCAAACTCAAACCTTAGCCGTCTGGAATCTTTTAAAAATCAAGAAAAAGCGACCAAAGATTTATTAAAACAATTTTTGCATCAAATTCCTTTTTTGAACTTCGGACTATAGAAAAATCCGAGTTTTATGCTCTAAAACTTTTATAAATTCACCATTTCCTTTTAAAAAAATTGTACAAATAACTTCCTTGAAGAGGACACTAAAGTGGCCACTAAACCCACCTCTATAGTGGTCACTAGAGCTCTCAAAATGACCAATTGAAAAAAATGACATTTTTCAAAAACGAAAAATTTTCTTTTTGACATTTCAAACGAATGTCGTTTTTGAAAGATCAACCAAAATTGATCACTTTCATTTTTTTCATTTTGTGACTTTTCAAATAATGACTGAAAAATAAATGGTCATTTTCTAAACAATCATATTCTGACTAGTAAATAAATGTTCGTCTTTATGACCAAATTTTTCAAAGTGAAAAGTAAATGGTCACTTTTTTGACCAAAATTTTCGAAACGAATTTTAAATGTTTACTCTTTTGACCAAAATTTTCAGAAGTGAAATTTAAATGTTCATTTTTTTGACCAAAATTTTTCAACAAGAATTTTTAAATGTTTACTTTTTTTCGTACAAAAAAAATTTTTTTCAACTGTGAAAATTAAAAAGTTCATTTTTTTGGCCGATAGTTTTTCCGAACCTGGATTTTTCCGAACCAAAATCCAAATCAATACTTTTTTTCTTTCTCCTCATTCAATTAATTCTCCAGATAGCACCTTTCTTCCGTTCTGCTCATTTTTTTGACCGGTTCCATATAATGTTTTCCCGTCCTTAACCGGCTTTTTAGCTTTCCCCTTGACCATCCAAATCACTGTTTTTCCAACAGATTTATTAATTTTTAACCAGAAATTAGTTTGAATTTCGAAGTAATCGATTCATGATTTCATTTTGGAGTAGACTGAGACAGAATTGACTCCGGCACAGATACTGCCAAGTGCCGTAATTGTAATGAATAAATTAATGAATAAATGTTTACCTTTTTTTAAAAAAAATTTTTCAAAATGAAATTTGAATGGTCACTATTTTGACCAAAAATTTTTTTAAAATGAATTTTTAAATGTTTACTTTTTTTGACCAAAAATTTTTCAAAATGAATTTTTAAATGTTTACTTTTTTTGACCAAAATTTTTCAAAAAGTGAATTTTTAAATGTTCATTTTTTTGACCAAAAATTTTTCAAAAATGAAATTTGAATGTTCATTTTTTTGAACAAAAATTTTTTTCGAAAAAAATAAGTAATTGTTCATTTTTTTAAATGCTCAGTTATGAAATTTAACCAAAATGAGGTTTTTTTAACAAACAGTTCATGTGAAATTTAACTAATTGGTCGAATTCATCAAACGTTCGGAAAATGTTTGGTTGAACGTTCGTTTAAACATTTACTTTTGAGAACTCTAGTGGTCACTAATTTCCGTTTTAGTGGTCACTTCAGTAGTTTTTCATCCAGTATTCCTTCCAGTTAATCTGATAATTTTAAAACAAACATATTGGACCAGTTATGACGATTCATTGACCCCTATAATGGCCACTCAATTTTAACCCCTTAAGTGGCCACTAATTTGACTACTATAGTGACGCTAAAACTTCAAAACCCTATAGTGGTCACTAAACATTTTCCCTATTAATGATATCTTCACCTACAAATTTTCAAACCCTACCCAAAAAAGGCTCTAATTTCTCGACCAACTGCGCTCCATTGATAAAACCAACTATTTTTTACAAGAGTTCATTCTTCTTCACTTATACATTCCCCCTGCATTGTTTTTTCCATCGTCCTCACTTGGAAGCCGCCTTTTCATAGGCCATTTGCACACGAGCCATCATTCTGCGATGCCATTCCATATATTCGGACGACGTTATGGAAAGCCTTATATTTTTCTCTGCTTTCTTTTTTTTTTTTGCCCGTGCCATCTTATATGTAAGCTGCACAGCAACAACAGCGATCGTTGCGTAGGAATGCGAATTTTTTGATGAGTGGAAAAAAATCTAGAAGAACAAAAAACTTTATACAGACTACCCGTAGAGTTTCATAGAAATTGAGAAAATGCAAAAAAATAGACGCGATCCATTCGAGAAATCCTACCCAATGAAAAAAAATAATAATTTTTTCAAATTAGCTCCATGGTGAAGTTTTCAAATTTTTCGCGGCCATTTTTTTCCCAGTTTGAAAATTGGTCAAATTACCTGACAGGTGCATCCGTGGCTTGGAATTAAGTATGAAAAATCCCTTCAAAAATTTAAGAAAAATAGGGCCGAAAAACTATTTTTTAAAGAAAATAGGGCTGAAAAAACTTCGAAAGTTCGCTCCATGGACAATTTCAGGGGCTTTCTTCAGAGTCCAAAAAAATTTCCCAAAAATCACAACCTGACAGGTTAATCCGTGGCTTGGAATTAAGTATCAAACTCATTTCAAAACTGAATAAAAATTCCGAAAAATGAGATCCAAAAAGCTTCGAAAGTTCGCTCCATGGACAATTGCAAGGGCTTTCTTCTGAGTCCAAAAAATTTTCCCAAAAATCACAACCTGACAGGTAAATCCGTGGCCAATCGCTTATACACATGTCTCATACTATCGGAATACTTTTTGAAGAGCAAAAACAACATGATCAGAATACACACCACCGTGATTGAGAAAGTAAAAGTGGCGATGAGAATTGGGAAGAAGGATCGTGTAGAATCTACACAAGGCTGTACGGTAGTGAGGTACGGTAACAGGGGATATTGCCAAGAACCGGCAAAACAAAAGTAAAAAGTCGGGTCGGTGATCTGGGACTGGTTCAGAAGATGTGGGACGACGTCGGTCAAGGAGCAGTCGCACCTCAGAGGATTCAAGTCCACTCGAAGGTCCCTCAGAGATCCAAGCTTCGTGAAGTTGGAGGTGAACTGGATTCGGTTCTCGCCGAGGTCCAAGGTCCTTAGAGTCTTCGGAAGCGAGTCGGCGTCCATCGTTCGAATCTGGTTGCCTCTGAGGAGCAAAGATCTCAAGGCGCTCAGGTGGGTCAGGTGCAAGGAGTTCGAAAGTCCGCAGTTGGACAGGTCCAGGTCCACAAGACTCGTGAGTTCGTCCAGGTGGTCAGACCAACAGGTAGCCTCACACCTGGAGAAGAGGGTAGGGTTTGAAGCGAGGCGGAGCTGCTGGAGCATCGGAAGGCCGGTGAAGAAGACCGGGTCCAGGAAGACCAGATTGTTCGAGGAAAGGTCCAGGAGAAGCAGGGAAGGTAGGACTGGATGAGGAAGGACCGAAAGTTGGTTCGAGCTCAGGTCCAAGGAGATCAGCTCCATTCCGATCGACGGGAAGGCGGCGGCGTCGATCTTAAGTTATCACTTGAGTGATGTTCAGTTGGACAACACGGCACGACAAAAAAGGATCTCTGAAAAAACCACTCGGCTTGTCCCTAAACTGAAAAATTCATTCTCAAAATAATTTTTGAAAAATTTCCCTGACACGAAAATCTCCAAAAACAAGGATTTGGTGGACCCCATGTTTTAGCAAGATTGAAAAAGCTATCAAAAATCCGGAAAGCTCAGAACTTTCCCAGAAGATTTGAAAAAATGATCGAAAATATTTCCTAGCACAACATCAGCTTTATGAATCCACGAAAATCGTGTAAATCTCTCGAAAATCCTCAAAACTTCTCAGAGTTTCTGAGAACTTCTCAGATTATAAGATATGCAAAATCTTTCTCGGAATATTACAAAACAGCCACGAAAACAACAATATACAGCTCAAGTGCACTGAATGAATGGCTGAATTTTTCAAAACGAGGCCTACTTCCAAAAAATTTAGCTTTTAATGAAAATTTTACGGAAAAGTTTTTTTAAAACGGCTTACAACACCGTCCAAAGTCTCATGATGATTCTTAATAAACCATTTTCAAAAACTTCCTAAAGATCTTCATTTTCCAGGATATGTTTTAACGGGCTTCTTGATGGCATTTTTGGAAAATTAATTCATCTAGTCGTTCCAAAATCAAGCATCAATGGAGCGCAAAAGCTTCAGCTTTTTCCAAAAATCCTTCCAGTGAAGTAAAGATCGTGAAAAACTTCAAAATGACCCCAAAAAGAAGCCAAAAACCTGTCCAATCTTCTAATTTTTGACAGTTTCACAGTTTATTACAAACCTTACGATTTCAAAAAATATTATTTTGATTCAAATGACTTTTAACTTCTTAGACACTTCGAAGTAATAACTTAAGTGGCCCGGGAAAAAAAAAAAACGAAGAACAAACGCCAGAGTGGTCCCTACAGGGCACAAAACCGTGTTCTCGGTAATGATTCTATATAGGGGTTGCGGGTCGGACCCCTAAAAGCCCCTGAAACTCAAGTGGTTCCTATAGGGTCTTTTAAATTTTCGTTCTTTGATTTATCGAGTTTTTCGCATGGGCAAGCTTTCCACATTGAGTTCATAGCAAGGTCCCCTACAGGGGCCACTAACTAGACCCCTATACCTTTAAAGGCTCCTAGGGTTGCTCCTAAGTGGTGTTCCTAAGTCCTTGGTGCAATTTTTCAGAAAATGAGCACGAACTTCAAGTCAAAACAACCTCAAGAACATCTCCAAGACCAACCTCTCCGATCTGATTGTGAGACAAGTCCAAGTGCTGCAAGTTGGGGTATCCTTGAAGGGCGTGCGGCCTCAATGACGTCAGCAGGTTGTTGGAGACGCTCAACGTGTGCAAATTCGACAGTTCGACTCCGGTCGACGGCGTCGGCAGGTCGTCGAACATGTTCCGGTCGAGGTGCAGCGATTCGAGGGACACGGCCGCGATGTCGCTGATCGCGAGGAGGTTGTCGCGAGCGAAAAGTGTCCGCAGGGGACAGAACCGGGGCAAGCGAAGTCGTCGCGCTCCGATGCCCGAGATGTCCAGCGAATGGAGCATCTGGCCACAGGTACGCCATTCGTGGTCCTCCAGCTTCACCTGAAAACATCTGACTGAATAGGGACTGAAATTTCTTTTCACTTCACACTTGATTAAAAAAAAAATCTTTTTCTTTGATTTCCTTCAAACAAAACTCGCTGGCCGCACGTAGAATGGCTCAACCTACGATTTAAAAAGATTCTCCAAAATTTGGAGCCCTGTTAAAAGATACTTCTATTAAAAAAAAAAAACCTGGAAAATTTTTGCACAAAAATTTCAAATTTCGAACCGCAACGCGGCCGCGACGCTTCGAGCCATTTTAAATGGACATTAAAAAAATGCGAGGATTTTTGGAAAAATTTGATGCGATGCCTAAGATTGAAAAGTAGTTTTTATGTGAAGACACTTCTATTGAAAAAAACAACTAAAAAGCACCTGGAAATTTTTTCCACAGAAATTTCAAATTTCGAACCGCAACGCTTAGAGCCATTCTAAATAGACCTTAAAATGCGAGGATTTTTTTTTCGATTCGATGACTGAAATTGAAGAGTATTTTTCCATGTGAAGATACTTCTATTTAAAAAAAAACCCCCTCTGGAAATTTTTCATTTTTTTCCGTATTTTTTTCACGTAAGTTTTCCTTTCTCTTCAAATTTATTTCTACTGACCGGTCAAATTCCATTTTTTCTTTTTCTTCACAAAAAAAGACAAATAGAAGCTAATTTAGGGCGAATTTGAACCACTCTGAATCATTTTTTGAGCGAAAAATCGCCTTTTACTCAATTTTCCAGTTAAGACTTTCAAAAAACGCGACTATACACTTCCAAAAATCATCTCCCCGACTGCACAGGAATGAAAAATAAGGCGACCTCGCCGTTTTCTGCCTGACTGATCCATCAGGCGCAAATCCACCCAGCAGTAAACGAACGAAAAAAAAGAGAGGGGAAAAAATAACTGAAAGAAGATGAAAAATGAGTATACAGAGTCGGGGTTAAACCTTGAGTGGCTTTCTTGATTTTTTTCAAAGCAAAAAATAGAATTTTATCTGTTTTTCTGTCAGAAGATGATTTCAAAATTAGGAATTATTTTTTAGATGATGCTCTAACTTGAAGCTGGGCTTCAAAATCCCTAATGGGTAGAAACATAAAGTAGAATAAAAAAATTAAGAGAAATGAATAAAGGAAAAAAAGGGAAACAAAATCTAAAAAAATGACTCACAAGCAAAAAAATTCCATGAAACACTTTTTTTCTGATTATTTCTCTATCAAAATTTTTCTTCCCCTTCCATTTCAGCCATCACTTTCAAAAAAATTCATTCTTTGAGTCATATTTTTTTATGATTTTTCTGGAAGTAAGTGATGTTCCAAAAAAATTTGAAAAAAAGTGATATTCTGCGCTCCAATGATAATCTAGTTGATTTTTTTGGGGTATGAGGCCAAAGATTGTGAAAAAATAGCCTTGAGAAAGTGATATTCTGCGCTCTAATGATAATTTTTTTATTTGTTCTCGTTTTTTTCATGGTTTTTTTCTCTCCAACGATAAAAAAACAATTTTTCACTTTTTATTTCCTTAAATTCAAGTTATACCACCCCCCACCCTCCCCTTCCCAAAAAGAATATTTGATTTATTATGACTCTATCAAAAAAACTAAAAAAATCTTGGAAATACTGTCCGGGCTTCCACCAGGGGGCTTTAAGCCTCAGTCAATTTTGAGAAAATCATAATAATAAAAACCTGAGCATGAGAGACGTTGAGACTTCGGACACGACTCCGCTCCTCCAGCCATTTGTCGAACCCGTCAGGCAGTTTGGCGAAGGAAAGGTCGAAAAACGAGACGTTCCGGAGCAAGTCCAAAAGACCAATTCCAATGTCCAAGTTGTGATTGGCGGCCAAATCGAGGGTGGTCAGAATTGAGACGTTCAGATTCCTCAAGGGGAGTTGTCGACAAGAGCGGCTGCTGGGACAGGCGTCGCTTTCGGCGAAAATCATCGCATTCTCATCGATATTACTCATTCCAACATCGGACATCAACAATTGCCGAGTTGGTGGTAGAATCGTCAGGGCGTTCGATGAATGGATCCGATTGCCGGAAAGATCGAGCTGTTCTAAAACAACGCCTTCCGCTAGGATCCAGGCGATGTCAGCCAGGTTTGAGATTCGATTATTGGCAAGGATCAGAACTCTGAGCTTCTTCAAGCCTCTGAGAAGAGTGGGCGGGAGAGTTTCCAGTTGATTTGCGGACAAATCCACAACTTCCAGGCCAGGTAGAGGAAGCAAGGTGTGGGCCGAGAGTTCCTGGACTCCACACCTGTTCATTCTCAGAACACTCAGACCGGAATGGAACAGGAAATGAGGCGGCTGAGGAAGTTTCAGGCCAGTTAGATGGAGCTGTCGGATGCTTGGGAATAGGGAGACCGTGCGGACAAGTAAAGACGGTTTGATGCAAGTGACCACTTGAGAGCTGAAGTCACATTGACAATGGGTGCAAATATCAGCAATGACCGGGCCATGGAGCAGGAACAGCAGCGGGAGCAGCTCGGCCAGCTGCATTTTGCCGAAAATGAGCCCGCGGGTTGCAGTCTCGCCGCCACGCCCACTTTCTTCCCTCTTTCTTTTCTTCTTTTTTATAGTAAACTCGAGGGTTCACTTGAGGGTTTGGAGCCATATAAAGCTGAGTAAGAGGTGAGTTGTAGTATTTCGTTAAAATTTCCTTTGATACTAAAAAATAATCATTTTCAAGAATCACAAAACTATTTTTAGTGTAACTTTCTGGAGATTAGCTATAAAATTATTAAGAAACTAAAATTGTGCCGTAGTAACTCAAAACTCGGCAAAAACACATTTTAGATTGATAGAGGAAAAAGTCCGCAATTTGACGTCAAGTGTACTGTTTACTGTGTATACACCCCACGTACTGTTTCCATTACCGTTTTTTTCAAATGGAAAACCACGTACTTTTCAATTTTTTTTCAACCAATTTTTTTTTATCTTCTCCACATGAAGTGTATATAGCTGTAGAACATCCAAGTCCATCCGAAAATTTCCAAGGAGAAGTGGGAAGATTTGTGCAGACGGAGGGTCACAAGTTAACGAAATCTCCGATCTCGCGACACAAATCCCGACAAAGAATCCTCCTAATCAGCTTCTTTTCGTCACAAGAAGTCTTCTTCCCTTCCATCGTCCACTTTTCGACGGAGAAGGGTGACATCGGAAAATTGGAGGGATTACTATAGGGCTGGAGATTTGTAAAGAAGTGAGAATTATCAAATATTTTTGAGAGATTTTTTCGACAATGATGTGAATCGCGTCGCGACCGCAACGCCTTGCGCCATTTTTAATGCGACAAGATTGTCTAATTTTGAAACTTTAAAAAAAAGTTTGGGCAAAAAAAGACCAGGAGGACTAAATAAGGAATACCAGAACAAAATGATGTGATCTTAGTTTTAATTTTTAGTTTCGGATAGACAAGGTATACTGGAGCTACTATTTATTCGGAGAAGCAAATTGAAAAAAAAAAATCGAAAATGCTGAAAAAATGCATACTTATTAATTTTAATTTCCTCGACTGAAAACAAAAAAAAACTGCTCCTTCCGTAAATTATTTAAATTCCACCTGTTTTTCCCATTAACTTCTAAATAGGATGACCTTTTCTATTCAGATATAATGATGTGGCGGAGATGGAAGACTTACGAAGTTTGTGAAATTCGAAAAAAAAACCTTAAAAACGAGATTTTTTTGCTGGATTTCGCAGCGACATGGCTGAGTTTAGACCTTCATGAATCAAAAAAACTGAAAAAAATTGAAATGAATGTTTTTTTAACTTTGAAGATTGACTAGTGTTAAAAAAATTTCTTAATAATAAAAAAATAAGTTCATGCTTTCTTCTAGTGAACTATGAGACAGTAGAAATCGAAAAATATGGAAATTTTAATTTTTTTTCAACCATTTTTTATGTCGTTTTTCAGAGTAATTTCGGCTTTTTTTCGAAATTGACGCGTTATTTGTATGGAATGATGTCGCGAAATACGCAAAATTGGAATTTCGGAAGTTTTGCGTTCTACCACGATATATCGCATGTGACTTTCTTGCACAAATATAAAATTTGCACAAATAAAAAATTGTTTGGTTTAAAGTTTGAAGTTTTGCGCGCCGTTTTAAGAACAAATTTTTCTAACAGCTCCCGCAATTCCAATATTTCGTATCACGCGAAACCATTTCAACGCGTCAATTTTGAAATCGTCGAAATTACTTGCCTTAGTGGAACTGGTATATTCCAAACGATGTATAAATTTGAACCAAAGCCAGCCAAATCATCAAATGAGCGCCGAAAAAGCTACCAACTAGCAAAATTCAATCTCGGACCTTGGTAACGCGAAACGGACGTGCCCTGGACGTTCCTGAGCGATTCTAGGGATCACTTAAGAGGTCTGAGGCTACTAAAGTGGTCACTAGAAATGCCCCGACACGTTTGATACGCGTCCCGTTCGCGTTACCAAGCTCCGACATCTTTTCACGCTCAAAACGTTCGCTTTCCCAGAGTTTCACAAAGAAAAGCGACGTTCGTAAAAGACAGCAATTATCAAGAGTCATTACCTTTTTTCAAGAAGTTCAAGCAAGAAATCTTCGTTTCCTCCCGTTCAAGGAAACCCCGAAAAAGGTGAGAAAAATGGTTAAGGAACATTTATTCTTGGGTTAATCATAGTATACATAAGTGAGGTGGAAATATCGACAATGATAGAGGTCATTCGCCGCGACTTGTAAAATTCTGACTTGTCTGCGCTCTCTTTTCAAATAAAAAGCACGTAAAGAAGAGAGGGTGCAGAGAAATCAGACTTTTTTGAGCCTTGACGAATGGGTTTTAGTATACAAATTTACAATATCGTGACATGATTCAATTCTTCAATTTTCTTATTTTCCCTGGTTGATCGGGTTCTTCAAAGACCAATCGTACGCGTTGCGGAACATTTTGATCCACGGCGTCAGGTCGTTATTTCTCGCCAGGTGTTTGTTCGGATACTCGGGCCATTGCCAGGTGAGGAAGGAGCTGAAATCGACAAATCGTTCTTTGTTCTATTCAGAGAAGGAAAGTAAAAAATTCAATTAAAACTCCGAGTAAAGTTCATTTATTTGTGGTTGCTCTCATCTAGGGGCTAGAGCACGTTCTCCGGGTTCCATCTGGAGCTTAGCCTGAGCCAGCTTGTCTTTTTTTTTTTTGCCCGCAGTACTGTATTACTTAGATCGTGGGTCTTAAAGCGGATAGGCAAAAACATCTAGGTCTCGAAGCGAAGGGAGCAAAAAGCTTTGTATTCTGTAGAGTTTTCTACTTTTTTCAAATTATGACAAGTTTAGGCGAAGTTCACTATACAACATCCCCTATAACCTGAGCTCTTTAAGGCGCACTTGGATGAACTACGCGCAGTAGAACGAGCCGAAGAACAGTAAAATCGTGCTTTCAACATGATCAACTACAGGTTTGGACTTCTAGTTCGCCAAAGGCGGTCGTTTAACAGAACTTGAAAACTTCTTGTTCGTCATTTATTCGATTAAATCTACTACTACAACAAGAATGAGCATTGATTGGTTGATTAAAAAGACAGAATGAACCGTTCAGGACGGGGCATCATGTAGGATTATGATTTCAACATGAAAAACTACAGGTTTGGACTTCTAGTCCGCCCATGGCAGTTTTTTGCTATCGCTCAAAAATTTCTTGTTTATCGCCTAGCCTATTTCACTTATTACTAAAAATAAAAATATTGATTGATGGATTGATTGAAAGAAAAGGTTGAACCGTTCAGGATGAGGCATCATGGCGAGATGTCGTCCGTCGCTGCTGCAGATGGCGGCGATGTCGTCCTCGGATCCGCTCGGATTCTGCGGATACGGTAGCGTCTCACCGAACGGTGTTTTCTGCCCGTGGTGGTCAACGTAACGCAAGCCGACTTGTCTGTTCTTTGCAAAATTTCCCAGGACGTCTGGGTTTTTCGTAGTGAATCGGCCTGAAAATGTCAAAATTAATAAAAAAAAACTCGTCTTTTCGAATTTTTTCATAGTCTATTCCGCGCCAGACGTCTTTTTTCTGGCCAAAAATAGATACTGTTCACCTTAAAATCACAGGTCTCGAAGCGAAGTTCATTAAATAGCTATGTATACTGTAGTTTTCCCTACTTTAAAACTGACAAGTTCGGTGACAATTCAAGCTGACCTAATCTGAAGGAGAGCTTCTACAGCACTCGTTCAAATTTTTAATGTGAAACTCGAAGCTTCTAGAAATTATTAACAGTTAAAGGTACGTTTATTAAAAATACTCAAAAATCAGCAAATAGATAAAACCCCCACGTTAAGGATAAATCACTATCCATTTTACTAAGATAACTTCTAAAGCTCATAAAAATTATAATTTATTGAATCTTAATTTGTATTGACTATTTAGTAGAGTCATTATACTCTCAATCTTAAAAGATAAAATGGAGAATTTCCAAATTTCGTCAAGTTTCCGTGTAAAATCTTCACTCGAAGTTGTCTCTCTTTCATTTCGAGGCTTCCAGCTAGAGAACGGTCTCCGGGCTCCAGCTACAACATCCACTACATTCTGAGCTCGTCAAGGCGCAACTGAATGAACTACGTGCAGAGGAACGAGGCGAAGGACCGTATGACTATGCTTTGAACTTGATCAACTACACTGGACTTTTAGTTCGCCGAAGGTTTTTTAAAGCTCCGTGGAGAATTTCCAAATTTTTTTTTAAAGCTCCGTGCATGATAAAGAAATGCGAGCGCGGTGTGGTATTCCGATTCGGCGGCCGTAGAGCAGTGTGAAGACGGTGGAATGAAATGAGCGAGGTCACAGGTTCGGACCCCACTCTATGCAAACTTTTTTTTGCAATTTTTCTTTTTCTTAGATTTTCTTGTAAGTGCTCATTTTTTGAGTTTTGAAGAGTGGTAACACGAAAACCCTTCGTTCTGGATTTTTGTGACCCATGACTCCATTCTCTCATCACTTTTCAGTTCACCTTCTCCATTAGCGACCCAAATTCCCAAGACGGCGTCTTTCATTCCCTTGAGCATCATCGCCTCAGATTCCTCCACACGAACCGAGCAGAACGACGACTCAAAGCGGCCACAAAGATTGTCATTGAAGAAAAAGTTCAGATCTTCGATAGCTGAAAGAAGAACGATTCGATGCAAGTTCTATCATTCAAAACTTACGGTTCTCCCCAATCCAGCCCAAATACGCCATCAGCTGGCAACCATTACATATCCCTAACGAGAAGGAATTTTCTCGTGCTCGGAAATCATCAAACTTCTTTTTGAGGTCTCCGTTGAGAATCGACATTGCCCAGGCTACAAAAATCTCCTGTTTTTGAAGTTTACGAAGAGAAAAATATATTTTCAATCAAAAATTTGATATTTTTTCGGCTTTTCAGAGCTGTGCAAATGCTTGTAAAGAAGAGATTTTTCGAGTTCGTTTTAAAAAATTCCAAACAGTACCTCTAGCCGATCCACCGACATCCGAAAAAGAAAATCCACCAACGAAGGCGACTCCGCTGAAAAAAAGCCCTTCTTTTTTGAAAAAAAAGTCCCTTTTTTGAGTTTAGAATATTGCTTAATTTTTTTCTTTTTTTCTCGAGCGACATTCCAAGGAATTACATTCTTGAGAAGCTCTGAATTAAAAAAACTCGATGATCTTTATTTTTTTAAAATAGCCACTCAAGGGATGAAAAATTCGAAGCAATCGATTAATCCTCCTTTTTTTCTGTGAAACAATCAAAATAAAAGAAAACAGCTCCCCAAAGTTAATCTTCTGTTTAAAAAAAAAAATTATAACCAGCCTCTTAAGCTACAACTTGGCAGTTCTCAGTGATCACTTCAGTGATTAAATAAAATGAACAAGTTTTTTTCTAAAATTAAAATGTCTTTTAAAAAAACTGTCTCATTTGTTGTTTAGAGGAGCGTGATCTTTATTTATGAAGGTTACTAGGTGAGGAGCCATGTCCGGTGTTATTTTACGTTTTTTTTAAACTTTGATTTTCGTTACTTCTTGGCTCCAATAATGGTTCTAAAAATGTCTCCAATAAAAGCGCTTCTTCAAAAAGTTGTCACTGGTTCTTGACAACTATTGGCGACCACCAGAGGACCAGAAGGTTTATCGATACCGTTTTTCAAACTACTTCAAACCAAGATTAAAACCCAAGAAAATGAATAACTTTTCATCAAAGAGATCATCAAAAAAATAAATAATAAAATGCTTATGAAAAAGCTCGAAATTTAGCCAATGTCTCTTTTATTAGGCAAAAAAATCTTTACAACGCTAAAAATTTCTTCTTGACCTGCTCCATTCTTAGAAAATCAACAGTTAAAAAAAATGCTAATTTGAACCCCGCCAAGCATATTTTTTTGGATTTTATATTCTTATTCTCCTTGGAGCATATTTCATGATGAAACTTGCCCAAGGCTATAATTTTCTTTCCTTTTTTCTCCTCTGCTAGAAAAACACACGAGATTCAAAAATTCCAAAATTTCTTTGTCTAAAAAAATAGAATAAATTTTTTTTTTTTTGGCCAACATCAAAAAAATTCATATTTTTTTGAAGATATCAGAGCTCATTTCTCAATTTTTTTAATTAATCATTTTTTTCCTTGAGATTCCCAGGTAGTTGTGCCGAAAGTCCGTTGCAATCACACTTCAATGCCCCCAATTTTCATCTCAAAAGGCTAATATTCAAATGATAACCCCATTCAGTTCAGTAAAATGAAAAACATGACGCAGGACAGCCCAAGGAGGAAGAAATCGAGAAATCGAACGATCGAAGAAAAAGTGTATGGCCGCACCCCGGGGTGGGATCCAGCCAACGTATGTTACTTCAAATAACTCTTTAGGGTAACTCGAACGGGTCACATTTTCCTTTATTTTTCCCCTTGTGAATGAGTGAATCCGTACTTGTAGCCCTCAAGAGAATGTCCATTGACCAAATCGTTCATGGTGACGTCCCATGTCTGGAATCCGGCGTAGGTGAAGGCGGCGGCCAGTTCTCGGTCGCCGTTGGATCCTTCCTCGCGGATGATCGCCACTTTTGGTGCTGCGATTCAACAAAATGTCTATGGACTCGTTTTTTGTACTGCACTTTAAAGGGATGTTTTTTGTAAAAACTTTTTAATTTCTTCATTTTTCCAAATTTGAGTAAAGCCCGACTTGGAAGGCGAGAGAGGCGGGGCAGGAGGCGCGACGCGTAACGTGTGCGTACGCGGTTCTTGGCAAGAGTTCAATTCAACCGCCAGCGGCTGTTTAAAAAGGCTCGTTCACCGCTCTTTCTTTATATGTTCTACTATATTTTTAATGCGCACATGAAAAAAAATCGATAAATAATTTGAAAAAAAGTGAAAAAGAGCGATAAAGGAGCTTTCCAAATAGTCGCTGGCGGTTGAATTAAACTCGTGCCAAGAACCGCGTACGCACACGCTACGCGTCCCGCCCCTTTGCCCGCCTCCTTCGCCTTTCAAGTTGGGAAACATTGACTAAACAGGTTCAATAGAAAATCCACTTCTACTGCGTTCCCAAGATCATTTTTTAGATAACTTCCTCATCTGAAAATTCCTACTTTGAAAAAAGTATAAAAATTCAGTTCAACCGTCACCATAAGTCCATTAAAAATCACTTTGTCTTCAAAAGATTTTTCAATTTTAGTCAAACTTCTCATGGTTCACACTGGCCTGTAAGAAGATTCTAATAAAATATTCCTAGCTCAACTCGCGTTTTTCTGTTTGCTTCCTTTTTCAAAACGAACCTTGTGTGAAAAAATCGGAATCTTGGAGGAAACTTATGTTGTGATTCCAGTCAAAGTCAAGGTTGTATTCGACCTGGTCGATCTTCGCACGGAGCGCCTTTTCCTGTGCCAAACAGCCGATAGTGGTCTGATAGACGCCGATTCGGTGGCCCAACGTCTCCCAGCTCTCGCGGAGGTTTCTCGTCGAATCGTAGAGCAATCTTTCGCCGTTCACTACGACTTTCACCTGCCGATCCCGATAAAGGTAAGTTTTTTTCAGAAATGATGTTTATTCAGTCAAAAAAAAAAACTGGGTCTCAGACAGCTCGGAAGTTTGGGCCCGAAAACTCCGATCTCAAAAAAAAAAAGCTTAGAAATAGTTCCTAATTTTATTCTGCTTAAATTTTTGCCTGCTTATCGTGGTTAGTTTCCCAATTCACTGGGAAAATGTTTAATGGCCACTATAAAGGCTCGCCAAGGACTACTTGGAGAGGACACTAAAGTGGCCACTGAATCCACCTCTATAGTGGCCACTATTTTCCGTTTTAGTGGTCACTATAGAAGTTCTCTATTTAGTGGCCACTTCAGTAGTTTTTCATCCAGTATTCCTTCTAGTAACTCTGATAATTAAAAACAAAACAGATAGAACCAGTTATGTTGATCCATCGACCCCTCAAGTGGACACTAAAAATTTTAGTGGTCTAGTGGTATCACTTAGACCTCTATAGTGGCCACTAAAACGTCAAAACCCTATAGTAGCCACTAAAAATTTTCCCAGAGAGTTTTTCCTTTAGATCTTTAGATGCTTGAATTGTGTTCTGCTTAACTCAGTTTTTGTCTGCGGAAATCCCTTTTTAAAATTTTTTTAGAAAACCTTCTAAATTATTAACCAAGTCTCAACCTCAAAACCTTCCTAGTTATCAAAAAAATCTTCAAAGTTATTATTTTTCTTAAAACGAAGCTGAAAAATTCAAACTTTGTTCTCAAAAGAAAAAAAAACCTTGTAGGTTTACAGGGCATCTGAATAGTACGTCATACTTCCGCGAGCTTTCAAATTTAAGAAAAAACTATCTAATTTTCAAAAAGTCAAAAATTTCTAATTCTTTAGAGCTATTCATCTTTTTCAACTATTAGAGCTATTAATTTTTTTCAACCAATAGAGCTATTCATTTTTTTTACATTGATGTAGATGCTTATTTTTTCGAATCAATTCGTAGAGTTTAGTCTGTTTTTCTTGTTGCTGTCAAGTCGTTGGACAACATACGAAAGCATCTTTGCCGAAGAGGTTTAGTGGTACGGCAACCACTTTGGAGATGAACCCGAGATCGTTCAGCTTTTTGTTGATGTCTTTGGCCTTCCAATCATCCACTTCGATTAGAACACCGCACTCTTCGGAAAACAACGTTTGGAGATAATCTGAAACCCTTTCACTCTTATTCTTTTCTCAAACTGAAATTGGAGAACTAAACGAAAAATCTCAGACCTAAACTTATTCTACTATATTGTATGATTTTTTGAGGCATTCAAATCAGTGAGGACGTTAGTGAGGCTACGAAAAAAACGAGTTTTTTTTTTTTGGAAAGAGTACTGTATGCGGAAGTCCGCATTTGGCGCGTGCACCTTGCGTGTTTGCACATTACGCGCTCCATCTCCGCGTCACCCAACATAATTTCCGATATCGCAGCGGGCCGCAGGCGATATAGCCAAGGCTTCTCGCTGCGATCTCGTCAGCGTGTCGCTGCCATATCGCTCTCTCTCAAAAATTTGAAAAACATTTTTTTGCTTTATTTTTGACTTTTATGATGAAATCAATCAAATTCAAGGAAAAAAAATTTTGAAGAAAAAAATTTTTTTCAGAGAGCGATATAGCGCAAGACGTTTGCGAGGTCGCAGCGAGAGGCGAGCGATATTGCTAATAGATTTTGTTTCCGAGTTATGAAGCTTCAAAGCCCGCAAAATACGCAAATTATGACAAAAAAGCGCTATTTTAGGCTTTTGAATTGTCCTAACTCGAAAACTAGATCCAATTCAACAAAATTTTCTGTTGTTCTGGAACCAGGAGACCCTAAAGTACACTTTAGCAAAGTTTCATCAAAAGTTCATACGGAGGGTGAAAAACGTTTCCTAGTTTCATGAGAAAAAACCTTTTTCAAAGGTCGCCATCCCCTAATTCTTCCTCAATTGAAGCCATCACTACCTCCCTGAGATTAAAACGAGTTTTTATTGCTGGAAACATAGTCTCCATGAGCTTAACGGCATAGGGGCAGTAAAAAACGGGGTTTCAGGTGAAATCAGTATCAATATTTTGTAGAGCTTTTCATTGCGAATCGAACCGTTTACTTGAAAATTTACAAAAGTTCCTATTTTCGGAGAAACAGTTGTTCGAAATAAGAGAGAAAAAGTTTTAAATTTCCGCGTTTCGCAGTAAAGTTGCTCTGTGGACAAGAGGCATTTTCTGGCTTTCGTTTCTTTCAATTTTGAATTTTTTTTTTCTGTTGTGACCAAATTTCTCCGTCACAAGAATTTTCAATTCATGTATAATTTGCAAATTTTATTCGCAAAATGCTTCTGCGGTGAAAAATGACGATTTTATACGCTTTTCGGTTGAAATATCGATATTTTGAGTTCACACACGAATAGGATTTTGAAGGCTCAAGAAATGGTGAAAAAAGGGAGAGGCTGCAAAAAGGTCGCCTACGGGCCGAGAAAATGGTGCAAAATGGCAGCAAAAAATGGGCCTTTGTCACCCTAGAAGGACCATTTCTATGGAGCCTTTCTACATCTTTTCCGACTTTTCGTATGCCGGAAGTATGACTATGAACATATTAATATACCACCATGATCCATTTTGAGTTATATGCTCGGTATACGTTTATTACCTGGCTCCGATTCGTCTATTTTTCCACTTATATCGGGGTGTGTTTTTCGCAACTTCTCGTGCACGGGTACTGTAAACAGTTTTCTGTACACCGATCCAGAGCATATTTCAAAGTTTGAAGACGGGATAATAAAATTATGTTGTTTTTCAAAAGAACTCATGGTTATGTTTTTTCGATTACGCCGTTCGTTTCGCAATGAAAAGCTCTACAAAGTACTGCTTCACGGCGTTTTTGTTAGTGGAAGAAAATGCGAAACCAAAAATGAAGGGGGCGGGGTCATAACCTCCGCCGTTCCCATGTGACGTCATGGTAAACACGCGTAAACAACGGGGCATATTAAAGGCGCATGTTCAATGGGTCACGAAACGAATCGTTTTCTCATTTAAAAAAGACGCAATTTTTCTGTTGCCGTGTTCATAGTGATATCGCGAAGTTCAGAATAGCCTCCGGAAAATGAAAAATAGGACTGAATTTGGGAAATTCAGGTATTATTCTGATTTTAGCGAAAACTACTTGAAAAGAATGTGCGAGAGCGCCGCAGTGCATTCACACTATACACTACACTTCACGGAAAAAATATGGGCGGGGCGCCGCCAAAAAAACGCCGTGGCTTTTACCTCAAACCCCGTTTTTTACTGTCCCAATGCCTTTAAAAACCATACTCCCTCGTTATTTTTGAAAGTCTACCCCTTCGCATGGACTAGCTGAGTCCTTCACTTGCCCATGTTCATGTTAATCAACATTTTCTGAAAGACTTTTTTGAGCGATTCCCCAAAACCTCGTATGTCCGGGTTCTCCTTGTCCAAGTTGAACTCGATGTTGAGGCCGCAATTCGCAGCGAACGCCATCTCCAACAGCGCGACCAGAACGCCGCCGTCCGAGACGTCATGGCCTCAAGAAATATCCATTTCTTTCCATTCAGGCCCTCTACTTGTCAGTTTCACAAGCCTCGAAAACCCGTAAAAAGCATCAAAAATCAGCAATTTACCAGAAAAAATAACTGATCTCTCCACCAAATCCTGAATCGTCTCGAACAATAAGCGGAAAAGGTTTATGTCGTCGATGTCAGGTGACTTGTTGCCGGTCTGAAAAAAAAAGCTATGCTGAGAAATGATGATCAAGCATGACGTGCAGGATTTTTTTCGAAAAAAAATCAATATTTTACAACTTATGACAAAGTTTGGTTTTGATGGAATGGTTTTTGAAAGTAGCATTGAAATTGAAGCATTTTTGTTCCGAGAATCCTAAAAATAAACTTTCTTCGACATTTTTCAAAAGGAGAAGCTGCGGCAGAACTTATACTTGCCTCAACATTTTAATGCCGTGTTCAATTTGATTACGCGAAATGCAAAATACCCGTTAGAGAAATCAAAATATCACTAAATTTTGGAGAGTCAGAGATCATTTTGCGTTTCGCGAAATCAAATTGAACACGGCATAATATTTATGAGACATTTTTAACTATTTTTTTCGATTTTTTTAATAATAAAAGAATTTTTTTCCCTAAAAAAAACATTAGAAATTTTTCTCCGAGTATTTTTTTCTGTCTTCAAAACGAACTCTATTGAGAACTTGCGCCAGAGCCGTTCCACCGATTCGCTCATCATCAGAGAGTCGAACATAGATGATTCTCGTGCCGTTAAGATTAGCTGAAAAATAAAACCTAAATTTCTATCAATATAAAAACTGCTTCTTATTGAATATGCATGTAAAAGTTCGCCGAGAGCGAACTTCTCATACCTTGCGGAGCAGGCTTGCCCGTCGGGCTGTGCTGGGCCGGCCCGTTTTCTGCGATGGACTTCAAATAGACTTAAAAATCGCATCGAAAAATTTCTTACACTAACTCTAAAAATGAATCACTACAACTTTAATTCATAGTTCCTGTTCAAATTTTAAGTTAGACCTTTAAAAAGCGGAAAAAACCAAAAACGTGATTTTTGTCGTTAAAATAAAAGTCTACTACTGTCCGTTTTTCGCAACTTCTCTGCGCCCTCCTTTTCTCTCGACGTCCCTCTCATTTCTACGTGCTGTTTCCATGTTTCTCTGACCTAGCCGGTGAGGGAACAGAGAGACGCAGACACGCGAGAACTGTCAAGTCGCGGCGGACGGACGGACTACATTGTATTGAAAAAAGTTGCGCTCTTCTGCGCAGGATGGCCGTTTTTGCTTAAGGTCTCACTAAGGGGCCTGAGCGAGCTTGGGAAAATATCGTAGGGCCGGCCCTTGCACAAACCTAAGTGATCACTAAAGCGGGACCCACGGTTTTTGCTGTTTATTATGGGTGCTACGACAAGGGCGATCCATTTGCGAGGAGTACTGTATGCGGATATGCGCATTCCGTGCATACACTATGCGTGTTTACATTTTCGTTGCGTGACGTCACCAGGTCGGACATCTCCGAGCTTTTTTTTCGAATACTTTTCAACTTTTTCTTTCTTGATACTGTTTTTTATCGTGCAAATATCATCGAGAAAAATGCGAAGCTTGAGAAAAGCAAAAAAAAAAAGTTGAAAATATTCGAAAAAAAAAACTCGGAAACAAAAAACCCGGAGATTGCCGACCCGGTGACGTCACGCAACGAAAGAGCAAACACGAAAAGTGTATGCACTCAATGCGCATTTGCGCATACAGTACTCCCCGCAAATGGAAAACTCGCTCTTGTCGTAGCACCTTATTATGACTGTTCTGGTCGGTTTCCCAAGTACCCGAATGAAAACAGGAATCTAAAACTTACAGCCAGTGGCCTTGAGACGCGGCGTCACGAGCTTGGTAATGTCGGGGACAGTCGCGTAGGACGAAAGGACCAGGGTTGGCGGAGACTTAACGACCGATTTCAAAAAGAGAGATGTTGGATACCTTGATGACATCCTCTCCAACTTTGGTCGCCATACTCAGCGAGTCCTTTCCGCCGTCGATGGCACAGCCGAGCGTCTCTACGAACTAGAAAAGAAAAAGAATTGTGACAGTCTAAATTTCCCGTTTCTGTACAATTTTGATGTAAGGAATGTTTTTTGCCTCAAAAACCAACTTTAAAAGCTTCCTTTTGCTATAGCCGAATCACGGCTAGCTTGGAACGATGAGGGGGCGTGGCCTGTCTGCGCTCTCCACCAACTCGGCACTTTCTAGTTTTCTCCTTTTTGGATGGCTCAAGCCAGCCGTGAATAAGTTATACATGACTTTAAAAAAAACACTGAAAACGGCTCATAGCCTCCACTCTAGGGACCACTTTACCGATCGCTATAGGGGCGAATAAACCTTGCAAAAGAGGCCCCTATAGGGGACATGCTCGTCGATAATTGTTACAGCTGATTCACGGCTAGCTTGGGACACAAAGAGGCGTGGCCTGTCTGCGATCTCCCTCACCCAAGCACTCTCTCTTTCTTTATCGTGCCAGGACCCTTTTTTTTGATAGCTCAAGTCAGCCATGAATCAGCTATAATGTAAATGAAAAATTTTCCAAAAGGCCTGAAAATTGGCCGCATTATAGACTTCGATCCCTCTCAAAAATAAATACTGAAAAAAAAAATCGCCAATGCTATTTTTAACGAGTTTGTTTTAGTGGAAGTGAAGGCGAAACCGAAAACGCGGTGGGCGGAGTCAAAACCTGCGCGGTTCCTTCGTGACGTCATGGGAACGACATAGATTTCGGCTCTACGAGCGTAAAAAACAGGGCATATTAAAGGCGCAGGCTTCCACTCTGCTAAAGGGAATTGAGACGAATCCAATTTTCATTAAATGAACGATTTTTCTACGCGAAAGCGGCGCTGTGCATGCACACAACACACCACACTTTACGGAGAAAAAAAACGCCATTAATGAATAGGTTTCCTTGAGACTTACACTGCAGAGGTGTTCGACAGCCTTGACGAGCCGGGCGCCTTCGCCGTCGCACTTGGCCGGCCACATCCAGTTGGCCGACATTTTCACGTCCTTCAGCGACGAAATCCGGACCCAGGCCAGATTGAGGAGCGACTCCGCCACGGTCATCCGAGTGCCAGCCGAAACGTTGACCAGCATTTTGAAGGGTTGCTCGCCGACCGCTACCGCGCCGCCTCTCTGCATGTTAAAAATCTTTTAAAACGCCAAAATAAAAACCAGGGAGCAAAAAAATAGATGAAATTAGTACAGGTATACACGGTCGGAGCCGTATGCAATAAAGTGGAAAATGGTTTTCCGCCATTTTCCTGAAACTCGAAAATGACTGAATTTAGTCTTTTTTAGACTGAATCTGTTTCTTTCCTATCCAAATCTTCTAATAAAGCCTCATTAAATCCGATGAAGTCAAAATCAACAATTTTCTAGCGAGTTTAAGGCTATTCTCACTTTATTGCATACGGCCTCACATTATTTTTGGAAGCCGCCATTTCCCCGATTCTTTCTATAGAAAAGTCAGTACTATCTTTTTAGGGTAAAACCTAATTTTCCACCCATTTTCTCAAAATTTGTGTAAGTCCTCTGAGCTTTTGATTTTTATGCTTTTCCTCGTACTCGATTGCAAACTAAAATTGGTTATATATTGACCCGCAAAGTTGAAAATAAGTAGAAATCGAGAAGTTGGTGAAATATAGAGAAAAAAGGTTTTTTGACGATTTGAGAGTCTGGTAGCCCGTGGCAGCCCTATATCATCAGCAAATCCACCGGGAAAAATGGCGAAGGTCTCATTTTTGAGACGCCGAAGCAGGATGATTTTTTTTTCAAAAACTGAATCACTTTGGTGAAATGAGACAAGGCGACGACGGCGACGTTTGCAAGTGGGGTATGAAGCGGGCCGACACATTGTTGCTGAGCGACCAAGCCCGTCACCGAACGGTCCACTTTGCAAGTCAGGTATCTGAAATTTAATTCTAATGGTTATTTGATAAGTTAGTTATACAGTTTCCACGACCTGAAAAAAGAGAGTGAGCCAATAAGACCAAAAATGACTGCCGAGATAAAAGGGGGACATATTGACGACCTCGCAAAAAGTGCTGCTGGGGGATAATACAGTATACCCCCCATATATTGGGTACCGCCAATCTGGAATGGGAGGGGGAGGTCATTTCGAAAGGGGAGGGGGGTCATTCTGGAATGGGAGAGGGGCTTGTTCGAATGCTCTGGGGGACTATTTCAAAGCAGTGCGGGGGGCGAATATGAAAGATCGCCTAGGCGTTTCAGAATCGGCCCCTGTTTTGTACTGCGGCGGGCCACAGATTTGTCCCCCGCGTTTGATTTTACCCCCCACATGAAGTCCTCTGATTCAACCACCGCAGATCGGAACTTGGCTTGGTGGGGGGCTGATTAGAACGCGTGGATGGAAACAGTGTGGGGGGGCTGATTAGAACGCGGGGGTGAAAACAGTGTGTGGGGGGGTGATTAGAACGCGGGGTGAAAACAGTGTGGGGGGGTGATTGGAACGCGGGGGTGAAAGCAGTGTGGGGGGGTGATTAGAACGCGGGGGTGAAAACAGTGTGGGGGGGTGATTAGAACGCGGGGGTGAAAACAGTGTGGGGGGTGATTGGAACGCGGGGGTGAAAGCAGTGTGGGGGGGTGATTAGAGCGCGGGGGTGAAAGCAGTGTGGGGGCGATTCTGGTATTTTTCCGTGCTGCTTTGTAGCCGCCACGGGATTTCATTTTTATCGACGCGACTCCGAACTACGCAAACTTTCCTTTTGTTTTTGAATGCAAGAGGAACGCGAGATCGCGCCTAAAAAAGCGTGAGCCGCGCGAGAACAAAACGACATGTTTGCGAGTTCGCCAATCAGAAATTTTCCGGTTTACTGAACATACCTCTTGGAAGCCACCGACGGCAAATGCAAAATTTTGTCCAGAACATCTACAAAATCTATGTGGTCATCTACCAGAATGTTGTTCAGGCTTCGGAGTTGGACACCGACGTGGAACGCCTGGAAAAGTCGCTCATCATTGGATTGAGGAATGAATGAAGGTTTACAAAAGGTTAGCTTTCAAAATTTGTTCAATCTCTCAAAAAGGAGGTCAATAAGCCGTAGAATCATTGCGCAAGTGAGTTTTCCGCAAAAATTGGAAAATTTTGAATTATTCCGGGATTCCGAAGAAACCCTATAATGAGCCCTATAAGGACTCCTACGCTCTTCTTTTAATGGCCCCTTAAATTTTGACCCCTATAGGGGTCCCTAAAACAACAAACGCCTATAGGGACCACTCAGAAATTCCCCGGCATGACTTTTTTTTTAAATCATTGAGGTTCCAAAGTGTACCAGGACAATTTTTTTCTGAAAATAAAAGTTTTCTCTATCAATATACCTCAGAGACATGAAACACGATCTAGAATTGAATCTCGTTTCGAGAAAAAAAGAAAAAAAAACAAGCAAAAACCTAGAAAAACAATCACCAATTTGATCTAATTTTCTCTTCTATCAATTTTTTGAGGGCCTCCTAAATATTCATATTCTGAAACCTTCGTTCTAGGCTGAAGGAACGACGCTTCAAACTGCACAGGTGGTCGCCGATTTGGATTTGCCGCTCTCGAATCATCAAAGTCTTGCACAACTATCTGAATCCAGATTTATCCGTTTTTTTTTTGTTGTAAAACATGAGTTTAGAGGAAACCTAGGAATTATCACTGACGCAATTTTTAGAGCATTTTTGATTCTCTTCAGAGGCCGTATGCAATAAAGTGGAAAATGATTTTCTGCCATTTTCCTGAAAATAGAAAAGGCCTGAAACTCGCTAGGATATCAATGATTCCGACGTTATCTTATGTATTAAGACTTTATAAGAAGATTTGGATAGAGGAAAAACAATTTCAGTCAGAAAAAGACTAAATTTAGTCATATACGAGTTTCAGGAAAACGACGGAAAATTATTTTCCTTTTAATTGTATAAGGCCTCAGTTCTTAGTAAAGATTCCTCTTTTACGTTGTCTATGCGAGATTTTATTTTCGGAGATATAGTCCGTTTAGATTTTGAATGTCAAGTACAATGACGTCATTCAAAAACGTTCTGTGAATGGCTCGCTTTCTGATTGGTTTATCGCGCCATTAGGGGCGGAGCTTGAGCGACTACTTACCATTCAAAATATGAACAAACTGTAGACCTGAAATCAATATTTCGCAATTTTAAAAACTTCCTATGCAAAATAAAAATTTGCACAGATGGCGACCATGACAAACCTTCTTTCGGAAGGGTTTTTGGCAATTTTATGGAAAATTCCAAGCTTCACGATTTGTGAGTTTTCCTTCTTATGAAATTTATATTTTGATTTTTTTTTTCTCCTGTGATGTCATAGGGATTCTCCCTACCTCGTTATGTATTTCTTCATCCTTGCAGTCAACTCGGCCAACAACTTCCACGGGACAACCTTCTCGGAGGCCAATTTTTTTGAGTTTTTCGATGGAACGAGGATCAACGAGGCATGCGTCGCTCTCCTGAAGTTAAGCATTATTTTTTTGGAAAGTTAAGATTTTAAAAATTGAGAAAACTCGGGCAAAGTCGGGATAGTGAATATGGCTACTAAAAGGGAGAGGCTCAAAAAAGGCCGCAAAAAGGCCTCAGAAGGTCAACAAAGAGAGTCCCTTTCTCGAGGCTTCCATTTTTTTTTTTCTGGGATTTTGAAGGCTCGAGAAATGGTGGAGAAAGGGAGAGGCAGCAAAAAAGGTGCATATGGGCTGAGGAAATGGCACAAAAAGGCAGCAAAAAGAGACCCTTCATTACCCTAAAAGGAACATTTCTATGGACCTTTACGGACCTGGGTCATTCCGACTTTGCAAAATAAAGAAACTTCTTTTTTTTTTCAAAAACTTCAAAAAGCAGATATCGATATGAAACAGTGACTGTTTTGAAAAATTTAATTGGACTCTAAGAAAAAAAAAAATTAAAAAGTGGGTGCTTCCTAGAGCTTTCGGACGATTTCAAGGGAGCCCTTAAGAGGCTTAAAAGTCATTTGAGTGATCGTTAGATGGTTTTTCCATTAACTCGGACATTGGTAACGAAAAACGGACGTACTCCGGACGTTTCTGTGCAATTCTAGGGATCATTTAAGAGTGCTGACGCTACTAAAGTGGTCACTAGAAATGCCCAAAAACTTCCGAAGCAATTCCGCTTCGCGTTAAGTTACCAATGTCCGAAAAGCGCTATCATTTTCAGAACGTGGAATAAAGTTTCGGGGAATTTGAGCGGCTCATGCGCTCCAATGAGAACATTTTTTGGTAATCTCAAGAAAAATTTTCTTTTAATGATATAGCTGATTCACGGCCAGCTTGACACGCTAAGGGGGCGTGTCCTGTGTGCGCTCTCCACGAGCCAGGCGCTATCTCGTGAATTATCGTGTCAGGACCCTTTTTTTTTTGGATGGCTCAAGCCACCCGTGAATCAGCTATAAGAAGGGAATTTTCTCAATTATTTATGAAAAAATCAAATTGTTCAGTTTTCACCTGATATTCGGCCGTCCACAGCTCTTTCACCGACAAACTTTCATCTCCGAGGTTGAAACTACTGCAATTGATAGTCGCGCCCATGGGAAGAACGAGCTCCTTGAGAACATTTGCTGAAGATGATCATTTCCAGACTAAAGATTTCTCATTGAACCATTGCCCCCGGCGCCTTGATCGTGAATCGAGAGGATTGGATTGTCTTCTTCGGTTTCGGCACACGCGCGAACCAAGCGATGCAACTTGTTGCCCATTCCGGCGTCGGCGCGTTGGACCGCAGAATATTCGAGGTCATCTTCGCGGGCTCCTGAAGAGCGATGGGACGAATTTTCGTAGGAAAGAAAAATCGTAAAAAGAATCGGCACTCTAGAACGGAAGTTACGGTATAGACGATTTACGGCTAGCTTGGGACGCAAAAAAGGCGTGGCATGTCTGCACTCTCCACCAACCAGGCACTGTCTCGTCTCTTTTCGTGGCAGGACCCTTTTCTCGATGGCTCAAACCAGCCGTGAATCAGCTATAGTAGGATCTTCGCACAAAGAAGTTAGAATAAAAAAGGCAGCAGAGAGATGGTTAGAGAGCATTGTAAACTTGGAGAGATCAGACTCGCCCTCTCCTCGTTCTACACACTGTCTAGGAATCGTAGCACGATTCTGTTCTCTCCAATTTTTTTGTGCTCTCTAAACTGATGAATGCGCGCTGACCTGCCGTTTTCCTTCTAAGGGTTATAGCCCATTCCGCGTCAGCTTGTTACGACTTATTACTTTTCTCCAAGCCAGCGACCCTTCCCTCTTTTCTCCAAGCCAGCGACCCTTCCAATAGGCCTATCTCTGTGTATGCGCCTTTAATAACTTTATTTTAGGCTAAATGAAAGGTATATGCACCGAGACACGAAGGGAAGTTTCTCGGAAGGGTTCTATCTGAGGATTACAGGAAAAATTCTCGAAAAAAAAATCCCGTTTTCTTTTTCTCTATAGTATATAGCCAATTCACGGCTAACTTGGTACGCTAAGCTAGGCGTGGCCTGTCTGCGCTCCACAGCAACCATCTCTTTTTTAATAGTCTCAGGACCCATTTTTCGACGGCTCAAGCCAGCCGTGAATCTGCTATGCACGAAACATGAAGGATTTTTGCTACTTTTTCAAAATTTCATCCCACTTTTCTCTTGAAACAAATCAAGAGTTTTTTTTCTCAAGTTTCTTCTGAGCCTAAAACCACACCCTGAACTTTCAACGAGGAAGCAGCTCCGCCGCCGACGCCGATACGATACGCAGGACCGCCAATTTTCACAATCGGAAGTCCGTCGGACGGTTTGATCTTACTCACGTATCGATCCTCTTAAAAACACTTTTGTTCTAGTTTTTCCAATATTTTCTGGTCAACCGATAGTTCCGATGCCGCCGGAGAACATGATCGGCTTGAGGTACTCGTACCAATCTCTGCCGACTTCCATGCCCAACGAGCGGACGAATCCGCAAATTATTGGCTCGCCAAACTTGTTACCGTAGTCCGAGGCGCCGTTGGAAGCCTCGATAAGGATCTATAGTTTTGAGCGGATAAATTTGCTACGAAATATTTTGTCAGTGCACGGCGTTCCCAAACGGAGTGAGAAAAACGACAAAAAAAAAAAAATTGGCGCGAAAATTGAAATCTCAAGTACGCAGCCAAATTGGGAGTACGATATGCAAGTTATTAACGTTGAATACTCATGTAACTTGTGACGTAGAATGACGTCATTTTATCCGGAGCGCGCACTTCTTTTTTTTGTAAATTCAGGAATTTCGACGCCTCGCTTACCTTCCCTCACCCCATTAGGAATTCCGTAAGTGTTTTACCGAACATTGACAAATTCTATGAAGGTCTCGAGGCGAAGAGCCGTTTTTCATTCTATTTTTTTTTTATTTTTGGTCAAATACGACTTTGCGCATCCTGAGCGCTTTCAGAATCGAATCATGTTTTCGTGGTTTGAGATAATCAAAAAGGACCGCGAAAAATTCGGACTTGAAAAGCCAAAGCAATAATCATCGTGGTTGAACGAAAAGCACAAATTTCAAAATTAACTTGAGTTTTTCCAAAAAAAAAGTTTTCGAGAAAAAATGGCCCTACCTTTAATGGTTGGCAGATGCCTTTCGGTGATGGCTGAGACATCCTAACTTCCCAAGGTGTCAGCATCCTTGGAATAAAAAGATTTCCGACCGAGTAACCCGCAACCCCGGCAATTTCGTGGGCTCCACGGCCGGTGGCATGAACGTCGCGAATCCGGCCGCCGGTTCCAGTCGCTGCTCCCTGATATATCAGGGTGTTCAAAAAATAATGGGCCTTGAGTTTAATGGCTTATACTGTATAAACGGAAATATATTTCGAAAAATGTTTTAGGCCATCACGAAGAGCTTGCGCATTGTCTGAAACATAGCATGACTAAATTACGAAACGTTTTTCAACAGCGCTTTTCTAACGATATTATCGTGATGGAGAGAGCTTTAAAAAGAAAAAACACATCAAATCATCCATAAAAATGCTTTCAAAAAAATCCATGGTTTTTCCTCGGTATCCTATGACGCTTATCAGACAACTTCTTTTACTGTTTGTTTCGTCATAATCTCCCCTACGGCTTCCTACCACGAAAATCTGAGTCCGATCTTCCATGTAACACGATTTTCTAATGAAAACCAGACTTGGAATGGGCAAACGGCCGTCGGAAAATTGTGCGTTTCAGCAGTATACAGCAAGTGGATAGCACTGCCCGGTTTATCATGCGCGAAAAGAAACTGGAGCTCCGAAGCTGTGGTCGGATCTTTCGGCCGTAAACGCGAGATTCCATTATAGCCTCTGATGACACTGAAAAACAATTCATCCAAGCTAAAACATAAACGTGAATGAAAACTGTAATTTGCGGAGTTCTTCCGTAAATCCCTGAAGTAATGTAAATTTTCAGACATGAAGCTATCCAATCGGGTTCATTATATTCATTGCTAAAAACCTATAAATAGATAGTACTTCAATTTCTGAAACAAACAAAAATAAAATCGAAAAATGTCCCGAAAAAAGGATGGTACGATTTTACCTCAAGTCCGCAAATCTCCGGAGCCGTTATCTCAGAGTACCGTAATCTCAAGGCCCATAATCTCCGAAACCACTTATCTCCGAAAACAAAAAACTTCAATTTTCTTTCTCTTTTTTGCATTTTATTTTCATTTTTTTTCTTGTGTTGTGCTCAGAATACACTCTCCGATCGAAACTGCGTACGAAAGCCAAATATTTTCGTTTTTCAAACTTTTTTCATTTTCTCCACTGAGTGAAAAACTTTTCAATTTTTCAAAGTGATATTTCTTTCTATTTTTTTTTGTCCTTTAGCTTCTCTGATCACTTTTGCATGTGGACAGCAAAGAAGGAAAGAGTTTTCGGAGATAAGTGGTTTCGGAGATTATGGGCCTTGAGATTACGGTACTCTGAGATAACGGCTCCGGAGATTCGCGGACTTGATGCCGTGTTCAAAGTAATTTCCGCGAAATGCAAAATGGTCTCTGACCCTCCAAAATTTAGTTATCTTTCTCTTTCTCTGACGGCTATTTTGAATTTCGCGGAATCACTTTGAACACGGCATGAGATAAAATCGTACCATCGAAAAAAGACGAAAAACCCTTAAGTATTCAAGTTTCCTTTTCAAGTTGTCCATCGCGCGCATTAGTTCGTCCAATTTCAAACTTATTGATTTCTTTTTCATTTATTTATTTTTTCTCCTCTTCACTTCAATTTTAACATGTTCAAGAGTCAACAACTAATAATCTTCTATAAGAAAAGGAACTGCAAATTTTTAGAGCGACTCTATATAACTTCCGGTTTTTTTGGTTCCTTCATTCCAATCGCTCCATTATTTTTTTGGTTTTTCTGATTTTGCTTTTTTGTTGTTGAAATCCTCTGTAGCTAACAAGATATGGTCATTATTACATTAAGTTTGAAAGGTATAGAAAATTACAATACTTTGTACCAAAATCACTTCGTTTGTAAGCTGAGCTTTGATTTTGAATTTTTTAAACAATTTTTCTGATTTCTCAAGTTCAAAAAATCGATGAAATCGGACCTGGAGTTGTCGCAGAACGCTAAAACGCTGTTGTTTGGCGCTTTCAAAGTTTTCTTGACGGTTTCCATCAAAGTATCCGTGCGTGGCGCCCCGTCAACGAACAAATTGGCGTTGAAAAACCAATGGCGCGAATGTTCCGAGTCCGAATTTGCCAGGTCGTACAATTCAACGTCTGTGGGGTTCCTAAAGTTTTTGATTTGAGTATCAAAACTTTGAAAGCTCAACCTCTTAGCTTCATCTTTGTAATAATCATAGTAGAATGTTATATCTTCTGGGTCCAATCCAAGTCCACACTTTTCGTTGTACTGAAAAAAAGCTTTTCAGCTCAATTTTTTTTATACGTAAGCGCGCGCAGATTTCACTAAAACATTGTTCAATAACTGAAAATTTCACAATTTTTTAGAAAATGATGGATTTTTTGGTCTTTATAGCAGGATTTTTTGAACGCTCTTTCCCACCTCGACAAGTCTTTTTTTCTTCTCAATCAAAGGCACTTCTGTATAATCCTCTCGCTTGGCCACTGGTTTGAATGGGTTTTCGCCCTCAGAGTATATGCATTCTTAAATTTTCTTCTATTTTTATTTTCTTTTTATCTTAACCTGTCATCCGGTCGCCGGCGTGTTCCATGAAAACTTTTATGTTCACTTCACGGTTTGTCCTCGAAGTCATCCACACCACACTCCGTTCGATTCTTTCGACGTTTTTGATTCCAATCTTTTCAAACGCTCTCAACATGTTTGTGCAAAAAGCCGTTTTCATTGACGGTCTGAAAATTATTTTTTTATTTACTCATCTAGATCCTATTTTCGATTTTTCAAGTTTTTTTTTCAAGTAAGAAGGTAATTTTTTCCGACTTCCCTGAAACTTTCTATGAGTTATTTTTGATGTACCAAATTAAGTTCCTGAATAACTCAACCTCCAAAACTTCCTATTTCTATAAAAAAAAGAAAGGCTCAGAGCCGAAGAATACTATTAAACTTCTTCGATTTTTAGTCTTTCTTTCACGAAAATCAAGAAGTTGAGCAGGTTGAGAGTTTTAAAAAGTTGAGCTGATATATCTATATTATTCTAAAAAAATACATTAAAATAAAATTTTATATTGAATAGTTAATCAAACCTTTGGACCAATTTCGGTTACGTTTGCTTCTTTTGCGAAGCGAGATTGACGTTGAATATCGTAAGCCATCGGTTGACGTACCAGTAAAAAATTGATTTTTGGCCAAATTTCATCTTCTTTCGTCGGTACTTTACCCTAAAATGAAATTTCCATCAAAAAAATTATATTCTTTAGGCGCATCCCTGACGATTATTTATTTTTAAGTAGACACTGAAGGACGCTAAATGCACATATATTTTTCGGAATGGCTCATAAGGTGGTGGTATGAAAAAAACACCAGCGAAAATTCAAATGGCGACTTTTCCGATTTTTTCATATCGCTAGGGAACTTTCCGACGGCCACCTTTCCGACGAATCCCTTTCCGACTTTTTTTTCTCGATAAAATATTCGTTTTTAAATTTCCTATATAAAGTAGGTAGTTGGTTCATGATTAAAACACAAAAAAATAGGAAAAAGTGTAAATAGATGTCTTATAAACCGAAAAATATAAGGGAAAAAAGTCGGAAAAAATTTCGTCGGAAAGGTGGCCGTCGGAAAGTTCCCTAGCGATATGAAAAAATCGGAAAAGTCGCCGTTTCAATTTTCGCTGGTGTTTTTTTCATACCACCCATAAGGTATAAATGGAGCAGAATTGAACAAAAATCCTTTCAACGCGAAATTTTTGCAATATGAAACCAGTTTTTAAATGCCTCACTGCGCTTTCATACCGAAAAAATGAATTTAAAAAAAAACGGACCCGAATCAGAAGATGGTAGCACACTTCATATTCTACTGCTACCGTCCCCATCGATTTCTTCAACCGATAAAACGCATCCTGGATCTCGATCTTCTTTCTTTCCAGTTTTTTCCTCTCGGATTGGTCGAACCATGTCACATGGGTTAGCGGCTCCATGCCTGAAAAAAATTTCAAGAATAACAAAGGAAAAACCGAAATGAAACTATCATGAAGGTGAGAAAAGGAAAAACATAAAGGACGGTTCAGTTGATGAGACAAAAGTGCGAAAAATGGCGGAAAATGTTTTGGTCGGCGGCAAAGTGTAGAGCTCGTTTGACCACAGGTTGGTCAAGTCTGTTTTGTGTCTGAAGAATGCTTATTTTTACCGTTTTTCTTGCGAAAATTTTTTAATGATGGTTGGAAAGATTAGTTGAAGATTTTATAGACTTTTTCAATCGTGATTTATTCACCCAGTGTTTGAGAAGTCGTTTCATACGAACTTCATACTGTGAAAAAAGAAATATATTGAAAACTACGTCTTTTCGAGATAGACAAAATAAATAGCAAGCTAAAAAAAATGAATAAACAACTCCGAATGTTTTCAAGGTTAATTACTATTGTTCGGTCACAAATCCTTAAAAAACAGTGTTGGTCAAGTTTAAAATTTCAACATTTTTTTTCTCCGTTTCGCTTTCTAGTTCGCTTTTTTTTTTCTTCATGAAAGTCTCGGATCTCCGTAACGCGAAAGACACAAGTCGGACTTGTCGGCACGTTTCTAGTGACCGCTTTAGTAGAGTAAGCACTCTCAAGTGATACCTAGAATTTCTCAGAGACGTCCGGAACACGCCCCTTTTGCGCTACCAATCTGAGAAAAGTTTAGAGGGCCCCTATAGGGATTTGGCCATTTCGGGGCCCCGATTTGGGTTGAGTTAGGGGCCCCTAAACTTTTCTCAGATGTCCGAGACCGAAGTCCGAGCTTTTAAACGTTCCTATTTCCGCTCGAACGAGCTTCTTGGTCGGTTTTTTGAGCTTTTTATTCATTTTTCAGAGGAGAAAAATGAATCAGAGACCTTGTTCTTCAAAGAGATCATTCACCAGCCGCTTCGGCTCATTTTTTCTCAAAATTGCTTTTTTTCGAATCACTTTCTCCGCGTTTTCAAAAAGGTTTGTTGGTTTAATGGAGACGTGAAACTGCCCTGGTAATGACTAAAAGAACATTTATTAATCTGTCTCTTCTTTAAATTACCCAAAAAGGATTTTTGAGTAATTTCGTCTTCAAACTTGACGCCATTTCACGTTTCAATGTTTTTTCTTATTCCTGTGGTCATATGAAGTTAATAAAACTCGCTTCAGAATAGGTTATTTTTATTTTTCGTGATCTTTCATATTTTTTTAACTGGACCAGGATGGAGAGAGAAGTTTCTCTATGTTTATAAGAAAATTTGGCAAATTTCTGTTTACAGAGAAAACTTTCTACTCTCGGGCAAAACTGAAAAGCTCCCCAAAAGCTTTTCTCAAAAAAAGACCTTGAAAGGGTCCCCAGCAGATCTTTTTTACATCATTTCAATTCTTTTTTGCGTCTTTTTCACATCCTCTGACAAAAAGGATGCTGGAAAGCAACTAAAAAGATCCGAGAGGATTCAAAAAGGATCCTCTGGGGCTATGAAAAAGGTGCTCAAAAGCTTTTTTACATCATTTTAGGAGCTTTTAGAGGAAGCTTTTTATCTCCCTCTCAGGATCCTTTGAGGATCTTCAAAGGAGCTTTTCAGTTTTACCTATGCTTATTTTCGTGTGTCCTCAGATATCCTTTCCTAGTTGAAATTATCGCATATGGTCATTTTCGGTTCATTTTCCCCTTCTCAACTCGAAAAACAAGAGATCGCGTCGCGCCAAAGCAAACACGCGCCGTTTTCTTGTCCTTTAACCTTCCCCATTTGCAGTTCTTCATATTTTAACTTTTTTTATTATTTTTTCATAGTTTTATCAATGTCATTTTTGTTGAGGAATGCTGTCAATATGGCCCCTGTTATTGATCTTAACAACGGTTACGGCCAAAATTGACGTGGCGCAGGAAAAAGCGTCCGAATTGCATGTCAGCCAGCCCAAAGTGAAAGACGCTGCTGAACACGTGGACCACAGGAAAGTTTGTGCGTTTTTTTCATTGTTTAACTGGATTTTAGAACATTTTCTGGTCTATCTGGTTCATTTTTTTCATTTTTGGTAGTCGTTGGAGGTACATTTTTTGATATTAAACATGACTGCTTCACTTTAAAATTTTGTTAGTTTTTAAAAAACCTTCGTGGAATTTTGATTCAGAGCTTTTTGACTTTATAAACATTCTCTAAAACGCTTAAATGATTGAAATTGATTGAATTTTGTGCCCATGCGATAAAAAGATAAAAAAAGATAACTGTTTTTTTGAAATATTTAAATTAGCAAAAAAATGGTTAAGTATAATTTTTTTGTTTTTCATTTTTTTGATATTCGATTCAAATTTCATTTGTTTTTTTCGAATTGGTGCTGAATTTATGGCTGTTTGATCAGGAAAAAAAAATTTTTTTCTGGAAAAACTCACAATGTTGCTCCAAAACAAAAAAAAATCTTAGTGTTTTTGGAGCATTTTTTTGGTCGCAAATGGACATCTTTTGCGATTGCATGATTCGATTTTTACGCCGAGCTCGAATTAATTTCTCTATTTTTATATTAAAATGAAGTTTCTTTATTTTTTTAGTTTTTCTGAGTCCGTAGGCACGTATCTTCTTATTGCACTTTTTCAAAACGTTCAATCGATTTTTTTCTTTTCCAAAAACCTTTCATTTTAAAGATTTTTTTATTTTCAAAATTTGTATTTTTCAGACACTGAACTTTTCAAGTTGAGGCGCCGGGAGCACAGTGGAGCCATCGAATCCATAAAAAAGATTGATTTTCAGAAGCGACGGCCTTTTCTGGAAGAGGTTTTTCAGGGCTTTTTTGGAACATATTGACGGAGTTTGATGGTTTTCAGGTCTTAACAAGCGTCAGTAAAATTTTATTGGAATGTCGGGAAAAATTGGAAAGAATCCAACACGCGGCCACAGACCCATTTCCACACGACAGCGAAACTCTTCGAGATTTATTATCTAAAGTACGGTTTTTATTGGGCTTTCATTGATGGTAGGAAGGAATTTTGGGTTCCCGAATATTCGTGAACGTTAACTGTGCAAAAACCAATCTTGGAGGCTCGAGTCTTCGAAAATTTGAATCTTTGAATTTCCTTCTTTTTTTTCCTACATTTTTTTCCTTTGTCGTTTTATTGTGAAGATGCCGTGTTTCGACCACAAATGAACACTGTATGATTTTTTTCAACTAACTTTTTATCAAATAATGCGTCTTTCTCGCATACACGTAATCCAATACTCGTTGCAGAACGGCTACCACATTTTCATTCACTCTGTATATATTCTCCATCAACTTCTGTTTACAAAAAAAGTTGGAAAAAAATTATAAAAAAATAAGAAAAGAGGTGAATATTCCCAAGAATCGTTTGCAAAGATTCAAATTTTTCAAAGATTCGAGCCTCCAACATTGGTGTATGCACAATTAACGTTCACGAATATTCGGGAACCCAAAATTCCTTCCTACCATCCTTTCATTATCATAGTCAAAGTCGGAAAGGTTCGAAAAAGGCTCCATAGAAATGTTCCTTTGTGACGAAAGATCCTTTTTACTGCCTTTTTGCGCCAATTCCTCAGCCTTTATGCACCCTTTTTGCTGCCTCTTTCCACCATTTCTTGAGCCTTTGAAATCCCAGAAAAAATGATGGGCTCAATAAAGGGACTCTTTTGGCTGCCTTCTAGCGGCCATTATCCACCATTCTGACTTTTCCTGAGTTATTATATACTGAATTTTTCTTTTTTCAGGTCGTTGAAAACACGGCGTTCTTCAGCGACTTGTCCCTGCACTTTTCTCAATTTTTCGAGAAAAAATTGGCCAAAGATAGAAAATTGAAGACGACAGTCGTTTGGGCGTTCAATTATGCCAAGGATACTGGTAAGTAAGATGATAATAAATAATTGATCGAAGAAGGAAGGGTAGAAAAATTATATTATTTTTCGAATTCTTTTTATTTTTTTATTTTTTTCCAAAAAAATCTCTAAAATTTCACCCCCTCAAGGTTTTAAAAAAATCATGAAGAGGAACACGATTCGCTTGCTTTTTTTGTTGAAAAAAACGTTTATCAAAGCATAATTTCAGTATTTTTAATTATCTTTCCGGGATTTTTTTCTAATTAATGACTCAAAAAAAGGGAATATTTTTAGAAAAACTCAATCGGAAAAAAATAAAAAAATAAAGAAGCCCTTTTTTTCATTTTTTTGATTCAATATAATCAATTGATTTGCTTAGATTTTACGAAAGAAAATGACAAAAAAATAGAAAAATTTTTTTGGGAGAACACGTTTCAGTATATTATTAAAGTATACATGCTTTTCTGAGCTTTGTAATAACTCGGAAAGTGAATTATAAAGATCAAGGCTTATGATTTAATAACTTTTGTGAGAAACTCTCGTTTTATTTGCACTTTTCCATTGGAAATATTGAGATTTTTTCAAAATTTTCAAGATTTTTTCAGGTCTTCTCGACCCTGAAACTTTGGATCGAGTCAACTTGATGGCTCAACAACACGAGATCGTTCAAAGAAGTCCAGAGTTGGTTTTTCGTTTTTATTTTTGAAGACCAATCTTTAAAAAATGAGAAAAAAATCTTTTTTTACCGTTTTGCTGATTTTTCCTCGACTTTTCCACAGGAAAATATTTTTTTTCAGTTATAAAAAAATCCTTATGATCGCGTGAGGACCAAAGGAAGAAATCGAACGGGAAGCCTACGAAGAAATGAAACGGAAAAAAAGTAATACATCATTTTCAAATTTTCAAATAATATATTTTTCTTCAGGCCGAGAAGGAGAACGAGAAAAAGCCTCGGAAAAAAAGCGGCCAAGAACGAGTTGTAAATAAATAAATAAATTGTTTTTTTATCGATTTATAGGTGCTCATTTGACTTGATAATTTTGTTGTGTATACATTATCTGTGATTTTTGATAAATTGTTGATATTTACTTGGTATTTTTGTTGTTGTTGCTGATTTGCATGAGTGGATATGTGATTCCTCTGCCCTACTGACCCCATTTTATTGACTTTTTTTGTGATTCAGCTTATTAATAAGGTATTTAAAGGCGCAGGAAGAGTTCAGAAAGTTTTCCTGGCACGAAACTCGCCGAGAAAAGTTTTTAATACGCCTTCTGACTTAGAAAACCCAAAAACATGTGTTAGAGCCTTTTCTGTGCCTTTGAATACTTGATAACCTGACTTTGAAGAACCCTACTCGAGGTGGATGAGCTTAAAGACGCAGGGAACTTTTTTAGCAGAAATCCCGCCACGAAAAGTTTTTAATATGAAATTCGAAGCAACCTGCGTCTTTGAACTTTCCATAAAGTTGTGAATTAACTATAGTAACTCCAGAAAATTTAGCAAAAGATTGCCAACACGGGAAAATTCCAAAAGGTCTCAATAAGAAATTTCGGAAAAAAAGGACTTTAAAAAGTCAAAGGCGCCTTTTTTCTAGTCTTTCTTCTAAGAAGGACCTTTTAAGGAGAAAAGAAGTTCCCGAGAAACTTTTAACACCTTTCCTTAGAGTGAAAAAGGGACTTTAGGCTCTTCTTTTTGAGGTCATTGGAAGTTTTTAATTCATGCATCATCAGCCTTTAAATTATCGTTCAGTAAGGTATGAATCAACTAATTTCGATTAAAATAAACTCTAGGAGTTCTTTAAGAAAATTTTGGACACAAAATCGTCTGGAAGTTTCAAATTGAAGCCTGTTTCTGCAAATATTCAAGAAAGTTTTGACTCTGGCAAAACGGAAAAGTTTTTCAGATTCTTTTAGATGACCTTTTTATTTCATTTTTGCTTTTTTTTTCTACATCCTTCAATTAAAAGATTTGAAAAATTAACTAAACATATTCGAAAAGGATTTGAAAAGGGAACTTTTACTCAATTCTCCGAGCGGTTGGGAATTTTTCTGAAAATTGGCCAGAACATCCCGTGAAGTACAAATTTTTTTCGGTACTTCAAGGAGTGCTTTGACCAATTTTTCAGGAAGTTTACAACTATTGAGTAAATGACCTTCCTTCTAAGGGGATCCTTCTCAGCTTCGTCTGAGGGTCCTTAAAGGAACTTTTCCGTTTTACCTTTTTGAATAAGCCTTATCCATTCTGGATAATCTTCATATACATAAAAAAAGATAAAATTTTATATAATTATCAAGCGAAATTTTGTCAGAAGCTAGAAATGCCGCAAGAACTTTCGCTGAAAGACCTGAAGAACCTCCAAGAAGACGACGAGATCGACCTCTCCGCCAGCGGGTTGACGGAAGTCCCGCGGCAGCTTCATTTGGTTTCGACTTTCAATTTAAAAAAATGAGTTCGCAATAAATTTGACATAAACCAAATTTTATTGATTTTGTTGTTACTTATAAGCAAACGTTGAAACGGAGGACTCATTTAAAGCTGAAGAATGAAATTTCTTTTTCAAATTGTTCGGGATTCATGAGGTTTTTTTCGTCGATTCTTTTCTTTATTTTTCATTTTTTTCCTATTAATTCAAACTTTTATTGTAATTTATCAAGGTTTATTTTTTTGATTTTAATATGTTCACGAGATTATTTTTAGTTCTTGAATTGGCTTGAAAACTGAATTTCTTCGACAAAAAAACTCACGAAATTTCGAGTTTTTCAGCTTTTTTTAGAAATTAAGTTTGGGTGGAAAGGTAACTGTAAAACATCAGGAGTTCAACTAGAAATTTTTCTCAATCCTTTTTATTCTTTTTTTATACGATTTTTTTGAGTGCCTTGAACTTCACAAATAAATAGAAAAGGAGTTTTTCAACAAGGGAGGTCATTTTTCTTTTTCTGAAAATTGGCTAGAACACTCCTTGGTGTACCAAAAGAAAATTCTGAAAGCCTCAAACTGCAAAAATTTCTGTAAGTTGTAAGTTCCGCTGTAAGTTCCAAGAAAACGCTCAAAATCCATTAAAAAGAGCTATTTTAGGGCGTTAGACCCTTATTTTTTGACAACTAGGAAGATGTGCAGGTTGAGACTTTCAGAATCTTCTTCTGGTACATCAAGGATTGTTCCAAGTTTTAGGAAATTCCTCACCGGAAAGCAAAATGATCTTCCTTCTACTCAGGGAACGTCCCCCCCCCCCCGGTTGAAATTTTGCTGAAACTTCGGTGGAGTGTACTTTAAGTCCTTCTGATTGCAGAACAAGAAAAAAATTCCTCGCAATAGATCTCGTTTCAGAATTATGAAGCTTCAAAGTGTGCAAAATATGACAAAAATGCGCTATTTTGAGCTTTTGAAGTGTCCCAACTCGAAAACGAGATCTAATGCAAGAAATTTTCTTCTTGTTCTGGAATCAGGGGGTCCTAAAGTACATTTCAGCGAAGTTTCATCGAAAATTTCAACCGGGGGCTTTAAAAAAACGTTCCCTAGTAAGCGCTACAACTTGACTTTATGACGAAAAATCATGACTAAATCCCATTTTCATGGAGTTGCATTGTTCTTAGGAACGTCTTGGTTAGATTTTAGAGGATTCTCGAAAAAAATCTACGTTTTCAAAGTCTTTGTGAACTCGAAAGACGGTTATTTTTCAGCTTCCAAGGTTGACAAATGTCGATCTTGGGTCGAACAAGCTGGTCAGCCTTCCCAACGAGATTTGCTCGATGAAGCGGCTTGTCAAGTTGGAAAAAAATTATTTCTTCAATGAAAAACTTCTCAATTCAGATTGGAACTCGGGAACAACCGGATCCACAATTTGCCGAATGATATCGGCAATTTGGCCAGTTTGCAACATCTCAGTCTGTACAATAATCAGATTGAGGTATTTATTGAATTAATTGTTCAGAATTAGTAAAAAAAAAATAGCTTGAAATTTTGTTTTTTCATTGAAATTTGAGATGAAAAACGGAACGTAACAAATTTTGGGATTTTCGAAGGCAATTTTCACAACATAGGCAAAGTCGGAAGGACCTCCGAGGGTCCATAAAGGTCCATAGAAATGTTCCTTTAAGGGTGATGAATGCTCCCTTTTTGCTGCCTTTTTGCGCCTTTTTCTCAGCCTTTATGCACCATTTTTGCTGCCTCTCCCTTTTTCCACCATTTCTCGAGCCTTTAAAATCTCAGAAAAAGTGGAAGGTTCTATAAAGGGACCCTTTTTGCTACCTTTCTGCGGCCTTTTTTTGAGCCTCTCCCTTTTAAGTGGTCTCTAAATAGAGAACCTCTCAAGTGGCCACTTTAGAGGTAAGTTTAATGGCCACTTTAGTGTCCTTGGCGAGCTTTTATAGTGACCATTGAAAGTTTTCCCAGTTATCCACCCTTTTTGGACCCTTTTGAGAAACTAAATATTTTTAAATTGAGAATAATCTTTACCAGTGACTGTGTATGAACCAAAATGTGCTACAGGGATAAAATCGGAACGGCCGAGACTTTCAGGACCCTTTTTGCACCCTCAATTTTTTCAGCATTTTTTGAGGCCCACCAAGAAAAAAAAAGGCTTTCTAAAGGCTGCAAAACGGGACTCTTTTAGCGGCCATTTTGCAGTCATTTTCCGACTTTGGCAGTGGTAGTCTCTCAAAAAACAGTCAAAAAACGGGTCTCACTTTATTTTCTACCGAAAAAAGAACAGCTTTTTCAGTTATGATATTTTTTTATCTACCTTTTATCTTCTTAATAAATATTTTTTTAAACAAACGAAATTCATGAAAAAAACGACTTTTTTTCAATTTTTCTGAATTTGTTGGATCCCTACAACCGTTCTGTTAGTTCTTCGAATTTTCAAAATTTTTCGAAAAGTTTCTCATTTTTCAGAATAATCTTGCTTCTTTGAGTTCACAACGTGAAAATTTTGAACTTCAAGATTTTTTATTTCCAGGAACTCCCTCTTTCCTTCGCCAATCTCAAGGCGTTGAAATTCCTTGACCTCAAGAACAATCCTTTAGAGGCGAAATTGGCCAAGGTTTTTGAAATAATCCTGAAGACAAAAAATACTTAAAAAACAGGTTGCCGGAAACTGTGGAAACGAGAAAGAATGCCGTTTGGCCGCACCAAAAGTCTTGGCTTTCGTGGCCGAAAATAAGCGACTTTTCGAATTCCAGGTTCTTTTTCTTCTCATATTTTTCATACTTTGAAACTTCAGAAGGAAAAAGCGGACAAGATCCTGAAAAAAATCCATGACAAAAACGAGGCCGACCTGAAGAAAATCAACAAAGAAAAGGCGAAAAAGGAGAAGGCCCAGAAGTCTCTAGAAGGTAAGGAGGAATTTTTTTAAAGTCAAAATATTAAGATCCTAAAAAAATACTAGATTTTTTTGCTGATTACAAAAAAACCATATTCGCCCGAGAATCTCCCTGTTTTGACCCGGAAAAAAATCGGTTTGAAAAAAACTAAAGATTATCAGGTCCCTCGGCCAAAAAAATTCAATGGGAAAAGTTGTTCGAAAATGTGATTTTTTTAAGGTTCTAAAAAATACTAGATTTTTCGTTGATTTTAAAAATACCCTATTCGCCCGCAAATCTCCCTATTTTGTCCCGAAAAAGTCGGTTTGAAAATCTCTGCCTTTCACGTCCCTTTGCCCAAACAAAGCATTAGTAAAATTTTTTGGAAACTGCGATTTTTAAGGTCTAAAAAATACTAGATTTTTCGCTGATTTCAAAAATACCCTATTCGCCCGCGAATCTCCCTATTTTGACCCGGAAAAGTCGGTTTGAAAAACTCTGCTTTTCACGTCCCTCCGCCCTAAAAAAACACATTATTAAAATTCTTGTCGAAGCTTTGAATTTTAGAGTCTTAAAAAAATATTAAATATTTTTGCTGATTCCAAAAATACCCTTTTTCGCCCGCCAATCTCCCTATTTTGACCCGGAAAAAGTCGGTTTGAAAAAAACTGAAGATTCATAGATCCCTCGACCCAAAAAAAGCATTAGGAAAAATTTTTTGGAAATTGCGATTTTTAAGGTCTCAAAAATACTGGATTTTTTGCTGATTTCAAAAATACCCGATCCGCCCGTCATTCTCCCTATTTTCACCCGGAAAAGGCGGTTTGAAAAACGGAAGATTCTCAGGTTTCTCGTCCAAAAAACGCGTCAGAAAATTTTTTTTTAATTGCGGGTTTTAAGGCCCTAAAAAAACTAGTTTTTGCTGATTCCAAAATACCCTTTTTGCCCGCGAATCTCCTTATTTTGACCCGGAAAATTCGGTTTGAAAAACTGAAGATCCTCAGGTCCCTCAGCCCAAAAAACGCACTGGGAAAATTTTGCTGCTTTTCGATTTATTTATTTTATTTTCTATTGGAATACCAGCTACAGAAACTCTCATCTTTTTCAAATCCTTAGAAATTGAATTTCAACTATTCTTTCTGAAACATAAATGACCGGGATTTGAATGTCGCCAAGGGAAATTATCGATCCTCGCTAATTTTACCATGGTAATGAGCCATCTGACCAAAGCCGGCATGGCAAATGGTGCCACGTGGGCCAAAAATGGGCCTCCCCAAGGGTCAAATCGCCGCTGTCCCAACGACCGGGTCAACGCGTGGCTTCCCCCTTTTTTCTCTCTCTCTCTTTTTCCGCGTCCACGAATCGCTCTGTTTGCTTTTTCGAGGCGTCCATTTTTTTGTTTTGACTCCATTGTTTGTGTACTGGGAAATTTTTCAGTGGCCACTATAGAGGCTCGCCAAGGACGCTAAAGTGGCCACTAAACCAACCTCTATAGTGGCCACTTCAGTAGTTTTCCATCCAGTATTGCTTCCAGTAACTCTGGTCATTTTAAAACAAACAGATTGGACCAGATTCATTGACCCCTAAAGTGGCCACTTGAATTTTTAATGGTCTAATAGTAGCACTTAAACCTCTATAGTGGTCCCTAATTTTTAACCCCTTGAGTGGCGACTAATTTGACTCCTATAGTGTCCACTAAAACGTCGAAACCCTATAGTGACCACTAAACATTTTCCCAATATGTTACTCCTTTTTTTCAACACTGAATATCAGTTTAACGTGTAGCTTTTTCAATTTTTTTCAAAAAGATTTTTCAAGAAAAAAAACTTCTTCAGACTAAATTTGATCACGATTTATATATAAATCCACACAAGGTCACTGAAAACCTTTAAGAAATTGGTCCACTCCCACTAATTGAAATGAAAAAAATTTTTGATTTATAAAAAAATTCGCTGCTCCTCGGCTTAAAAAAATGGTACAGTTTTTTTCAGGATAGTTTCTATAAAAACTTTTTTTCATCTCTTTTCCCACATTTTCAACTGGAAAAAACAGCGACTTCGAAATTTCAAGCCTTCCCATCAAAAAAAATTGCCAACATTTGTGCTCCACGGACAAATCCCGCCAAAATTTAAATAAATTTCCCTGTGAGCTTTTTTCTGAAGCGTTGAATGCCGTGTTCAAAGTAATTTCCGCGAAATCCAAAATAGCCGTCAGAGAGTGAAAAATACAACTGAATTTTGGAGAGCCAGAGATAATTCTGCATCTAGCGGAAATTTGAACACGACCCCATTTTAAACTATCACTTGCATCACTTTTCTGTTTCATAATAACCTTTTTATAAAATCTATGTTCAAGAGCCAATGTTCATGTAGTAGCTTAATATATAAAAAAAAAGTTCGAAGTTTCATAAAATTTACGGCTTTTTGGATTATCTGAAATGAAGTGAATGTGCCTTGAAATTCGAAAATTATACAATTTCAAATCGTTTTCTATCATCCAAGTCACAAAGCTTGTTTCAAAATCGGTATGTGAAGGAGTTTGGACGAAGAATAAAAAAACTTTCAATCCAGGAAATGCCTTTTTGAAGCATTATTTACAAAAAAAAGGTCGCTTTTTGCAATCCTGAAAACATAAAAAGCCCAAAATACCTCCCAAAAGGACTAAAAAAGAATTTCAAGCTCATTTTTGAGTTTTTTTAAAGAGTGTCAAAAGTTTCTCGAAATCTCCTTTATTTCCCTTTTTCAGAAAAAAGGTCGAGAAAAAAAATGTGTTTTTTCCAAAACTTCTTTTTGAGACCGTTTGGACTTTGCCCGTGTCTGTTATTCCATTGGTCCAAAATCAATTCGGTGACTTTTGAACACTGTCAATGAGAATTTAGGCCATCGATATTCGTATAGAGCTGTTGTTGATTTGTATCGACAAATGAGAGGGGGACGGAAAAAAAAAGAAGCGGGTGAGAGGTGAAGGCTAAGGCGTCCACTATTTCGCTCTATTTCCATTGCCCTTTTTTTCTTTTTCATCTCCTCCTCCAACTTCTCCGGCCCTCACACTGAGAATAAGAGGACTTTTTGTGCTCAGGACGGCTTGGACGTGCTCCAGCTCTTTTTATTATTTTTTTCTTTTTTCTGAGATTATCGTGGACTTGGACGTGCTCCAGCTCTTTTTATTTTATTTTTTCTTTTTTATGAGATTATCGTGGACTTGGACGTGCTCCAGCTCTTTTTATTATTTTTTTTCTTTTTTCTGAGATTGTCGTGGACTGTTTCGAAGGCGCATTATCTTACTTTACGAGGACTATTTTTAATCAAACAGATTTTTCATTGTTTTAATTCTTCGAAAATACGTCTTTTTCAAAATGGCCAAAAAAAGTCGAATGCGTAAAAAGTGCTCGAAATACAGCGCTAACATTTTTTTAATGCAAATATTCTTAATAAATAACGACATTCCAACCAAAAAAATAAGCCTCTTACAAATCTTCCGAACTTAAAAAAATACCTGAGTGGTCCCTATAGAGGTGAGGGGCCGAAAAAGTGGTCCCTTTAGGGGTTAAATAAAGCTGGCTCCTATAAAAGTTTTGGTACTGACCCTTAGCCCCTAAGACTCGAGTGGATCCTATAGGGGTCTCTCAATTTCATTCAAAAAACGCTTATTTATTCAGTTTCTTCAGAGTTCATAAAAATCATCGACTAGCATGTCCTCTGTAGGGGCCACTAACTGAAACCCCTATAGGGACCACTATTGCGAGCTTTAATGGCTCCTTGAGGGGGGTGTACTAAGGTTGCCCCGATAGGGAATAATCAAGAATTTCAGAGATGTTTTCATGAGAGGCATTTTGTAGGAAAAAATTGAAGAATCAACAAATTCTTTCTCCTACCCGATAAATCCATTAATTTATTGATTTACACGTATAAGATTAAAGATAAAAATACGTCGTCCAATATTTACATTGATAGACACGTATTTACAAGAAAAATAATAACATACACGGTAGAGCGAAAACAACTTTAGATATCATAGTCTGTGTGCTATGACTTGAAATTTCACGGAACGACATTTCGCTGTTCCGTCGCGTGCGTTCGCGAAGCGTCTTTCGAATCTAGGTCACGATTTCAAGTGATTTTTATTGCTGTGGGTGCACATGAAAGTAGAGTACCTTAAGAAAAGAAAAATAGTTAAAAGCGCGACCAAGGTTCGCAAAGGCGCGCAGCGGCACAGCGGAATGTCGTTCCGTGAAATTTCAAGTCGTGGCACACAGACTATAGTAATTCATGAAGTGGTGGCCATCGATCTCGCTGAATCCGAATCCATTGAAGATTCTTCGAGGGATATTTTGTCGAAAGAGTTGCGCAGCGTGTCTTTAATGCGACTTAACACGTCGGCTTCGACATTGTTTGCCGGTTGCCCTATAAAACACAATAAATACATGAATGTAATCAAAATAGTACAAAAATTTACAAACTTGATACAGTCAATTTTTCCCAAATTTAAAGGCGAGGCTGGCGGGCGAAGGGGCGGGACGCGTAGCGTCTGCGTACGCGGTTCTTGGCACGAGTTCAATTCAACCGCCAGCGACTATTTGGAAAGCTCGTTTATCGCTCTTTTCACTCTTTTTAAAACAATTTATAGATTTTTTTTTGATGCGTGCATAAAAAAAATAGTAGGACATATTAAAAAAAAGAGCGGTGACCGAGCTTTTTTTGTATAGTCGGTGCGCTTGAATTAAACTCGTGCCAAGAACCGCGAACGCGCACGCTACGCGTCCCGCCCTTTGCCCCGCCTTTCTCGCCTTTCAAGTCGGGAAACATTGACTATAGAAAATAGATTGAAAAAAATAACCTATGTGCGCCATGTCAGCCAAGACGGCGGCGGAATTAGTCTGATTTCGAAATCTTTTGAGGAGGTCATTCAACGATGATTCCTTAACAAATAGTTATATAGACATTAAATGATTATATATATATATAGTTTGTGTGCCACGACTTGAAATTTCACGGAACGACATTCCGCTGTGCCGCTGCGCGCTTTTAATTTTTTTTTTTTATTAAGGTAATCTACTTGTATGTGCTCCCACAGCAATAAAAATCAATTGAAAGCGTGATCTAGATTCGAAAGACGCTTCGCGAACGCACGCAGCGGAACAGCGGAATGTCGTTCCGTGAAATTTCAAATCGTGGCACACAGACTATATATACTCTTGCATTGATTTCTGTAACTCATCATTCTCAAAATATAAAAAGAAACTTACTGCGTCAACGGCCGGGTTCTTGATCTTCGGATCCGCCCGTATACGCACTAAACAGAAATTCGTTTTAATAACTCTGAAAAAGCCACAACTCCTCTAATATTGTTAACAATCATGAAAAAGAAAAGTTTATTCCTACCTCCGGGCTTAGTCAGGGCTTTCTGAATGTTGTGGATGGTATCCACTATGATTGCAATAACTCTATCAAGAGTTTCAGCGTCCATATAAATATACCTAAACGGATAGATAAAAATTTGCGGGGGCAAATTAAAAAATAAAAGCCATAGCTAAACAGTACCAAACATAATTAGAAATATTCCCTCACTTTTTCCAAGATAAGTTTATTAACCATTAGATACCACTCTTCTATCGAAAGAGCTTTCATCCTAAAAAAATTATATTTTTTTATTAAAAAAATATAAATACATTTACCGAGACCAATCGAGCAGCCATTTCAGCGAGTAAAATTAAAATGATCTGTAAATATGTTCGATATTAATTTATGACCTCAAGAATTGATTAAGAAAACGCTAAAAATAGGAAGAGGAGAATAGTTTTACAAGATAGAAGAAGAGAGTAAGTGAGAATAATTTGTTTATTAACTCAAGACTAAGGAGAAAACAACGAGAACAGATGAGTAAGGTAGGAAACACAAGAGAAAAGGAGGTTATTCTCGTTTTTCTATGCGCACAGACGCGTCCACTCTAGCCCAACGCGTTCGCGTGTCGAGTCGCCTGCGTCTAGCTCTGAAGGCATAGGGGCAGTAAAAAATGAGGTTTCAGGTAAAAGCAGTATCTTATATAGTTTTTCTTTGCGAATCGAATGGTGTACTCGAAAAAATTAAAGATGTGGCAACTTTAGAAGAAAAACGCGATTTTACTTTCCCGCCTTTATTTTTGAAAAAAGCTTTGGATCGGTCTACGGACAAATGTTTACAGTAGCCGTGCACGCGATGTTGCGGACGTGTCATTAGACTCGCAATTTGGGAGAAATAACCTGATATATGTTTCAAGTCAAAATTTTTTTTTCCTGAAAAATCAATTAAAAACACAAAAAACACACACCAAAACTAAAGCAAACGCAAAATATCGATGTCCCAACCGAAAGCTGTATAAAGTCGCCATTTTCCACAAGAGTAGCATTTTAGGATAAAAACTTGCAAATTTTTACATAAATAGAAAGCTTTCGCGGCAAAAAAAAACTTTGGTTACAGCAGAAAAAAATTGAAAGTTAAAAGAAACGAATAAAAAAGCGAAAACCCCAAAAATGGCGAAGCGTGTTGTCCATAGAGCAACTTCACTGTAAATGACGTAGTAGATTATTTGATTTTTTCTCAACGTATCTAGCTGTCTGCAAAACCTGAATAAGAAACTTTAAAAGTTTCAAAGTGAGTGAACTTGTCTTTTAGTTCTATTACCTTTTCCAGATTTTCTATTAACGAATTTTTCTAGGGCATATTTATCAGATTTAGTAATGTATCCATCAAAACTTGGAAGATTATCACAGATTTCTTTTTGTTTTACGAAATCGGAGATTTTTAGATCTTTGGATTCTAAGTAAACTCCATTATTTGGTGCCATCATTTTCGATATCTGAATATTCTACATAGGTTGGTAGGGGAAAGGTTCTTCTAAACTTTGATTCCTAGATCTTTTGGTTCCATTTTCAAATTTTTTAGTCTTTTTTTGACCTATGTCTCAATAACAACACAATTTTCTTTGTAATATCTTTTAGCTGAGGAGTTTGAGATACTTTTTTATTTCAGTTTGTTTGTGACCTGCTCAAACTCTATTATTTTCGATTTTTTGTTGGAGAGAATAACCTATAATTTTAAGTTTCGATAATGAAGGCCTTTAACCCTTAACGAAAGGTGTTTCTGTCACAAATTTTCCCGTTTTTTCCGTATCGGTGCTCTTATGGCCATTTGTTGTATATACTTTCACTGTGTTCTATAAAATAGCCATGATTCACCGTAAAAATCAGTTTTTTTAAACATTCGGTCGATTGGTTTCTGGTCCTTTAGGATGTTTACTACTTTTTTGAAGAAATTTTGAAAACTCATCATCGTATTTCATGTCTAAAAAACGATGCAGAAAAGTCTTCAAACCGTTAAGAGATTAAATTATATTTTATTCCTAGCCTGCGAAAAATATTTTCTTTTTTTTTCTTAATTTCTCTAGATTCGAGACTTTTAATAATCTCTCCATATTTTTTGACCCGCTACTCTCCAAAGCATTTCCATCCCAACAAGATCAAACTTCTGTGGTTTTTGAAATTCGAATTTCGCGGACCCATCGGTAGAGCGACCTTGCTGACAAGCCAACTTTTGCAGTTCGCGCGTTCCTTTTTTCCTTTCTTCGTTCTTCTTCGTGTTCCCTCTCACCAAATTCCGCTTTCGCTGACATTTTACGATTTCTTACGTGGTTCTTTTTCATATTCGTACATTATTTCATCTTAGACGACGCGCCTCAACGCTTGTTTTCTTGTGAAAGACGACCTGTAATTGTTATTTTTACAAAGGATTTTATCAGTTGAACAATGGCTAGTGAGTTTTCTTTTTCAAATTCGTTTTTGTGGATTTTTTTTGATAAAAAGTTTTCAGGACACGGAAAGGGACATGGAAACCATGAGCACAAGGAACAAGAGAAGCAAAATCACCAAAATAAGGCGAAAAATAGCCATTCGAACGAAAAAGTCGCCAAAACGACTGAGAAGCCCAAAAAGTCGTCTTTTGTGAGAAGGAGTAGGTTTTTAAGATGTGGTTTTGAAGAAATTGATTGGTTTGGATAGTTTTGTTGTATTGGAAAAACTGGCATAGGTGTATAATTTCATTTTTTTCTTTAACTTCTTTTTGCGAAGATTTTTCGAAAAACTTTATTGTTTTTTTGGAAAAAGAAATAGTTAATCTAGAAATTTGGTCGAGCCTTCAGTGAATCTTTATCATTACCGTTTTTCAATAATTGTTGATCTATTAACGTAAAATAATAAAATTGGATTTTTTTTTCTCACGTTCAAAAATTATTCCATTTTTTTTTTCCAAACTCCAGCAACACATTCTCGAACAGAATGTAGAACTTAAAAATTATACTTGACCTATAAAGCTACTTTATGCTGACGTGTACGTGAATATTTAAATAATTTCGAATCGAACCGTCTAAATAGAGAAATGGGTTCGTCTTCAGCGGTCGGCTTCGTCTTCCGGACGTTCTACTACTTGTCCCTGTTGCTTTTGGGCCTTTCCACCGTCTCGATTGGTTATAACTGTGTGGAGGGCGGCAAGCACATTGCCAACAGCAAGGTTTTCGATTTTATTTTGAAAATTTACTTCAAAATTATGCTATTTTTAGCCCCTGTGCGCGGATTTGACCAAATTGTCGCAATTCACGAAGCCATCGGACAAGTTCGTCAACAACGTCCGCGATGTCTATGGAACCGTTCTGAATACCTATCGGTTTAGATTGATAAGACTCGATTAATCGATATTTTTCCTTCATTTATGAAAAATCTAGTTTCTAAACGCTAAAGCGGAAAATGATAAACCGATTTTTTGCACGATTTTGCGCACTTCCCGTTTTACTCCCGTAAGCTCCCCGCGGACCTACTAAATTTGTTTTCTTTGCATTTTCCCCTCTAAAAACAACCGCGGAAAAACTTTACTAGTGTCTAAAGGACTGAAAAAGAATCTTATTGTGAAATTAATTTTTCCACACAGAGCTTGGCTGCATGTTTTTTTGTAGGAGATATTTTTTTCGCTTGAAACGAAGTTATCAAAAAAACATTTTTATTTCATATCTACCTTACCCAAAGTCTGATAATTTGTTTTTTTAAGAAAATGTAATCTATATTCTCTTTTTTTGAATCTATTTTTTTGAATCAATTCAAGCTGAAAATAGCGTCTTATAGTGGCAGTTTTAGTGAAATTATGTCGATGTCATTTTTTTCTTTTTTTCAGTTTTGAGCTTTTACTAGTTTTTAAAAATTTTTTTAATTTAAAAAAATTAAATTTTTTTGAAGCCTTAACTTTTTTTGAAATTTTGGGAATTCTGAAGTTGAATAATGATAACTCGAGCAAATATTCCTTTTTTCCAGGCAACGAGCAGCTCACTCGACGAAAAATGCTCGGGCGACGGTCAACGACTACTACAAGAAGTTCACGAAAAGCGATATCGGCGCCAAAGTTGAAAAGTACTTTTACAAAGTTCATGCGTTTGTCGTCGAGCACACGCTGTTCATTCAACGATTCGTCCAGAAGCAGGTTCGTTTCGAAATTGTTGGTATAGTGTATTCACGGCTAGCTTGATGCGTCTACTGTCTGTGAAAAAACCACTAAACAGACACTATCTTTTCTTTTATCGTGTCAAGACCCTTTTTTCGATGGCTCAAGCCAGCCGTGAATCAGCTATATTGCCGCGTTCAGAGTGACTTCGCGAAATTCAATCAGATCTTTGAATCTCTGAAATACTTGTTATATTTTCAATATCTGACGGTCATTTTTATTTTGCCAAAATAATTTTGAACGCGAAGTTACTGTAAAAAGTTGAAGAATAATAGTTTAGCTTGTTGTTTTTTTTAGATCCATTACTAGACAAAATGTCATTATTTTATAAGAAATCATGATTTTTGCGCAATATTTTTTTCTTTTTCTTTTGAATAATTCGATGGTGATTTTTTTCAACCTATGCAAGGTGTAGAGAAAACGTGACTGGGAAAATTTTTTTTAAATTGAACTTTGGAACGTATGTAAAAAAATTGTTTAATTCCCGTACTTTTTTTGAGTTTTTTTCTTTCCAATATATGTTTTTTTATTTCACTTTTTATAATCAAAAGTTGGTTATCTATGTAAATTGTTTGTAAATTTTTTTCTCTTAACTCAACTATTTAAAAAAAGTTATGAAAGTTTGTTTGAATGGGAATATTAAATATTTTTTTCTTTTAGTATATTTTGATGCTATCAATTCTAGAAACTTTGAACCAACTTATATTAAAATCGAATAAATATATTTTTTTTCAGTGGGCCGAGGTCAACGTTTGGTACAACAAGGCCGGCTACAAATATGTGGAATCGCTCAAGGAAGGCCTCACTGTCGCTTTTTACGTCGTTTTGGAAATCGTCAAGGACTTGTTGGCCTACGCTCAAAGTATTTCGAATAGTTTGAATTCAATAATTAAACTCGTGAATTTTCCAGAAACCCTTTCTCATCTCGCCATCGTACTCGAGAAGTTCTTCTTAACCTGGTCTGAGAAGGGATTCAACGCCGCGTTGAAGACGATCGTTTAATAAGAAAAATATTTAATTTATTCTTCATTTAAAAAAAAACTTGTCCTCCCCCTTTTTAACTATACTTTTTTTCAGTGCCCTACGGTTATTACATTGTTAAAATCCGTTATTTATTCGCATACCCCCCAATTTTTCTACTGGTTTTTTTTTTCGTCGTTTTATCCCCAATTCCGCCCCGTTTTGTTTTATTTATTGTCTTTTGAGTTTCACAAATAAATGAGTCAAGTTCAACGGATAATTTCCCAAAGGGAACGTGGTATTCTTGCCTGCCTATGCTTCGAAATAGCAAGATTTGATTCTGGTATGAAATTTCTTGTATTTGTAAGTGAAAAGTCGGAATAATTTCTTTTTTAGAGTAATTTTTATATCGCAAAAGTCGATTCATATGTTTTTTGTTGCTTAATTCATGAAATTAGTTATGACAGCCCAAAATTAGGAAAAATATTTTTTTTTGGAAATTTTAAAACACCTAATCTGTTCAAATTCCAAATGTCAACCAGATAACTTCGCCCCTACACCTTTACGATTTTTGATCTAAAAGATAGAAAAAGAAGTCGAAAAATGCCTTGTTAAAGGGCCATCATCAGTAGATAAAACATTGACGCGAAAGATATTGTAGCCTTGGGGGTGGAGTTAGCTGCTTGACATTCAAAATCTGAACTGACTACAACTCGGGGGAAAAATCGGGCATAAAATATTTCTTTCAAAACTTTCATATTTTCACGTTTTTAACGGATCTTCTTTTTTTTCAATTTATTAACAATAAAATGAGTCAAGTTCATGAGGAGAATACAAATAAATAAAATGAATAGTGGGGGGATTGATCAGCGGACGCTTCGTTTGAGTTGATTCCGAAGTTCGATGACTTTTTCTCTGTCGCCCGGCGGCAAAAGCGCGATTTCCTCTTCCTTCAGCTGCATGACTTGTAGGAGAAGGTCCGCGTTTTGCTGCTCTTCCGGTGAGATTTCCTAAATTTCAGTTTGAGTTATATTGGTGGATAAATGATTTATAACTGGTTGTGATGGTGGGAAATTTGGCGGAGGTCGGCCGAAAGGCGGCTGCATTGGTGGCATCGCCGAGCTGGTGGCTGCGTGAGGCGCTGAAATTATTCATTTTTAGTTTTCTCTGAGTTTTTTTTATGTGAAAACTGGGGTTTCGGAATCAAAAAATCGAGTTATTCTTCTAGAAACGAGGTTATCTCATAAAAAAAATTGCGGAGGTGGAAAATTTTCGATAGTTTCCGAGTAATCTACATTTTTATGAACAACGATATGGCCGATCCACGGCTAGCTTGGGACGCCTAAGGGGGCGTGGCCTGTCTGCGCTCTCCACGAGTCAGGTACTGTCTCGTGCATTATCGTGTCAGGACCCTTTTTTCGATGGCTCAGCCGTGAAATAGACAGATAAAAAAATTATAATAAATTTTTAGACCATGGTAAACATCTATGTCCTATTGGAGAAGGAGATTTTTCCTAAATCTTTAATTTTGTGCTAATTTAATTTTTCAATTTCTCGGATGTCAAAAAAGACATTTTCGAACAGAAGGATCATTTAAATAAGTTCAGTTTCACAAAAATCCCTCGATTTCGAGCAAAATTGAGACTTCTGACGATCTTTAGTCACCAAACTGGAAATTTAGCAAAAGACAGTTCTAGAGCGACCACTTTAATGAAATCAAAACCCACGAGGCATTCCGAAATTGGGCGGCGGCTGCTGTTGTTGAGGCTTGAGTGAAGGCTGAGCTGGGCCTTGCAGATGGAAAGGCGTCGTTTGAGTCGGCGTTTCCCTGTGAAGCATCGCGATGGCCGTTTGCGGGTCGACGATCCTCATCACCACTTGCGCCTTTAAAATTGAGTGGTATGAAAAAATGCTAGCGATGATTCGAACGGCGACTTTTCTATTTTTTCATATCTCTAGGGAACTTTCCGACGTTTTTTTATTGATAAATTCTTCGCTTTGAATCGGCCTATATAAAATAGGTAGTTGATTCATGATTGAAACACAAAAAAAAATTGTTAATAGATGTTTTATAAACGAAAAATATAAGGGAAAAATGAAAAAATCGGAAAAGTCGCCGTTCGAAAATTCGTTGGCTTTTTTTAATACCTCCTAAAAATGACATTGGAATGTTGAATCTATACATTCTCCTATTGGAAATCGCTCACAGAACTTGAACTTTTGATGAAACTTTGCTGAAGTGTACCGCCAGATCATAAATGGGCAGACTTTTTTTCAAGGCCAAGTTTTTTTTAAATTAAAGCTAATAATATTCTCTTGAGGCTAAAACTTGTATTAATGTGGCCAAAACTACCTCTCTGAGATTGAAATTTAATTTTATTTCTGACTTCTTAAAATTTTTGTAAGCTAACCCTTCTACCGCGCTGAATGAGTGCTGTACTTGCCCATCTATGCTCCAGATTTTTGAGTTAAACTTCGCAAACTACCATTAAAAAAATAAGGAAAAAGACGTTATTTGAAGCTTTTGAGACATCATATATAAAAAAAAAGAGATCTATTAACAAAAATTGCCTTCTTAATCTAGAATCAGGACGCTCTAGGTGCACTTCAGCAAAAGAAATTTTAAATGGGAACTCAAAAACATTCCATTTAAGTATTCAGCGATCACAACTTCAAGAACAAGATCTTCTTTCTTCTCAGCTTAATTTCACCAGCACTTCTTTGGAAAACACAACAAGCGTTGTGAATCAAGTGAACCTTATCGAAGTTCGAATAATTCAGGAACTTCTTTGAACAAATTATTATAGGTTTTCATAACCACTCGAAAAAAAAAATCGTTGAAAGAGTTTCTACATTCTCCTTGAAATTATTGCTGATAAGAAAACTTTTTAACAACCGTTTGAACTCTTTAAAGTTCTCAAACTACCTAAAATGTGATCAATAGGCGTTTTTGAAGCTTTTGAGAAAGTATAAATAAAAAGTAAGAACTTTTGCGAGAAAGCGTCTCCTTGGTCTGAAATCAGGAGGCTCTAAGAAGGCCTTAGATCAGTTTCATCAAAATCGAGGCTTTAAAAAAACTTCCCTTTTTTTGTTGTGTTGAGCGATTAAAACTATACTTTCAGAAAAGTTCTTCTTTCATTAATTTCCCCAGTCCTTTTTTTGGAAAACACAGCAAGCTTCTGCAAATTAATTTATGTATAGAAATTCGGAGCTTCTTCGATCTCAAGTTAAATCATATCATTTTAAGTTAAAAAATGAGAACCTTCGGATGAAAATGCATTACCCTGATAGTTACTGAGCTTGTAAAATATGACAACCGATCAAAAAATTTTCTAAATTTCCAAAAAATCTTGATAACTTTCAGTCGGTTGTCAAACACTCTTTTTGATTCCATAAAAAATTATCACAAGTTGATTAATCTAAGCTACATGGATAATAATTTTCAAATAGAATATAACAAAAAAAATCCAATTAAACCTGCAAAAGTGCATAAGCCAGCTGCGGATTAGCCGTCAACATATTCTTGATTTCATTTGGATTGGTCCGCACGATTTCCTTCATTTGTTTCATCAACTCGAACATTTTCTCAGGCGGCAGAGAAGCCACACAGCGGGAAATCGCCTAAAATCACAGTATTAAGAATTTTTTGAAATTTAGGAGAATTCTGAAACCTCTGGAGCTTTGGAAGGATCGATTTCCGCTCCATACGGGTTTTTCCTCCTGTGGTTCTAGAGCTGTCTGAAATTTATCTTTTATTAAATTTGTTCTGAAATCATTGCTGAAACTGTTAAAAAAAGCATTGCCATATTTCAGAAAAAGTCTCGAGACGAAGAGCATTTTTAGGCCTTTAAACATTAAAAAAAAGATTTCTGGAATTTTTTCGAACCTGTAAAGTATTCATTTCATCGGCTGTCCTTTCGCCTCCGGCCGCACTGTCCACTCTCAACGGACGACCATTTAATTCAAATCTAAAACCAGTTTTCATATTAATTTCCTTTTTTTAGAGCTCACCCATTCAAATTTCTTATAGCCAACTCGGCCGTCTGAACGTCAGCATATTCCACGAATCCATACCCTTTCGGCTTGCCAGTTTCTCTGTCGTTTACCATTTTTGAGCGATAGAACTGGTCCAACCTAAAAATTATTTTCATTTGAAATATATAAGGATAAAAAAAACCTTGGCAAAAAAATCTGTCGAATCGATTCGTCTTGAACGTCGTAGGAAATATTTCCCACTGAAATTTCGAAATTTCATACTTTTTTAACATTTTTCAAACTAACCGAAGACCGATCTGTGGGACCTGTCCGACATGTTCATCATCTGCTGTTTGAAACTCATTTTGGCCAAACCAAACGGGCTGAAGCGCGAATTTTTTATAGTTCCGTAAAGGCTTTAAAGAAAATATTAGGAAAAAAGCGGTTGTGAACAAAAAATTCAAAAGTTGAGCTTAAAACTGGCTTCAATTTCCTTGGAAGAAAGATAAAAACGAAAGTTCTTAGATTCGGAACTTTCCGCAGTGATTTCATAAAATTGATTGGAAGAGTAGTCTATGAGCACTTTTTCAACGACTCTGAACTATATTTTCTTATATCAAACACACTAATTTTTGAAAGAAACAAGAAAGAAAAACAATAATTGAAGCGTTTCTAAAAAAATTTTGAATATACAAATTTCCTGCGGCGCGCTACTTCTACGCAGCCAATGCACGGCAATCCCACCGCCACGCCCCCTTTGTGACGTTAAAAAATTTTCGAATGAAATTTGTATCTTATTTCATTCAAAATACGGAGTATTTGCTTGTTTCCTGGTTTATCGCCTTAAAATTTAGAGCCTTCATCATTCTTTTTTTTTAGAAAGTCTAGCGAGTCTGACTTCAAGGCGCCCGTAATTTCCTCATTTTTTTGTTCGTTTTTTTAAAGTTTTTTTATTCTTCTGAATGTTTGTTAAAATACAAAGAAAACTCACTTGGTTGTCACCATCCTGTTCATTGAAAATGAGGGTAGAAGTCGGAATTTATTTTTTTAAATGAATCAAATTTCAATGGTAAACTCACGTTCCACGTCTTTTCTTTATTCGAAATGTATGCCACGTTTCGTTAAATCGTTTTTGTGGCTTTTTATTGAATTTTCATGTGAATGTTTTCTATTTGTAGTTTTTCCAAAGAGACGGGATTCCTTCTATTTCCATCAAAAGCTGCTCTTGTCAAGGAGAAGAAGAAAAATGAACAAAATCACATGTTGAGAGCGATTCTCATATTTTATTTTTATGGGAACATTGCCCGAGCCCGTACATGTCATTTTCGGTTTCCTACGCTTTTTTTTTGAACCTATAACGATCTTTTTTTCTCATAAGAACTTTCGAGCTTTTTTTTTCAAAAATCAAGGCGTATTTTTTCCGCATAGCTACAAATCAGGATATTTTCGAAGTTCGCTTTTCGTTTTAGTTCCTTCTTCGAAAAACAGAATGGAGATTTGTTTTCCTTCTAGTTTAGCGAGATTAAGAGGGCGGCGGAAAAAATTGACTCGAGTGTGAGAAAAAGTCATTTGAATGGAATATGGGACTTCATCAATTATTTTAGCTATTTGATGCCGTATTTTTCTTGGAAGTAACGTAGGGCGATATATTTTTGATCAGAGTAGTTCATTTTTTGTATATGTTTATCGAAGCTCAAAGTTGTTATAGTTGAAAGAATGTTAAGAAAAACGCAGATTTTTTCGAAGTGTTTCTCAATAACTGCTTGTCATTTTTCTCTAAGGTATCTCAAAACTTGCTTCTATCTTTTGAAGAATAAATTTTTTTTCAAAGAAAACATTTTAGCGCCTCAAAAGGAAATAGGGAGATGTTTTTTTAAATCTAATTTTTTTTTGCAAGTTCGGATAGGTTCTGAAAATTGGAACCAGAAGTTCCATTGCTTCAAAATCTAGATATGTTTTCTTGGATCATTATAGAAAAATATAGTATTTAGTGCTTGTAAATTTAAGCTCTGGTATGATTTTTTTTTTCCAAACTCTGCTGATTTCTAGTTCAAGACAAAAGGTTCAGTCTAGCTCAAGGGTTTTTTTTTCCATTTTTCTAGAAGCTTTTTCCGGACTAAGGACCGAAAGTTCAGTCCCCACTCCAACACTAACTCCAGTTTTTGTTTTCCTCAGTTTCTTGTTGGGCATCTCCCTCCGACGTCTCACACGGCGTGTGAGCATATAAGGGATTGCTCGGATTTGGCGGAGCCAGGACGGTGAGGGAGAGAGAGATGGCAGACGATGAGGCGAAAAATGGAGGGGGGCGTGGCGTGCGCTCCTCCGGCCGGCCAAGCCCCTCGGCACTCTCTCCCCCCTCTCTCCCCATTTTCGTGCTCTTTTTTTGTCTGTCGTGCTCCCTTGTTGGCAAGCTTCCCTTCCGGACGACGACGACGACGACGTCGACCGCCGGCTTACTCCCCAAACATGGCCGCAAAACGCCCCTCCTTTTTCGTCATCTCTTCATCTTTTTGTTCTTGCGCTTTACTCCTTGCCGTTTCTAGTGCTTTGAGTTGGTTCAAAAGTCAAGTTTTATTAATATGGGGTGCCAAGGAGATTCCATTGAGCTTCTCATCGAATTTTTTGTGATAAAGAAATAGATATATTTTTTTGAAAATTTTTGTGAAGTCAATTTTGAATATTCTCGATTCTTTTTGATCATTCCTCACAGCTTCTTCGAGTACTGTGTGATCTGCTTTCTTTTTACTCATTTTAGAGCTTTTCTATAAATTTGAACTTTTCTAAAACCGTGCTTCAATTTCGGAAATTGCAGTTGAGAACCAACTTTTTTGATTGATCATAAATTCTTCTGAGCTTCTTTTCCACAAGTCGGGTTGATCCAACTATCAATTTTGAGTAATCAGGAAATTTTTGCTTGATCATATTATTCATATCGGACGAGATTGATATTTCAGAGATTTTTTGAATAATTTTCATTTTCCTTTGGTTATTCTGGATATATTTTGAGCTTTTCTTCTAGAGATTGAGGTATTTTTAAAGAAAAATAACTATTGCATACTTTTTTATTTTTTTTTTCACATTTTTTCATTTTTTTTTCCTATGGTTTCTGTCCGTTTTCCAGCCAAGAAGGGACACAATTCGAGTGGTATTTCGAAAAGTATGATTGAGACTATCACTAAAAATCAATTTTGATGGAAATAAGTGATTCCTGAGAAAGAAATAGTTCGAATGAATGATTCAGAAAGAGTTCTTGATACAATTTCCAGAGTTCGAAGATATCTTCGTACAACTTTTAGTGTTTCTCGTGAGAAGGATACAAATTTCGACCTTTTTTGGAGTTGTATTGACTTCTAGGCTGGGAAATTTAGCGAATAAAGAAATAGAATGTTGAGAATTCAATATTTTTCATCCCTGATAGGAAAAGAAACTTTGAAGCCATTCCAATGAAGAAGCCTCACAGGAAATCTTAAATAATAAGCTTATCTCCTCCCTTTTTGATTTTTCACTTTCATTTTGCCGTTTTCAAGCTTTTACTCGCTGTGGATTACTCAAACAGCTTCACAAAACAAAGCAAGATAATCCCCATCATTCATTTCTAAGCCTTTTTTCTATTTCTCTCGAATCATTCTTGGCGAAAAAAAAAGAGTTATAGCACCTCTCCAAGGGAATTATTATTATGAATGGGGCCTTTATTGAATATTTGATTGTTTTGATTGGCTGTCCCCCCGGGAAAATTGATGAAAGCTCCTCGAAAAATAGGAATTCATATCAAAAACGTAGCCCAATTTGGAAGGGGTTTTGGTTCGATTTCATTGATTTTTCGATTTTTCTCATATTTCCATAGAGAAGAGGCTGAAAAAAAAGATAATTTCGAACTTTTTCTTTTCGAAATGATAAAATTCAGCGAATTCAGAAAATTTTGTGAAGAAAGCTGAATTCCTAGTAATTAAAATAACTAAAAAAATCAGAAAAAAATCCTATTTTTTTGTATTTCTCTCGTTTTTTTCCATTTTTCATGTTTCGCAATGTTTTTTTATCTGTTTCATAATCCTTGCTGGAGATTTTTAAAACAAAAAAACTCTTCGCTTCTTCTTCTTTTTGTAAAATTTAGCTCTGCTCCTTTAAAATCCTAGTAAGGTTTTGGGAGAGATCTATGTTTGTCGAACATTTCTTTATTAATTTATTTGTAACTTCTATCAATTTCATTTTTTTCAGGGGTAATGGAAATTAGGCATAGGTGATTAGAGAGGATCGACGACGAGAAGTTCATCTTCCCTCAGAACGTGAATTTAACGAAACAAACGCGAAACAAGCTCAAAAATCATGACCAAGGACCGGCTACAGGCGCTCAAAGTGCGTTGGGATTCCATTTTCTATCATTTTGAAGAAAAATCTCAATTTTGGAGATATTAAGAGGCTCAAGGACTGGTAGAAATTAAGATTTTAATTCAAAAAAAAAGTTTTTTCTGAAATTCCGTCCAACTTTTCATTAAAAATCCCCGGATTTATCATTTTTTCCTAGAGTTTTTCAAGACCAGATCTTGTTTTTTTTTTTATTGAAATAAGGTAGATTTTTTTGGTTTTTTTCAAGGTTCATTAGCTCCGAAAAATTTTTTTAATTTAACAAACAAGATAAAATTTTTTTAAATTTCACTCAAATTTTGACGATTTTTTTAACATATGATATTCAAAAAAATTTTTTTGATTCATTTTTTGAGAAAAAAATAACCAAGTTAATCTCTTGTTTTTTTAGTTTTTATTTTTTTCGAATTTCAAGACCCTGATTCATCGACAAAAAAACACGTGAAGAAATGACGAAAAACTGAAAAATCGAAGAAAAATCAAATAAAAAATTTTTTTGAATTTCAACGAGAAAAAAAATTTCCTTTTTTTAAATTCAAGTTTCAAAGAAAAAAATGTTCTAATTTGGTTTTTTTCTTGTATTTATCGGTACTTTTTTTCAGGCGGCGCAGTCCGAAGATGAACAAGACGAGGACATGCACGTCGACACCGGAAACGCCCAATATATGGAGGAGTTTTTCGAGCAGGTATGCTTTTTTGTCGGAAAAATAGGTTCTGAAACGAAAATGCTGCTTTTTTAATGATTTTTTGGCTTTTTTGTGCTTCTGGAATTTTTTTTTCTTTTCATGAAGGGTTTTCTAAGCTTTAAGTGATAAAACTTCATTGATTTCACCGGCTTTTCTTGTATTTTTTGGATTTTAAAAATTTTAGTTGAGTTTTTATTGCAACAGTTTTCAATGGGAAGATCATTTTAAGGGTTTTAAAGGGAAAGAAATCGATTTTTAAGGGGTTTTTGGAGAAAATAAAATATTTTAAGGGATTAGGAAGGTTAGAGGGTGATTTGAGGTCATATTTATGGATAATATTGAGAAATTCCAGGTTTGAAAGTGGTTTTTGAAGAATTTGAGAAGAAATAATAATTAACTTGGGTTTTATTTGAGAATAATTCAATGGAAAATCGATACCAGAAAAATTTAGAAGAGCAAATTTTGAATTTCAACTCATTTTCTCACCATTTTTTGTTTATAACTGTTTCACCTTGATCTAAGAGCCAAAAAAGGCTTATTACCCATATCAGTTTCCCGAAAAAAATGTTGATAATTAGTTCAATTTTTCGCCAATTTGCACACTCTCTCTGTATCAAAAGCGTTCCCTCTCCTCAATATATTTCCTCCCCTTTTTTTCCTACTCCCCCTAGTTTTCTTTTCACAATAGAATGGAGAAGCGGAATAACAAAGTCTCAGCCTTGTTGGACAGGGGAATTTTCGAGTATTTCTCGGAAAAAAGATGGAGCAGCAGCGCGTTCCCTTAGGTGAACTAGGAAGTTTTTTTGGTTCTTTTCTTCAAATTACTAATGAAAATCTCGGATTTTGTGGGTAAAAACGCGGAAAACGGCTCTTCCCCTTGAGACCTTTATAGATTTGGTCCATGAGCCTTTAAACATATGCAAGACTTTGATTAAAATTTAGATAGAGAAATATGAAAAAGTCTAAGTTTTTTTAAGGCTGTAAATTTGCGGAAGTCGATGAATTTGTGGATAATTTTTCTACATTTTTCATTTTTTTAATGTTTAAGGATTTTTTTCAAGATTCCATGGGAATACATAGGAAAGTACTTTTTGAACAAAAGTTATTAAAAAAAGCTTGATTTTTTTGCGATTTTTTTGAGGCTTATTTTTCAAAACTTGAGTATTCAAAAGAACAAAAAAAGTTACTAGGAAAATTTTTTCACCGAGTTTAATTATTATGAAGGTCAAGCTTTAAAGGCTTCCGAGTAAATGCGCTCTAAAGATAATCTTATAAAATTTCTTTGTATTTGTTAACCTTTTCATTTTCTCAGGTCCGCATATGAAAAATATAAAGAAAATGAATTGAAAACAAATATTCCGACATTTTTCTAATTTTTATCCAGCTGTTAAGATGTAAAATTCTGAACCCATAAAAATGTCGATTTATGCGCATTTTTCAAGCTTTCTCCTGCTCATTTTCACAGAATCGCATATGAAAACTATAAAAAAAGAACGAATGTCAAACCGACTGCGCGCCGGGGCGTTGTTGGCAATTAAATTTGCACCGCAAATTGCATTTCGCAACCTTCTCCCGCGCGGCTCTCCGCGTTCCCAAATGTATGAGACAATCCGTCTCTTTCTCTCCCTCCAATTGTATATGATGTTTCTTTTTTTCCACTTTTTTTTGGACCCCAAACATGCACAAAACGACAGAAAAAAGCGTTGAATACACGATGGGCAATGCAAGCGGAATGCCGTGAAATTTCCCCCGGCCCAACGATTAGGAAAACGGAAAAAAAAAACACTGCGAAAAAAAAAGTTTCCTCCGGCTAAAGTCATTTGGAGAGATTTGAAAGCGAGAAGGCGCAATTAGGATCGAATCGCCCGCGGGATTTTCCCCCTTTTGAGCATATTTTATAGGGCTAATGAGCCAATTTGAGGCCGGTGAGTTATTCGAATTTTTGGAGATTTTTGGAAGAGGGCTAAAGAAGCTTTGGTTGGGTACAAGGGTAGAGAGAGGTGTTAAAAAAATAGTGGGATCAGGAAAAGTTTCATAATTCTTTCAGCATAATTGTAGTTAGGGGAAAAAGATCTACAGATTTTTAGAAATTAAATAAGCATCATTTAGGAAGTTGATGAGTGGATCTGAGGTTAAGCCGGTAATTTTTTTGAATTTTGGACGTTTTTGGAGTCTTTAAGCTTTTATTTTGTCTCGAGTATTGAAAGAGATTTTGAAAAAAAGATTACAGAACCAAAAAATTTGTAGGATTGCGAAAATTGTCCACTTCTTTCAGTGAAATTGTAGATAGGGAAAAAATCTAAAAAGGTTTGATTTTTGGGAAAAAGGGCTCTTTTTGAGCATTTTTAATAAGGTTCATGAGTCTATCTGAGGTCTTGGGAGGATGCTGAAGATGTGAATTTTTTTTTTTTGAAGGAGCGTAAGTCGTTTTAAGGTCGGGTGATTCTTCATAATAAGCTTTGAGTGGTTCTCCATGCTTCTACCTTCTTTTATAATTGATTATGTATTTTTTATTGTTTTGCGGAAATTTAACTAATTAGCCTCAAAATTGAACCTCAACTTATTCAGCTTCAACAGTTTTCGTTCAGCCATGTTTCAAAATTTCTTATAGCCTGTTTGCCAACCTTTGAAATTTCACCGAACGACATTCCGCTGTTTTGCCGCGTGCGGTCGCGTAGCGGTTTTGCCTTTGCGAAGCGCTTAAAATTTTTTATTTCTTTTAAGTACTAGATTTTGATGCGTTCCAAATAAGACAGTCTATCTACAATAATTGATAATCAATTAAAAGCGCGACCGAGATTCGCAAAGGCAAAGACGCTACGCGACCGCACGCAGCGGAACAGCGGAGTGTCGTTCAGTGAAATTTCAAGTGTTGGCACACAGACTATATGAAGACTGCTCTTCTTTTCAATATGAATCTTCCAAATTTCAAAAAAAAATTTTCAAGAGGGTATACAGAAGTTAAGTTTTATAAGTCAATTTTGATTAATTAAACTTATTTTTCTTTCTTAAATTACTGAAAATTGTACCAGCAACGTTACCTTGGGATCTCTTTGCTTCAAATAACTTTAGTTTTTCAAGTTTTTACAAGGCTGTACTCCTTTTCTTGTTCCAAAATGTCCTAGAAGTCAAAAATTGACCCCAAAATCTTATTCAAACTTCTGAAAGCGTTCAACTTCGGGACCAGCGGAACCTCTATTGATTCTCACCCATTCTTTCTTCTCTTCCTGAGTTGGACCAAACTCAACCCGGGGCTTGCCCCCCACTCTTCTTCTCGTTCTCGAGTCGTCTTTTTCCCGCCCGTGCTTCTTGGCTAGTTTCTCTCCTTCTGATGTGCAACGCGCACTCTTTGAATCGGAATTGGCCCGTTGGAAGGGGGCTCACACGCCACTTGAAACACTTGATCTTCTCTGAGTTATGGCCGACGGAAATGTTCGCTGCTTCCTTTTTTCGGAAGATGGAGATATCCGTTGCACTCGGCCGTCTTTTCTTGGAAGGGGGAGAATTGAGGTTTTTTTGCAGGAGATGTTTGAGAGTTTGTCGAGGCGATATACTTATGAGTATTTTTGGTTTTTAGGATTAAGAAGCTTCGGAAGGCGCGGATGATAAAAAAATAGCCCTGCCTTTAAATGGACAAAAAAATGGGGGCGGGGGAGAAAATAAGGTTTTTTTGCAGGAGATGTTTGAGAGGTTGTCGAGGCGATATACCTATGAGTACCTCGTTTTTTTAGGATTAAGAAGCTAAGACATTGATTATTAGAAAAAAAGGCCCTACCTTTAAAATGGACTCAAAATGGGGGAAGGTTTAAAATTTTGAACGCGGCTAAAAAAACAGATTTTTTTCACCAAAACAGCTCAACCTTTGTTCATAGTGATGACCGTTTACTTCCATAAAATCAGCTCATTTCATTTTTTTATTTCGAATCGCTCACTTTTGAAAATTTAAGACTGTTACGAAATTCAGATTGAGAGAATTTCGGACTAATTATGGCTTTATTCAAGCTCCTTCTTGTTTCAAACCCATCTCTGGAGATTCGCCAGATCCTCTGTGCTTGAAAAATTGCCCATAAACGTGTAGAACCAAAAAAAGGAAGGAAAGAAAGCTGCGCACGATGTTGGTGGTGTTGGCGGATGGGCGTAGGATGAATGATGGGAATATTTGAAAAAAGATGAGAAACATTTGGTTTCCGGGCAGTTTTTCGTGTCGAATCCTGTTCTTCAAGGCGAAAATCTGTCGGAAAATTGAAAAATTGGTTTTTTATGGCTTTCCAGGATCATTAACTAACCGAAAAATGGCCTTCAGCAAGACTTATTTTGTTTCCAAGTTATTTTTCACTGAGAAAATTAATTTTTTCACTTCGTAGGAACCGAAATTTGTTTTTTATTGAAGGCTGCTTGAAATTATTGCTTTAAAATTGCTCTCCAAGTTCAAAAAAAAAGTATTCTCTGTAGACGCTTCATACCTAATCAAACCATTTTTTGTCCTTCTAAAGCTCCAAATCCCCCTCCAAAGACCTTCCACTCGAAAAATCGCCCATAAACGAGCAAAACCAAAAAAGGAAAGAAAGCTGCTGACGATGTTGGTGGCGGATGGGCGTAGGATGAAAGATGAGAAGATGGCATCCTCGGATGAGTGCGTGAGTGTTGTCTTGCTGCTGGTTGCTGAGGTGAAAATGCTCTTTTTTTCCATGCCTTCGCTGGGAGAAGAGTGCTGGAAGTAGTAGTTGTGTCGAGGGGAGGACTGGCATTCATTTCCCCTTCTTCTTCTTGCCTCTCCCACGCCTTTTTGGAAATGCGAAAACTCATTTTGGTCGACCACTAGGCGAAGATCAACGCCTTTAATTTATTTCTTTCCGTCCAAACTGCCTTTGGAGTTGCACTCCGGAGAAGAAGAGAAATGGGGATTTTTGAAGGGGAGAGCTCTTCGGAGAGGATCTGGGATAAATGGCGGAAACATTGCTCCATGGCTAATTGTTACCATATGACGGCGCTTTATGGCTAAATTGACAGATTAGAAAGAAAGAAAAAATCATGTGAAATAACAGCCTTTCAAACTTGAGCTTGTATGCTCTATGGCTAATTTAAATGATTTGAGAGAAAAATGGGGAAATAAGTTGAACTTTGCAACACTTTTCCCTTTAACGTGAACCTGAGTGTTTCTAGTGACCGCTCTAATGGCGTCAGTACTCTTTAGTGATCCCTAGAATCCATCAGAAACCTCCGGGGTGCGTCTGATTTTGAAAAAATTGGAAACCTTGCTCCATGGCTAATTGGTACCATATGACGTCTATAGCTGGATTGACAGATTAGAAAAAAAATGTGTGAAAAAACAGCCTTCCTAACTTGAGCTTGTATGCTCTATGGCTAATTTAAATGATTTGAGAGAAAAATGGGGAAATAAGTTGAACTTTGCAACACTTTTCCCTTTAACGTGAACCTGAGTGTTTCTAGTGACCGCTCTAATGGCGTCAGTACTCTTTAGTGATCCCTAGAATCCATCAGAAACCTCCGGGGTGCGTCTGATTTTGAAAAAATTGGAAACCTTGCTCCATGGCTAATTGGTACCATATGACGTCTATAGCTGGATTGACAGATTAGAAAAAAAATGTGTGAAAAAACAGCCTTCCTAACTTGAGCTTGTATGCTCTATGGCTAATTTAAATAATTTGAGAGAAAAATGGGGAAATGAGTTGAACTTTGCAACACTTTTCCCTTTAACGTGAACCTGAGTGTTTCTAGTGACCGTTCTAATGGCGTCAGTACTTTTTAGTGATCCCTAGAATCCATCAGAAACCTCCGGGGTGCGTCTAATTTTCGTTACCGAAACACGACTTTCCTACGATTTTTGTTAGAAGCTCCATTTTTATCACATATTTTCCACTTAAGGTCGAAGAAATACGAGGGAGCGTGGACCTGATCGCCAACAATGTCGAAGAGGTCAAGAAAAAGCACTCGGCAATCCTCTCAAATCCAGTTAATGATCCCAGTTAGCATCGCAGCGACATTCCCTCGGAATAATTGGCTTTCCTTGCAGAAACCAAGGAGGAACTCGACGAGCTCATGGCCAGCATCAAGAGGACCGCTAATAAAGTCTAAAAACTATTTTTAATGAAGAAAATGTATAAATTCTAGGTCCGAGGGAAGCTGAAGCTCATCGAAAACGCGATCGAACACGATGAATCTTCTGGCGCCGCAAATGCCGATTTGAGAATCCGAAAAACTCAGCACAGTACTCTGTCCAGACGATTTGTTGAGGTGATTTTTTGGGTCTTATCAGGAAAAAAAAGGAAAAAAATTTAAATGGGAATGGTGAAAACCCAGTGTATCTTATCCATGTAGACGAGGAACTTTTTTTAATCAAAAATATTTTTTTCTCTCGTGCAAAGTCGGAAAGGGTGGAAAAAGGCTTCATAGAAATGTTCCTATTAGGGTGAAAAATGCTTCTTTTTTGTTGCCTTTTTGGGCCATTTCATCGGCCATTATGAACCATTTTTGCTGCCTTTTTCTTTTTCCACCATTTCTTAAGCCTTTGATGTTCTTTAAAAATGGAAAGCTCGATAAAGGGAATCGTTTTGCTGCTGTTCTGGGCCCTTTTTGCTGCCTTTCTGCGGCCTTTTATGAGCATCTCTTTTTTAGCGGTCATTATAACAATTTCCGGCTTTGCACGAGTTGGTATATTTCATCTTTAAGTTAGGAAGTTCAAAAAATAACGAGAAGGTGAAGGAGATTTGAAAAAAAATGTTTCTTTTGGAGAGCGCTTTTTTTCTTTCACAACTAGGTTATTTTACTTGGCGACTTGGATTTTCCTACAAATTTCCCCAAACGCTCTCTGAAAGTTAAGAAAAACGTCCTTCATAGTCGCTACTCGGCCCAACTTTTAGTTTTCGAAATAATCATTTTTGAAGCTCGAAAAGTTAGGCTCAAAGCCCATATTTTGCAAATTTGAAAAGTTATATCTCAAAAACTAGAAATTTACGCAGGTAGGGACTAGGAGGGATCGTAATCTAGACTTTCAGAGTGTTTGAGGAATGTATTCTTGTAGATAATTATTTTTTAATGTTCGATAAGTTAACCCATATTTCGCATTTTCATCTTCGAAGCTGTGAGCGATGAAGGGACCGATTCTTAAACTTTGAAAGAATGTTTCCGCAAATTTATAGGAAGTTTAAAACCGCGAAGTCGAGAGACCTCCTTGTAGGAAATTAGTTAAAATTCAAAAATTAACGTCTCAAAAATTAGAAATTTCCGCAGGTCGCAACTATATGCATACATGGGATAGTCTCGATGAGAAATGAAAAAAAAGGGGGGTGGACATGGCAAAAAAACGAGAAAATGCGGGGGGTTGGCAAAACCGTAAAAAAAGAACATTTACATCTTCCGGTGTCAACCTGTAAGTCAATAAATTAACAAAAAAACAAATCGTTTTTTTCCTCGAGCATGGGGCGGGGGGCTTGGCAATAAGTTGTGGGGGAGGGGGGATTTAGCTGTCGCCAGTCATGCTCATCCCATGTATGACTATAAGGAATCATAATCTCAACTTTCAGAGAGTGTAAAAAGCTAATTTTCAGAAAATCCCAAACCGCAAAGTAAAATAACCTCACTTTTAGCATTTCTCATGATTTTAAGAAGATTTTAAGCTCAAACCATTCAGTGAAAAAGAAATGGGGATATTTAAGGTTATGACGGATTACAACAAGACGCAAACCGACTACAGAGAAAGGTGTAAGGGAAGAATCCAGCGACAATTGGATATTGGTAGGCTTTTTTTCATTCCCAATGTATTTTTGTTTCGTTTTGAGCCTTTGTTTCAAATTTTCATATTTTTCGTTCCCTTTTTAGCCGGAAAACAAGTTGGCGATGAGGATTTGGAAGAAATGATCGAAAGCGGAAATCCGGGCGTCTTCACCCAAGGAATCATTACCGATACTCAACAGGTTCTTTTTGAATATATTCAGACTTGAATCAGAATTTTTTTCCAGTAGAAGGCTTCAAGTGAAAATGAAAAATATCATATTTTCCTCCGATTGTGCTTTTTTTGTGTTTTTTTAAAATTAGACACAAAAATTCTACAGCTTTTCAATTTTGTGAAAAAAACTTTGAATATAACTTTTGAATCATTCAAATCTGGAAAAATTGGAAACTTTACTTTTTCCCTATAGTTTTCCCTGTTCAAATTTTGATCAAGGAGTTGAGGAAATGATCGAAAATTCTCAGTTGTCCAGGTTTTGGATTGGATGTTTCTCTCAAAAAAGGCTTCCATTTTTTTTTACTCAATCAGCTTCTTCTCCATGTAGGAAAAATTCGAGGGGTCGGATTAAATCTCACAAGGAAAATTTTTTAAGGAAAAATCGCATATCTGGTCCAAACTTCTGTCGTAGATAGTTTCTTAGTACCCTATGGCGCTTGGCAGATGATTCTTTTGTTTTCGAATGCTAATACCTGGGACTACCTACCACAGGAGTTTGAACCATATCTGCGATGTCAGTGAGAGCAGAAATGAATACCGACCTCTTGCGGGGGGAGAAATGAAACAACCAGACTTCTAACTGTACCACTCTCATTTTTTTATTCTACTTCATTTTTGTATAAATTATTTTTTTCTCCAGGCCAAACAAACGCTGGCCGACATCGAAGCCCGTCACAACGATATCATGAAACTGGAGAGCAGCATCCGGGAACTACACGACATGTTCATGGACATGGCGATGCTCGTCGAAAGCCAAGTTATTCTCCACTCCTTCTTTTTTTTTTCGCCCCGCCACAAATTTATTCAATTTCCCGCAGTTTCTGCCCAAAAAAAGAAAGAAAATTGAATCGGCTCCGTTTCCCAATCGCTTTTTGTTTACGGTCGTTATTTAATAATGTATGGGAACTCGTTTTTTTTCGCCTTTTTTTGGTGGGAAGTGTTGAAAATTACATTTTGGCTCTGTTTTTGATATCATAATCTGATGAAGTGCTTAGGAACGCTAGAGTGGTCCCTATGGGGGCAACTTTAGGGACCTTGAGGGACCACTTTAACAGCCCCTATATGGGGCACTAAAGCTTGCAAAAATGGTCTTTATTCGGGTTTGAGTTAGTGGCCAATGCAGTTCTCGGTATAGTACTTAAAAATGCCGGAGTGGTCACTATAGGGGCAACCTTAGAGATATTTGAAATTCCCCCTCTAGGGACCACTTTACCAACCCCTACAGGGGCCACTGAATTTTGCAAAGATGGTCTGTGTAGGGGTTTTAGGTAATGCCAATATAATTATTGGTGAAGTACCTAGGAACGCTAGAATGGTCTCTATAGGGGCAGCCGTAGAGGCTTTTGAAGTTTCCCTTCTAGGGAACACTTTTCATCCCCTTATAGGGCCCTAAAACTTGTAAAAATGGCACAGATAGAGGTTTTAGTTAGTGGCCCCTGTAGGGGTCGTTCTTTATTAATAACTCTATGAGAAGAAGCATTCTTAGGCGAAAGGCGGGTCAGATCTCAAATCCCTATAAGGATCTCTTAAAATTTATCCTTATAGGCATCACTTTTTGTCCCCTATAGGGACTGTTCTTCCCGAACCTTTTAGATATCATTCTGGCGTTTCTAAGATTTATATGATCATTCTTTCCTAAAAATGTTCATATGAATCTTTCAAGGTTCGTTTCTTGGTTCGGAAGTGTTTTTATAAGTTTTAGAATTATTTTGAACCATTTTAAAAAAATATATGAAGTTGTAGATATTTTTATTGGAAAGATTAGTGCAATAGTGTGTGAAAATCATTGGTAACGGTTTTTTTTTGTTGTGAAAATATGGATTTTTTGAATATTTCAGAGGAAAACGGAGGAGGTTCAAGAAGTTTTAGGATATGTTTCAAATGACAGTTGGGAAAATTCAGGGAGAAATGGTGGACCGAATCGAGTACAACGTGGAGCACGCCAAGGAATTTGTCGACCGGGCAGTCGCCGACACGAAAAAAGCCGTCCAGTACCAGAGCAAGGCCCGACGGGTAACTTTTACTTTCTTTTTTGAGGGTTTCTTCAAATTGAGCTTCAAGAGTTGGCTTTTTTTGATTTCTAAACACAAAATCTAAAAAAAATTCAATTTTTTTCCTGTGCGAAACGGATCTTTTTTTCGAGGTTTTGGAGCCAAAAATCTATAAAACACTCATTTTTTTCCTATGGAAATTTCATCTTTTTTTCGGTTTTTTTAAGTCCAAAATTTACGAAAAGAAAGCATTTTTTTAGTGAAAAACTCATCTTTTTAAGCCTTCTAAGTCCGAAATCTAAGAAGAGAAGTCATTTTTCCCGTGGAGAACTCAAATTTTTTCGATTTCTAGTTCCAAAATCTACAAAAATTTGCAGTTTTCCTGTGGAGAACTCATCTTTTTCAAAGCTTTTAAGTCCAAAATCTACGAAAAGTAGGCGTTTTTTGTGGAAATCTCATTTTTTTTTAAGCCTAAAATCTACAAAATACACGATTTTTCTGTGTAAGCTTATCTTTTGAAGATTTTTAAACCAAAATCTAAAAAGAAATTTTTCTCTTATTAAAAAAAAATCAACCATTCATTATTTCAAAAAAACGAGTTTGATTATTTGAATATTTTCTAGTTTCGGCGAAAAAACTGCTCCAAAAAAGGCTTTTTTTTCTGGAAAAGTGTCAATTTTAACACCAAATTTTCCTAGGCGATCCATTATTGTTGTCAATTTTTAGGAAGCTTAATTTTTTTAGATATCCTCTTATTTTTTTTGGCCACTCTGCACGGCTTCCGGCTTTTGTCTTGTCTGGTCTCGTGTGTGTCATTATGCGTCTCTTTTTTCGTTCTGTTTTGTTTCTTTCTGCATGTGTGGATGTGTCAGTGCAATTGCGTGTGAAATTGTGAGTGTGCTGTGTGAAGTTTTTATTGGGGCACTCGGAAATTTTCTTCTTTTTTGGGGGATTTTGATGAGAAAATAGAGTGGAGTATGGAGCTGGATAAGGGAGATTTTTTTGGAACCAATCTTTAGTTTGATTTTTTTGAGGGGTGGGGGGGGTTGTCTTGCGGATTTTTTTCAAGAGAAGTAATTGAAATTCAGTAGTGGATAAGTGATTTTTTCAGAATTAACTTTTCGTTCACTTAAATTAATTTTACGGAGTAAGTTCTCAGTTTTGAGGAGGCTTTTTATGACAGAAAAAAAGAGGGTTTTTTTCGAATTGAACGTGTGAAATTTTTTTCGGAAACAACTTTTCGCTCACTCATTTTAATTTTAATAAGTAAGTTCTCAGTTTTGAGGAATTTTAGGACAGGAGAAGAGGATTTTTCGAATTGAACATGTGAAACTTTTTCGAACTCAACTTTGAATCCGATTGTTTTGATTTTGCGAAGTAAGGTTCTATTTCGAGCATTTTTGAGCTGAAAATGGAGCTTTCGAGTTGATTTATGATATCAGATATGGTCCGCTATTCACCAGAAGGATTTTTTTGAAAAGAAAAATCAGTTTAATTGAAGTTTTAATAAATGTTAGAACCCCTTTCTTGATTCTAAGGAGAGGATCATTCCGTGGACTATCGAAATTAGTGGACTTTTATGGAATCGATTGGACCCTAGTTGTTGCTTTTTGAAATTTGTGTGGTGAAGTTCTCATGATAAAAAAGGTTTTATCAGATTTCCATAGCTGATAGCCAAGAAAAAGCGATTTTTCATTTATCATCAGAAAAACGCGAAATTCAGCAGTTTTTCAAGCCCGTTATGTGTTGGGTCATAAATTTCGAACAATGAGCTGAAGTTTTTCGAACTAAACAACTTGTCAAAATGTTCTCCCCAGGGAGAAGAAGCTCATTTCGAAAAGGAAGTTGAGGCTTTTTGGAAAGTTTTCGAATGGGTGAGGTTATAGTTATCGATTTTAAACTGCGAAATTTTTTTTTTCATTTAAAAAAACAGTTGTATTGATTGTTTTTTTCGTTTAGAAACTTTGAAGTTAAGTGAATTTGTTATATAGCTTTTTCTGGGAGAATTATGTTAGAAAGACGATTTTTCAATATATCAATCGTTTTCCAAGAACATGTACGTTTCATAGAGGGTTCAAGAATGGGAGCTACGACAAGAACTAGTTTTCCATTAGCGGAGGGTACATATATATTTCCTTTTTTTTTTGGCTTTTTTTCAAGATTTACATTTTTCTCGATGATAATTGGTCGACAAAGAACAGTATCAAAAATAAAATGAAAAATAGAATCCAAAAAAAACTCGGAGATGAAGTCACGCAACAAAAGTGTATGCACGCAATGCGCATTTCCGCATACAGTACTCCTCGAAAATGGAAAACTCGCTCTTTTTGTAGCACCCCAGACGGAGAATTTGGAAAAAGCGTTATTATTGAGTTAGAACTAATTCGGTCACGTGGAAATCTAGTCAGCAAGATTTTTTAATTCATGGAAATATTTAGCCGACTTTTATAGTCTCTGTGCCACGACTTGAAAATTTTTCATTAACAAAAACAGTTATATTGATTGTTTTTTTTTTCGTTAAGAAACTTTGAAGTGAAGGAATTTGTTATATACCTTTCCTTTGGGATTATTATGTTAGGAAGGCCGATTTTTCAAAATCTCAATCATTTTCCAAGTACATGTACGTTTCATAGAGGGGTCAAGAATGAGTGCTACGACAAGAACTAGTTTTCCATTTGCGGAGGGTACATATATATTTCCTTTTTTTTGGCTTTTTTTCAAGATTTGCATTTTTCTCGATGATAATTGGACGACAAAGAACAGTATCAAAAATAAAATTGGAAAAAAAATTCGAAAAAAAAACCCCGGTGACGTCACGCAAGAGAAGTGTATGCACGCAATGCGCGTTTCCGCATACAGTACTCCTCGCAAATGGAAAACTCGCTCTTGTCGTAGCACCCCAGACGGAGAATTTGGAAAAGCGTTATTATTGAGTTAGAACTAATTCGGTCACGTGGAAATTCAGCCGAATAGATTTTTTTTATTCATGGAATTATGTGTTAAGCTGACCTTTAGGATTTTCTTTTGGATTTTATTCATTTATTTAGTTTTCCCCGTTCCCATCAATTTGGAACTTTCAGAAAAATTTTCTCACAAGTTTTGTAGAGATTAACGTAGGAAGACCCCATATAGGGAATTTATCGATTGTGAGCTGGAAAAGCGGCTTTTGAGGCTTCTTTAATCCGTGTGGCCATATTTTATGGATGTGTTCCACTAGGGATTTGTGTAGGCTTTCTCTTTTCTGCCTTCTTTCCCGCAGTTTAAGCTGGGATTTGAACGTGGGCTTGTTAGAACTTGATCATATGGGGGATGAATATTTTTGCAATGAAATAGAGATTTTTATAATTTATGACTGGCTTCAAAGTTTCCTGTACTTGAGTTGGGTAGCCAGGATATTTTTGACATTTATCAATAGATTTTTTTTTTCTACGAATGGTTCAGTTTCTTCATTTTACGAGTTTAGGTCTTTTTGCACCTATTTTGAACTGGAGTGATGGGTTTCAGTTGGAAGATGGTTTTAGGGATATAATATGGGGATAAAGCCATTTTTTATGAGGCACCACTATTAAAATTCATTTTTGAACTTTTCTTAACTAATTCAACTCTGTATCCTGAGCTATTTCGGGGAATTTAACTCAGATTTTCCTCATTATTAAAGATGAAAGCATGTCAGAAACAATATTTCAAGTTTTTAATGTTCCGAAATGCTCAGGAGAAGCAATAACTTCAGTTAAAATCTCTTTTTTAACATTTTTATGAAGATCAGCCATCCAGAAGGAACCTTATAGAAGTCCTAAAATGGACAATGAACGGAATAACTTTCCGATAAGATCCCAATAACTATCCTTCCCTAACCGTCATACCAGATTTGGACTGACCAACCAAAAAACAAGAAGATTTTCAGAAGAAAATTTGCATATGTCTGATCGTGCTGGTGGTGTTGTTGGTGGTTGTTGTGGCGATCATTATCTGGGTGGTCGTCTCGAACACGGCCACCAAAGCCGTCCTCCCATCCACGTCATCTGGTTCTTCTGATTCTTCTCCCTCTTCGAAATCATCGTCGTCTTCTGGAACGAACACCCGGCAGCGTGTCGACGCCTAATTGCCCCGACAATTTTGCCTTCGCCTCTTTTTTTGTTTCCTCCCGAAGGAAAAAAACTTTAATGCTGTTTGGCTCGGCGCAGTCTCGATTTCTATTCTGTTCTTTTTAGGAGGGATTCTAAGTTCAAAGGGTTTTTTTGAGGCTCGGTATAGTCGATTTCGGAAAAGCTTGAAGCGTCGCGACTTACTTGAATGATGACCAAAGGCGCAAGCCGTATCAAGTCGGGGGCAAACGCTCCGCTGCGCTTCGAGCCATTCCAAATGCGACCAGAGGGTTCAAAGTTCTCGCCAGTGAAGTATAATAATAGATCTCACAGGATTCTAGTAAAAAAAAAGTCGTTTAGGTACTGTTTTTCCTTTTTTTTTTCTGGTATGAATTCTGAAATTTTTGGACGTGATTTAAGTTTTGAAGTAACTTCACTACCCATTCTCGAAATTTTCAAGTTAAAAATCGATTTTTCGAAATTTTTCATGGGAGGAATCAGTTAATAGATAGCTGCGTCTTTAATATAATTTATTAACTTATTAATTTATCAGTTTTTTTCATTCAATTGACAGTTTTTTTAATGGAACTCTATGCTATTTTTGGTGTTGTCATTGGATTTCTTATTATTCGGGGACTCAGAAAAAAACGTGTTGCTTTCGTCGTGATATGTTGTCATTTTTGCATTTTTCGACGTCGTGATTGTGTCGTTTTTGTGTAGGAAATATTCCCTAATACATGACAATTTCAAATTTTCAGAAGAAGATTATTATCCTCATCGTTGTCTCGGTAATTATCGTCTTCCTAACGATGATCATCTTGAGTTACCTTCCATTGCCCTTTTAGTTTATTCCAAGGCTAATTTTTCAAATGTTTTTGGCCAAGTTTTGTAGACAATTTGAAGGTTTGGGGGAAAGCGCGCTCCACCGCGAAAATTTGAAACATTTCTGCGGGAAAAGTTTTTCGAAATTTTCTTTTTTTTCAACCTTCAGATTGATTACAATTCCCAATTAGGAAAGGCATTTCACCCTATTTTTTCACAAATACGTGGCCCTGTCAGAACCAAACGTTTTTCTTCTTCTAAATTCAACTTTGTGCTTTTCCCTTGTTTCTTTAGCTGTCTAAATTAGTTTAATTTAATTTTTGTTTCGCTTTTCAATGTTCAAACCGTTTCATATACGAAATACGTGGCCTGATTGCATTGCAATAGATTTTGCTTTTTTCTTTTTTCTCTCATATACTTTTTTTTTCGTCTCTTGCTGGAAATAACCGGTGATTTTTATGTAAATCCCAAGCTTAACCCGATTTTAATCTTTAGTCCAGAGCTAATTTTGAGCGCTCGCGATGGTATTTGAATTGGATTTTGTCCCGTTTTCACTGCCTTTTAGCTGTTTTTTTTTCGTCTTAGTGTGTGTCTCAATTTCATTTCTGTGGTCCGCTAATTTATTTTTTCTTGTCCCTCTGTATATTAATCGCGCTATTTATAATTGGTTATTTATTCTCTTCAAAAATAAAATAATTTTTTAATCGTTCTAACAAATATTTATGTGTTATATGTGCACCTGTCCGTCCTTTTTCGCAATGTTGCGCAGGGAATTTGAAAGAAAATGAAGCAAATAAATAATTTCAGAAGAAAATTTGCATTTTGATCGTCGGCGGCACGCTCATCGTCGGTTTGATCATTTTCCTCATTTTTTATTTCAAATAAATCGTGATTTTCGAAGGTTTTCCTTGAAAGAATTGTGAAAATATCTTGAATCCAACATTTTTAGGAACTGAAAGGATTTTTTCATTGTTCTCATGTTCTGAAAAAATATCGAAGTGCTTATTGTGTTGTATAGATTCGTCCATGGAACTTTTAAAAATTTACGTTCGAAATTCAGTTTCCATGTCAATTTTAACTGAGACGAAGTGTCTCAGTGATGTTCCAAAAAAATTTTTATTACAATTTTTTTATTGTATAAATTGATTAGTTTTTCGACGTAATATATTAAATTTCACTTAAGAAACATTTTATTCATTTTTTTAGTTCCAATTTTTTTCATATTTTTATGAAATAAGAAACTTTCTCGTCAAACTGATGCCATTTTTTTCGCATTAAAACGGAATTCTATTTATTAAATTTTTCTTGCCAGGGTTGTGATAATTAATAACAGAAAACAAAACAAAAATTTGCCGTTTCTTGTCATCATTTTTCTTTTCTCGTTTCGCGGTGTGTTGTTGATTTTCTCCAAATTTTATGAATAAATGATTTCTTTCAAAGTTTTGTTGTGGTATTTCTTATGATAAAGTTGTGAAAACACGTTTGATATTGAAATGTTTCTTGAAAAAGAAAGAAAAGAAGGACAATTCTCAAAGAAAGAGAAAAAATGCGAGAAGAAGCCGAAAAGCCGTTCCAAGCGCCGCCGACCCACAAGGACCTCATTCATCATGTTTGTTTTGTTCATTTTATTTTTTTTTAAAGTTCATGTTTAGATTTTAAAAATCTCATTCCGCGCCAAATTTTCACGATCTTTATTTTCTTCCGAGTTACAGGACCTGTTCTGAAATCCGCGTCATATTAAAGGCGCATACGTAGAGACAGGTCGTGCGCCTCGAAGGGAACCATAAAAGGGTTCTGTAGCTTGGAGGGAATGAAAATCGGGACAAGCTGGTGCGTATATCCTTTTTCTAGAGATGGAAGAGTTGTAAGAAATGTGAAAATTACAATTTTGTGTTATTCAAAATTCAAATTCCTTTGATGAACTTTGGAAAGGAACATAAGTGAATTACTCGAAAAATTGAACTATCAATACTTTGAAAGTGTTTTTCGAAGCTGCAAAGGCCAAGAATTTGGCTGCAAATGGTTCATCTTCCAAGTTTCTTCTTACAAGGAAACTCATTTCACTTTTTGGTTGAAAACTTACCGAAAATTGACTAGAACGCTCCTTGACGTACCGGATAGAGGTCCTGAAATTCTCAACCTGCACAACTTCCTAGTTTTTAAGAAAGGACAAGAAAACCTTCAAAATCCTTTAAAATGCACTATTTTTGCTCTTTGAGCCCTTTCTTCTCGAAAATGGGTAAGTTGTGCAGGTTGAGGCTTTTGGAATCTTCTTTCGGTGCATCAAGGAGTGTCCTAGCCAATTTTCCGAAAAATCCTAACCGTTAAGTAAAATGACTTCTCTTTTCAGAACATTCCAAAAGGTTCAGTCAAAATTGATTAGTTTTTAAATTAACTGTCTTCACGTTATTTTGCACGTAATCTTGTTGAAAGGTAATTTTTTCTAGCTCTCAGATTTTTTTAAACACAGAAGCCCATTAAAATTGAGGAAAATCAAAATTATCTCGAACCAGAGTGTTTTGAAGCAATAACCGCTTCAGATTTCGAATAAAAAATATTTAAAGTGTACTGAAATTTGTGATATTTTAACCTCTAAAGGTCTCATTCGATCATCATGGACGGCGATTGGCCACCTGTTCCAGTGATATGACTTTGGCGATTTGGGACCGAAATGTCGATGGAGAGTGGAAAAGATCCGCTCTCTGGAAGGTTTATTTTCAAAAAATGAACTTTTTTATTAAATTCATACTCAAACTTGTACAGTCCATTCCATGCCGGCTTGTCACAAGTTGTCACGATTTTTTCCCCGAGCTACAGGACCCTTTTCTCCCGTTTGCGCGGCTTGTCTATGCGCATGCGCCTATAAAGTATCGAAATTAGGCCATTTGAAAGGCGCATACAGAGAGGCATGCCGCGCGCATCGAAGGGAAGCATACCGGAAAGAAGAATGAAAATTTTAACAAGTATTCCGGGATGCTTCTGTTCAGTACGCGAGGCCTGGCTGTCTGCATGCGCCTTTAATTTGGCATTAAAAATTGACGTTATTTTAAAGGCGCATGCAGAGAAACAGGTTGCGCGCACTGACGGGAAGCTTCTAGAAAAGAAAAATCGTGACAAAAAGTCGCGGAATAGGCTATAAATTTTTTGAAGAGATCCTTGCTGTGTTTTTTGAAAGTGAAAAAACTGTTCACAACCAAACATAATATTTGTATTGACTTTTTGCCTTCAAGGAAACTGCTGACATTACCTTAGCGGTTGGGGTTCTCCTGAAAATTGGTCAGAACGCTTCCTGATGTACCAGAAGACCATTCTGAATGTTTCAACCTGCAAAAACTCCTAGTTTTTGAGAAAGAACCCCTTAAAATCCGTCAAAATAGGCCAATTTGGGGATTTGAGCCCTCATTTCTCGAAAACTCGGGAGTTGTGCAGACTGAAACTTTCAGGATAGTTTTCTGGTACATCAAAGAGTATTTCGACCGATTTTAAAGATTCCCAAACCCTAAGTGAAATGACCTCCCTTGTGAGCATTTTAAAAAAAAATGATGGAATTTTTTTCAAATTTTTCAAAAAAAGATCATTTTTTAAGGTGCATGGCGGAGCAGTTTGGCGCGTTATTTGGGCCCATCCCGAGTTTGGGCAGGTCATCGCGTTAGTTTTATTTTTATTCTTCAAGTAAAAATATTTGAAAAAAATCATCGATACCTTGTGGATTATTAGAAAGAATTTTTTATTTGTTACAACTTTTTTTCCGGCGAAACAAAGCTTCGAAACTTCATCTTTGTCGCTTTTTCAATACTTTCTTATCGAATCCTAACGATTTTTTTAAATAAATTTATTGCCTTTTTTTCGAATGAAATGTATCAAAATTAATTCCAGAACCTGTTCTTTTGATCGAAATGTGAACGTCTGGTCGGAGCAGGTCATCCGAAGCGATTTGAGCCGAAAAGGTCGTTTCAAAAAAAGGATTTTTTTCTTGAAAATATCGTCTTTTTCGGTTTTAAATCAGTTCTCGGTTTTTCGATTTGATTATTAACTGTATATTTAGAAATTTTTTTCGTTCTTTGAGCTTCATTGTGTTCGGTTTTGAAAAAAAAATGGTACGAAAAAAAGACCAGCGAAAATTCAAACGGCGACTTTTCCGATTTTTTCATATCACTAGGAAACTTTCCGACTTTTTTTTTTCTCGAGAAACCAATCCTTTTTGAATCTTTCATCATGAAGTTGGTAGTTGATTCATGATTGAAAACAAAGAGATAGGAAAAAAAAAATGTAATTAGATGTCTTATAAACCGAAAAAAATTAGGGGAAAAAGTCGGAAAATGGCCGTCGGAAAGTTCATTAGCGATATTGAAAAATCGGAACAGTCGCCATTCAAAAAAATTTGTTGGCTTTTTTTCGCACCACCCAAAAAAAGTAATTTTCGAAACGTAGAAATTCAAAAACAGTTTTTTTAAAATTGAACTGCGAAATTTTTTTACTCTTTTTTTCAGTGAATAAGGAATCTGAGCTTCCGCGAAATAAATTTTTGAAAAAAATCTAAAGAAAAAAACCTCTGATATAATTTTTGACGGTTTTTTTCTCTTATACAGGTTGAAAATCGCCTGTTAAGAAAGTTTAAGAGGAATTTACATGATCGTTTCAAACATTTATACAAAAAAATTTTTTTGATATTTATAAACTTGACGGTTTCAAAGATTGTTCTTCTTTTTCGTAGTCTTTTTCAGAGTTTATATCAACTTAATATTGTAAAAAGTTGAACGTTAACTGGGAAATTTTTTAGTGGCCACTATAGAGGTCTAAGTGCTACTATTAGACAACTTAAAATTTTAGTGGCAACTTTAGGGGTCAATGGATCTACATAACTGGTCCTATCTGTTTGTTTTGAAATTATCAGAGTTACTGGAAGGAAAATTGGATGAAAAACTACTGAAGTGGCCACTTAATAGAGAATTTTTATAGTGGCTACTAAAATGGAAATTAGTGCCCACTATAGAGGTGGGTTCAGTGGCCCCTTTAGTGTCCTTGGCGAGCCTCTATAGTGGCCACTAAAAATTTTCCCAGAATTGATTGGAATCATCCTGGGGCTTTTCAGAAAAAGGGAAGAGAAGGACGAATTGGGTCCGTAGAACGAATCTTTCCGATAGCCGAGCCAATGTGACGGATATCGCCTTTGCCCCGAGGCATTTGGGATTGATGCTGGTTTTTTTTGCTTCTTTGTTCAAAAAACCATTTTTGTGTTTCTTAAAGGCGCAGCGGCCATTTTCATAAAGGTCTCAAAGCGAAAAAACCGTCTTTAGTGATTTAATAGGCTGTGCAAAGCTTCTGCGCTTTCGAATACCCTAAAAAGTTTTTGAATCGAAAATATTTTTGAAGGTTTTTTTACTTAATTGGGAAGGTAACTTGATATTTTTTTAGGCCAGCGTCTCGGCCCAAGGAACTGTCCGCGTTTATGAGGCTCCCGATGTGATGGACCTTTCCAAATGGTCCCTTATTCATGAGCTCCAGGTAATAAAAAGAGATAATAAAATTTAAAAAAACGTTCATTTCATTCACAGTGTTTTTACGAGAAACTTTGAGGTTCAAATTTTTCAAAAAAAAGGAAGTTTAATAATAAGCAGAGCACTTATCAATGTACCTAGACCTGAAAAAAGAAAAGTTTGAACCTCCTCAGTTCTATATATTTTTGGAGAAGAACACCTCAAAGGAGGAGGAAACCTTACACGTGCAGTCATTTTTCTTGTCGATTTGGAATTTTCTACAAATTTGCTTAAACTCGCTTTTACTGTCTAGATGAAGTTTTTACAGTCGCAAACTTCTAGTTTTCGAGACGTAATTCGCGTTTAACACAGAGTTAGACCCCCCACACACTAGGAGATAATTTTTAATTTGCGACTCGGAATTTTTTTACAAATTTGCTCAAATAGTCTCTGAAGGTTCATACTATGATCCATCAAAGATTCAACCCTTAGTCCTAAAACGCTTTTTTTTCGCAACTTTAAAGAGCATATCTCAAAAACTAGAAGTTTGTACGGGTAGCGACTATGAGGGATCAGGTAGACCTTCAGAGAGTCTGAGAAAATTTTTAGAAAATTCCAAACCGCAAAGTAAAATGACCTTTCTTGTTAGGATTCCGTTAAATTGGACTATTTTTGACCTTTGAGCCTTTATTTCTCAGAAATTAGATTTTACGAATCTGGATGATCAAAAAGTGTTCTGTTCGATTTTCAGAAGTTCTCATCCGCACAATATAATGACCTTACTCGTGAGAAACTTGCTGAATTTTTTTTTTCATTTTTTTTTTTCGGATATTTTAGGACCTTTTCGCGGAAAATTAAAAAAATTTGACTTGGGATTTATAGCTGTAAAATAAAAAAAGACCCATTTGTCAAGATAAAAAAGGTCTGAGGAATTCTGAAAAAGCTCTCTGTAGTGGCGCTTTGAAGAGCCCTTAATAAAATCCCTATAGGGACCCCTCCGGAGTTCTCAGTCGCTCAGAAAAAAGTTATGAGATATAAGCCGTCAATAGGCACACATTACGTGCATCTATATTCAAAAAAAATGTGAAATTTCGAAAAAAGGGCAATTTTTGTCGATTTCAGGCGTTCTACACACGTTGCGGCTGTGTAACCTGGAGCCATTCCCGAATCCATCGGCCTTTGATTGCCGTCGGATCGGACGAAAAGAAAAGCGAGAACAACGAGAGAATCGTCGTCTACGAGTATATTGATGCGTTAAGGTGAAAATAGAATGAAAACCTGATTTTTTTCTAAAAAAACAAAAAGTTTATGATTTTTTTGAGACTTTTTCCACCTTTTTTTCCATAGGCAAAGTAAGAATGAGTGGAAAAGGCTCCATGGAAATTTTCATTTTTGCTGTTTTTTTGGGCCATTTCATCGGCTATTATGCACCATTTTTGTTGCCTCTTTCCACCATTTCTTGAGCCTTTCAAATTCGAGAAAAAGTGAAAGGCTCTGTAAAGGAACCTTTTTTGCTGCCTTTTTTGAGCCTCTCTCTTTAAGCGGCCCTTCTGGGAAAATTTTTAGTGGCCTCTATAGAGGCTCGCCAAAGACTACTTGGATAGGACACTAAAGTGTCCACTAAACCCACCTCTATAGTGGCCACTTGAGTAGTTTTTCATCTAATATTCCTTCCAGTAACTCTGATGATTTTAAAACAGATTGGACCAGTTATGTTGATTCACTGACCCCTAAAGTGGCCGCTAAAAATTTTAGTGGTCTAGTAGTATCACTTAGACCTCAATAATGGCCACTAACTTTTAACCCCTCAAGTGGCCACTAATTTGAGTACTATAGTGGCCACTAAAACGTTAAAACCCTATAGTGACCACTTAAAATTTTCCCAGTTTCCCACCATTCTGGCTTTCCCGGGTTTCTTTCATTCTTCATGAATGAACAGAATTTGTAAAAACAGTTTTTTTTAGAGTTGAATTTTGAGGTTTCATGAACTAAAGAGCGTTTCGAAAATTACCAATTTCAATCAATTTTTCAGAAAATGGCAACGCGTCGTCGCTTTGAAACTTGATCTTCCTTCACCCGTCACTGATTTGAAGTAATAAATGACCTAACATTCATATATTTATTGAAATAATTCCAAGGTTCTCTCCGATTTCTCTAGTGGAAGCTCATCAGTTGGCCATCGCTGCCGGCGATGTCCACATTTTCTCGATTAAGGTATCTAATTTGGTTTTGACTTTTTTGCCACGTGAAATGAAGTGTGGCTCTTTAAACGCTTTCATCTCTGCCCCTCCAAAGTTTAGTTATTTTTTTCTTTCTCTGACATTTGTTTTGAACCTCGTGGAATCATTTAAACATGGCATACTTTTCATTTTCGCGCCTTTTTTTCCAAGTCGCTTTTGGTCGGGCGCTGAAAATATGTCAAGCAGTTTTCTCATGAGATATCTTGTATATCGCGCCTTTAAACAAAACAGCAGGAGAATAGATACCGTAGACACAGCACGTTTAGGCTAAAAACCTATAAAAACGAAGGTCCTGTGGCGAAGTTTATCCGAACTTAATCCAATTCGGCAGAGGTGGAGAAAAGGCGGCCATAAGCGTTTTCAAACGTTTACATTTCTAAACCGACGTAGGCCGCCATGGCCATTTCTTAAAAAGTCGCTGCCCAGGGCGCCCGGGGCCAAAACCGCGATGGCAAAAAAACGCCCTTGGAAGAAAAAGAACGCGCAAAAAATGAAATCTTCTAAAATCTTGTAAAATAGTTGTTTTCGAAGCTTTAAACAAGGTTTTTCAAATTTTCAATTTGGTGGCGACGGAAATTTATTCTCTCACTAGTCAGCGGGTTCGTAACCATAAATCTGGAGCATTTCGCCTAAAGAAAAGAACATAACCGTACTTCACATAAAAAAAAAATTCAACTGGACATCATATCCACTGAAAAAATTAAAAAAATTATTGAAAAAACTGCGAAATCCACGATTTAAGGAAAAATGAACAAAAATGACCATTTTCGCCCTACTTTTGCAACGTGGATTTATACGCCATCGACACATAATGACGCGGCTCATTTCATCTCAGAGGCCTGATGGTTGCGCCCGGGAGGGCCCCTCATTTCACCTCTGCAATTTGGTATCTGGCAAAAATGGTGACAAGGGTGGGCTACTGGGAAGGCGGAAGTGGGTCCTGAAGGGAATTCGAGATTTAGTGGGCCCTCTAGGGAGTACATAAGAACCCCTGTATATCGGCTCTCATGCACCATTTTTGATGCCTCTCCCTTTTTCCCCATTTCTTGAGCCTTAAAATCCCGAAAAAAAAATGGAAGGCTCGATGAAGGGACCCAAATCGAGTCCAATAAATCGGTAGTGATGAGTTCAAATTCAGGTCTCAAGAGCTGCGATCCTTGACGATGACAATAATGAAGGAGATGAGCCTCCAGTCACTTCTACTGATTATTCGGCGAATAAGGTGAGAAGAAAAACCGGAAAAATGTGAAAAAGACTCATTTTTTGAGTGAAAAGAAAGAAGATTCAGTTATAAATTTCCTGGCTCAAGCTCCGCCCCTTTTGTGTAACCAAACCAATCAGAGAGCGAGCCATCTAAAGAGTGTTTTTAAATGACGTCATAGCACTTGAAAATCAAAATCTGAGCAGACTATATAGCCGATTCACGGTTAGCTAAGAGGGCGTGGCCTATCTGCGCTCTCCACGAGTCAGGCACTGTCTCGTTTTTTATCGTTTCAGGACCCTTTTTCGATGAGCTTAGCCAGCCGTGAATCAGCTATAACAGTCTCTTCTGTCGATAACTTCCACACTTTTGTTTTCACAGATCGCCCTTCTCGGTGACGTTCGAAAAGCCTGGCGCCTCAAGTACAACGTGACGGGAACTGTTTTAACGGCCAGCAGCTGTGATGGAACTGTCCGAACTTGGAAATGTTCGTTTTGATTTTTTATCGGAATAGGTTCCCTTGAAAAAGGTCAAATACACAATTTTGGAAAGTTGTATGTTAGTGGCTCAAAGATTCTGTGAAAAAAAAGTTACCAGGGCTCGAAAATTGGTTGCCATGTGACGATTAACGCCTTTAAAAAAATTACAAAAACTTTTACTGTCTGCATTTTTTAGCCGAGCATCTATATGAACGATTGCATAAGTTTTATAGCCTTTTTTTGTCAGAATTATTTCTCTCGAAGCTACAGTACCCGCCTCTTCGATACACACGTTCTGTCAATGGGCATGCGCCTTTAAGATAACGGAAATTTTAGACCTTATTAAAGGCGCATGCACAGGGACAGGTGGCGCGTTTGTTAAGAGAAGCTTCCCGGAAATATACCTCGGAGGGAAATAAAAGTCGTGACTTTCGTGAAGCTTCCCTTCGAAGCGCGTGTACGTATGCGCCTTTAAGGTAACCGACCTTTCTGGTTCAATTAAAGGCGCATGCTCATTGTCGGGCCACGCGTCTTAAAGAAGAGGGTTCTTTATCGGTTCTTCTAAGATTTTAGAATTTGGTGCCATGTTTTTTGGGCGTGACGATGATCCTTTTATAGCGATACACTTTTCAGATTCACCAGCTTCAAAAAAGGTCATAAAATGTAGCGCTATTAAAGGATCATGGTCACGCGCGATAAAACATCGACGCGAAAAGGTACTGTATGCAAAATCTGAACAGGCTGAGCTTTATTGTAGAAAAAGTCAAATTTCTAATAATTTTTCACCGCATCAGAGGGACAAATCGTGAAAAATGGTTATATATCTGTTTCACGGCTATAATGAGCTACCGAAAAAGGGTCTTAACACGATTAGAAAAAAGAGAGTGCTTGATTGATGGAGAACGCAGACAGGCCACGCCTTTTTGCGTCCCAAGCTAGCCGTTTTCAAAAGGATTTTATGACTTAATGTGGAAAGAAATCTGATATTTAAAATTTTCAGCAACCTTCCTGAAACAGTGGGTTCTTCTATCAGAAATGCCGGCCGAAGACTACGTCACCGACGAAGAAGCCGTCACGGCGACCACCTCCCGAGGATTCCTCTCTGAAAGACTTCGCGAAGAGAAATTCCCTGTTTATTATTGAAACTTTGACCTTTTCTTGTCCTCTTACTACTGATTTTCATCGATTTTGTAACATTTTTCCCCGATAATTGATTGTTTTATGTTAACTATAAAGATTGTTCCATGATTTTCGACGTTTTATGTGAACGAAGTAGTTGGAATCTCATGGAAAGTTTACTTTGTTCTTTTTTTCTTGATTTTTATCTTTTTTTTCTGCAATTATTGTGTTGGAAATGCCAAAGTTGGTGAAAAATGGCCGCTAAAAGGGCTCCGTTTTGTGGCCTTTATCGAGCCTTTCATTCTAGGTGGACCTCAAAAAACTTTTTTTGCACGTTCATACATAGTCACTGGTAAAGATTATTTTCAATTTAAAAAAACGGGGAAAATTTTTAGTGACCCCTATAGAGGCTCGCCAAGTACTACTTGGAGAGGACACTAAAGTGGCCACTATTTTCCGTTTTAGTGGCCACTTCAGTAGTTTTTCATCCATTGTTCCTTCCAGTAACTCTGATAATTTAAAAACAAACAGATTGGACCAGTTATAATGATCCATTGACCCCTAAAGTGGCCACTGAAATTTTTAGTGGTCTAGTAGCAGCCTTTAGACCTCTATAGTGGCCACTAATTTTTAACCCCTTAAGTGGCCATTAATTCGCCTACTATAGTGGCCACTAAAACGTCAAAAACCTATAGTGGTCACTAAAAATGTTTCCAGAATGTTTTGTTTCTCAAAAGGGTGGATGAAGGCCGATGAAAGGACGGAAAAAGGCAGTAAAAAGGGAACCTTTTGCACCCATACCGGACGCTTAGAGGGCCCAAAAAGGCTCCTTCCGACTTTTCCTATGAAAAGGAATAGTTTTGGATTTTAGTTTCCCAAATTTTCGCGTAAATTGTGCTTTTAGCTTCCAACCGCTATAAAAAATAAATAAGAAGCTCATTTTTCTCAGTTTTTATTGACACTTGGAAGTTTTTGAACAAATAGAAACGCTTTTTTTGCAATCCTGTGGTGAGAAATGATTGGAATTGATTTTTGATGATGGGAAAATTTTTTTTGGCTCTTTTTCTGTTGATTTTTCATCGAAAATTGGTGTTTCTGGAATTTTTTGATCATTTTCATTGATAACTGTCATAATTCCTCTGTTTTATCACTTTTTTTTTTGCAATAGTAGATTAATTTCTTAGTAGTTCATACCATCTAGAACATACCATCGAGAGATAACGAATCGAATGATGATTAGAGAAGAAAAATAGGCCTTATCAGGGGTTAGAGATCTTATCAAATTGTCGCGATCAGCAATCGTTTCAAGGTTAGGCAAGCCGAAAACTCGGGCATAGGTCAGTCTCGACTTGTTTTTTTAGTTATTTTTATATATTTTCATGGATTTTATTCCTTTTTTTAAGGTTTTTTTAAAGCTCAAATTGCGTTTGATTGCGATTTTTTTCGAGCTTTTTTTGGTTTTTTTATTAGTTTCCTCTTAAAAAAATTGTGCAAATAGCTTTTTAAAAAAATTATTTTCCATCTATTTTTTTGCCCCTAAAATGATCTATGACGTTTTGTTACATAGCCAAAATTGGTAAGGGTCCGAAAATTTTTAATTAAAGGCTAAAAAAATCTCGTTTATTTTTCAATTTTTTTAGTTCAAGTGTCGTTTGATTGCGATTTTTCGAGCTTTTTCAATCAATATTTTTGATTCCTTCGGTTTTTTCTTTCAAAATATATATTTAGGTAAAAAAAAAATTTTTCATCAATTATTTCTTCTAAAATGTTCTATGACTTTTTGTTACATAGACAAAATCGGAAAGGGTCCTAGAAAATGTTTCTTAAAGGCTGATAAAAGGTTCCCTTTTTGCGCCTGTTCATCGGCTATTATGCACCATTTTCGCTGCTTCTTTCTACCATTTCTTGCGCCTTTAAAATCCCAGAAAAATGGAAGGCTCGATAAAGGGACCCTTTTTGCACCCTTTTTGCGACCTTTTTTGAGCCTCTCCTTTTCAGCAGCCATTTTCCACCATTCCTACTTTGCCCGAGTAGTTTAAAGAGCTTTCCAAACGAATATTTATCTAGTTTATTCCTCCTAAAGTTTGATCAATGGTTTTTGTGTTATTTTTCATTTTTAGAGTTCAAAAATTAATTTAGAGCTTGGTTATAGTCGATAGATCTATACAGAATTAATTTAACTTTTCGAGAAGTTCTTAGGAATTCCAGAGTGGTCCCTCTAGGAGTTAGGGAGTACAACAACTCCTATAGAAGCCGAAGAACTGGTCCCTAAAGGGGTCTTTCAATTTCATTCAAAGAACGCTTATTTGTTCAGTTTTTCCCATTAAAATGCTTCTTCGCTAAGAATTTATAAAAATTATCGACTAGCATGTCCCCTATAGAGGCCACTAACAAGAATCCCCAAGAACTTTTGCAAGCTTTAGTAACCCCTATAGGGTTGGTGAACTGGTCGCTAGAGGGCCCCTAAAGTTGCCCCTATAGGGACCACTCTGGAGTTCCTAACTTCAGATGCGAGTGGTTCCACGTCTTCTATAGGCTTTTTCTGAATATCTGAATAATGTTTTTCTCTAATTTTAAAAAAATGGGTTCCTAGTCTTTTTTCTGTTCATAATGCTCGTAATTTATTTCTGTTTCTCGCGCTTTTTTTCCTTGAAGAAACCGAAAAAATGGAATAACTTCTTCAAGTCCCCCCGGAAAAATGAGCCTGGGCGACGCGGAGCTGGAGCAGCAGGTCAACGACTGGCTCCAATGGGACAAGAACGAGAAGACGTCGGCGGAAATCCGCGAGCTTCTCGAGAAAAAAGACGTCAAGGGACTCAAGTCCCGAATGGAGACGCGTCTCGTCTTCGGCACCGCCGGAATCCGCGCCCCGATGCAAGCCGGTTTCGGTCGGCTCAACGACTTGACCGTTATACAGGTGTGGAAAGTGGACTTTTGGAAAGTGCGGACGGTTTCTTCCGTTGTTCATTCACTTGAGTCAGTCTCGTTTCTCTGCTTCAGAACTCCAGAGTGGTCCCTATAGGGGCAACCTTACGGTTTACCCTCAAGGCACCACTCTACCAACCCCTATAGGGGCCACTAAACTTGCAAAAGTGGTCCCTATAGGGGTTTTAGTTAGTGGCCCAATTTTTATGAACTTTATGCGAACTTTCTTAGAAAAACATTATTTTAATAAGTTAAAAACTCGATTTTTCAAAAGTTAGTATAGTCCTGAAGTTTATGCACTTTCAAAAAACTGAAAAAATATTTTTAAAAAAAAATTTTTCTTTAATTATCGCTCGATAGTCTTAAGATTAATATGATAAATCTAAAGAAATGTTTGATTTTTTTGAAAAAAATCAATATCCGCATTTTTTTGAACTGTCTAACAAGTTTATAAATTAAACCTGTAGAACTGTCGAAAAAAATTTGAAACCCTTAAAAAAAGGATAACTTTGAAAAAATGTTAGAACATTTCTTAAAGACGACCTTATAATGACGTCATTTATCAACGTCTTCAGGTGACGCATGGCTTCGCTCGGCGCATGATCAACGTCTTCGGACAGCCGAAAAATGGAGTCGCGATTGGTTTTGATGGACGTCATAACAGTAGAAGGTTTTGAGACTTTCATTATTGAATTTTAGGACGTTGCAAAACTAGGGTTTCAATAAAAATTTCTGTTTTTTTTTACGTATCTTATAAGCTGGAAAATTTTTATTTTTCAAAGACGATACAAGATTTGTTCGTTTTCGAGCAGAAAAAACAAGAAATCTGCAAAAAATGAATAACTTTTGTACAAACAAATTTGTCAGTAAGAATAACTGAATTTTTTTTTTGCGCGGAGGATTTCTGTAGGAGCCTTCTCCGCAGTGAGGGTGACTGCAGAAGTTTTCTTCAAAACTTCAATGCTTCAACTCAGGCACTGACGGCGCGTGTTTGTTGCCAAAAGTGCGCATGCGCGCCGCCTGCTGCGCGCACGCGCGGGGTGTCTCTTTTGTTTTTTAGCTTTTTAACTAATTGAAAAGTTATAAATTTGATATTTTTCATGTCTGTTCATCTCTTAACATTGCTCTGCACCAGTTTATAACAATTAGATTGCACAAAAAAATGTGAAATATCAAAGTTTCACTTGGCAACTTATTTTTCATAAATTTGTTCGAAAGTGCTCGGAACAACTTTAAAAACGTGAGCAGGGGCACTGGGTAATATCAAAAAAATATAAAAAAATCTATTTCAAAAACCTTATTTCAGTGGAAAAGGCGAAAAAAGAATCAGTACCCCCGCGCGTGCGTGCACCAGTGCCTGAGAACATTTTCATTCGTTTCTTCATGTTTTCTTGGAAATAAAGTAGCTGAATTTCAATATAATGATATGAGAAATGTTTTAGTTCAATTTTCAATTCATTGAAGTTGATATAAACATCAAAACCAAAGGATATTTTTATAATTCTAAATGAAGATTATTTTTTTTGCTTTTAAATATGTTATATTTTTGCGTGTTGGCTCATTTTTTCCATTTCAGATTCGCTGAGCTTTCCGCCAACGTCTTCATTAAAAACGGAATCCCGGTTTACCTTTTCAGTGAAGTCACGCCGACGCCTGTTGTGGTTGAGTTTAACCTTGTTTTCAACTTCTGAATTCACTTTTTCAGTCCTGGGCGACGATTCATCTGAAATGCGACGCCGGTTTGATCATTACGGCTTCCCATAATCCAAAAGAGGATAATGGATATAAAGCCTATTGGAGCAATGGGGCGCAGGTTCAAAATTATAATTGAATATGATAGAATATATCATTAGAATGAATTAATAAGTGAATTTTGGATGATTTTTTAAATTATGCTTTCACTGGTGTTTTATAGCCCATTCCGCGCCAGCTTGTCACGTTTTTTTTTAGCCAAAAAGATCAAAATTGAGCATCTTCGCTTCAAGACCCTTGTTTTTTGCTGTCTTTTTAGAGCAAGCGTTTAAATTTACAGTAGCTTTTTCTTTCTTGTTCTTTTAAAACTCGACAAAAACGAGAAATTTCAAAGAATTCGGCCACTAAAACATGAGATTCGATTTTTATGATTTTTTTTCAGATCATGTATTTTTCATTGAAGACTTTTTTTCAGAAGAAAACCAAAAATTGATCCAGTTGTACTTCATAACCTTTCCTTCAGATCATCGGACCTCACGATTCGGAAATCGTGAAAATCAAAGAAGCCGAGCCAAAACCGAGGGACGATTACTGGGACACGAGCGATTTACACAGTAGCCCACTGTTGAAATCCGCCGACACTACTATTGATCCATATTTTGCTGTTGAAAAACCTCTCTGCTTCTATAGGTTTTCTTTTTCATTCTCAAAAAAAATCCTCATTTTTCAAGCAAAATTTAGTCTAAAAGTCATGAAATCTTCAATTTGGCCGCGAAGTTTCCGATTTTCCAGCTTTGAAAGTGAAATTCGAAGCTATTTCAATGTTTTAAACCTCTTTTCTTCTATAGGTTTTCTTTTTATTTTCATAAAAAAAACTTTTTTTTTACTACCATTTGAAAGGCTTTCAAGATGGCTGATTGCCGAATTTTACTCATTTTTCAACCTGAAATTAGTCAAAAAGTCATGAAATTTTCAATTTGGTCTTTAATTTATTCGATTTTTCCAGCTTTTAGAGTATTTGTTTCTCTTTTGATAATCTGGCCACCATTTTTTCGATTGTTATCCAAATTTTCCTCGATTTTTCAACCTCACAAAGGGAAATTCAGTGTTATTTCAATGCTTAGAACCTCTCTGCTTCTATAGGCTCTCATGTGTTGTTGAAAAGAACAAAGTTATCCCTCAAATTTTCAGAGAAATCAACGAAAAAACGCCGATCAAGTTCACCTACTCGGCTTTCCATGGCGTTGGATATCACTTCACGAAAAGAATGTTCAAGGAATTCGGATTCCCCGAAAGCCAGTTCATTTCTGTCGCTGTGGGGTTTTGCATTATTTGGGCCGCCTTTAGGAAAAAAAAATTTATTTCAATCTTTTTTTTCATAGTTTCACGGAGACGTAACGCGTTGAGCAATTTCTTTTACGAGAAAATTTTTCAAGAAAATGAGCAATAATAAGTATTTTGCAGGAACAACAAGAGCCGAACCCCGACTTCCCGACAATCCCATTCCCAAATCCAGAAGAAGGCCGAAAAGTTTTGACTTTATCGATCGAAACTGCTGATAAGAATGGATCGACGGTTATTCTGGCCAATGATCCTGATGCCGACCGGATTCAGATGGTCGAGAAGCAGAAGAAGTGATTTTTTGCGAGTCAAATCTTGAGACGAAGAGCCGTTTTCAGTGTTTTTTAAGTCATGTATAACTCACAGCGTTTTTTTTGGCGACCGCCCATAATATTTTTTTTTTTCCGTAAAGTGTAGTGTGTCGTGTGCATACACTGCGGCGCTTTGGCACACGATTTTCAGTTATATTTTTCACTCTCTGGTGGTCATTTTGAATTTCGCGCAATTACTTTCAACATGGCTTGTTTTAAAACAAAAACAAAAAACAGAAAAATCGCGTTTTTTTAAAAATGAGAAATAGATTCGTCTCGTGACCCATTGATGCGCCTTTAAAATTTCCTGTTGTTTACGCGTTTTTCCCATGACGTCACATAACGGCGGAGGTTTTAACCCTTAAAAAGTTTAAGCCTTAAAAAAGGGTCCTGACACGATTAAAAAGAGACACTGCATGGTTGGTAGAGAGCGCAGAGAGGCCACGCCCCCTTATCGTCCCAAGCTAGCCGTGAATCGGCTATATAGTCTGTTCTGCTTTAGAAGGTTAAGCAGCAAACCCCGCCCCCAATAAAGCTCTCTGATCGGTTTGAACTACGCAAAAGGGGCGGAGTTTGACTTGACATTCAAAATATGTGCAGACCAAACACTTTTTGCACCTTTCAAAACCAGGAACATGTTTCATAGTTTATCCCAAAACTTTCAGCGGCGAATGGCGCGTATTTACCGGCAACGAGATGGGAGTCCTCATCACCTGGTGGATCTGGACCAACTGGAGAAAGGTTCTCGATCATCAGAAAAGGGAAAAAAAAGAATACTTTTTCAAGGCCAATCCCGAAGCTGACCTCTCCAAGATGTACATTCTGAACAGCGCCGTCTCCTCGCAATTCGTCAAGACGATGGCCTCCGTCGAAGGCTTCAGAAACGAGACGACGTTGACGGGCTTCAAATGGATGGGGAACAAGGCCGAGGAGCTGAGAAAGGCGGGAAACGAAGTGATTTTGGCCTGGGAGGAAAGCATCGGATACATGCCCGGGCACACGTTGGACAAGGTGAGAGCCTAGAAACAGAGAGAAAAAAAAATGACAAGAAAGCTTATAAACTTCACAACTTAGAAGTTTCAAAGTGACCACTATACGTGTTAGGTGGAATAACAGCCCCAAAAGGAGCCGAAAAAGTGTTTTTTGCATGGAAAAGGAGCCGAAAAAGTGTTTTTTGCATGGAATTTTTTCTTCGCATAGAGTTTATAAAATCTATCGACTAGCATGTCCTCTATAGGAACCACTAACTAAACCCCCTGAAGGGACCACTTTGCAAGCCTCAGTGACCTCTATAGGGGTTGGTAAACTGGCCCCTAAGAAGGGTGTTTAAAAGTGCAGAGAAAATATTTTTCGCGATTTTACAGAAATGGGTCCCATTGTTCCTAACTTTCGGGAGTTTTCTGATCTCTGGTTTTCCAAAACCTTCTTATAGTCTGTTCAGAATTATAATGTCAAGTCTTCGCTCAAGCTCCGCCCCAAATGGCGCGAAAAACTAATCAGAGATCGATCCATCCACAGAGCGATTTCAAATGACGTCATTGTACTTGAAATTCAAAACGGACTGTAGCCGTTTCACGGCTAGCGTGGGACGCAAAAAGTAGTTGCCCGTCTGCGCTCTCCACGAAGCATTCACTGTCTCGTTTTTTTTTAAATCGTGTCAGGATCCATTTTTCGATGGCTCAAGCCAGTCGTGAATCAGCTATATATGGTTTTTTTCATTCTCAGGCGGCCATTTCTGTTTTGCCGAAACTATTTTGAAAATTTCAAGCAGATCATTTTCTCACGAAAATACAGAAGAAATATCGTCTTCATGAACAAATTTTCAGTCGATTTGAACATTTTCAGGACGGCGTCAGTTCGGCTGCAGTTTTCGCTGAAATGGCCGCTTATCTTCAGACCCAAGGCTCTACTCTCACTGACAAACTTTATTCTCTTTACACCAAGTAATTTTTTTTTCATCAAAATGAACATTTTTAAGAAAAAGTACCCTTTCAGGTACGGATTCCACCTTGTCAAATCGACGTATTGGTTCGTCCCGAAGCCAGAAGTCACAAAGGAACTTTTTGCTAGCCTCAGGAAGGAACTAAAGGTGATTAAAATCTGTATATTGTGATTATTTGGGACAGTTTTGCTAAAAAAATGTAATGGTACCATTTTTTCGTGGCCATGCTAGATCTTCCAGACTGAAAAAAACGCTTGGCTTTTTTTAAAAAAATTGAGAATTTCTAGAAAAAACTTTTTTTTTTCGTTTTCTTTCTGTCTGGACTTTGAGGCGTCAAAGGTGAGAATCTTGAGGATTTTAGCCTGCCATTTCAAGTTTTTAGACCGCTTTTTTTCGCGACTTCTTAACTTGTAAGTAGGATCAGACTCTCTTTTAAGGTCTAACTGACAATTTTTACATTTATTTCTTTCAGTTCCCTGAGAAAATTGGCGAGGAACCGGTGAAATATGTACGAGATCTCACGGTTGGATACGATAATGAGCGGCCGGAAAATAAGCCGGTTTGAATAATTTTGAAAAAATACCCTCAAAATGGTCATTTTCAGGTTCTTCCCCTCTCGACGTCTTCGGAAATGGTTACGTTCACCTTGGAAAATGGAAGTATCATCACTTTGAGGGCTTCTGGAACCGAGCCAAAAATTAAATACTACATTGAGCTGATCACCAAGCCGGGAAGGACTCAGGAGTGAGTGAAAAATAGAAAATTAAACTACCTTGGAGGTTCCCCTCTAGGGATCACTTTAAACCCCTATAGGGACCAATAAAGCTTTCAAAAAGGGTCCCTATAGGGGTTAGTTAGAGGCCTCTACAGGGGACATGACATGCTATATAGTCGATCATTGTTATGAACTCTATGCGAAAAACTTTAAAAATTTACACTTTCTCTTGAGTTTTTTCCTCTCAACTGTTTTCTTTCGTTTCAGTGACCTCGAAGGCGTACTTGCTGAGCTGGATCAGCTCGAGAAGGACGTCGTCGCCACACTGCTGCGACCGGAAAAATTCGGCCTCATTGCCAGAAAATAGATAAGAACTCATCCAGCTCCCCATAGCAAAATATTACTTACCCGAAACGTTCCATTCTTTGTGAGAATTTGGTTGTGAAGAATTATTATCGTACGGTAGCTCTAGTCCGCATTATTTAATCTGCCGTAAACCCACCCAGAGATGAAAATGTAGAGAATATTTAATGAACCTGATCTAATAATGTGCTGAAATATATTACAATTGAAATAAATACATCGTTTTTTAATTATGCGTAAAATGGCGTGAAAATGGTAAAATACTTAATTTATTGTATTTATGGATTACTGTCGGTTGTTAATACGCAATGATTTGTGTATAAACAGCAAGCGCATGGTAACGCGCAAAGTTTATTTTTTTTTTTTTTTCCGAACTTCCACGTTTAAAGTAATAAAACTACATGCGGAGATATCATATTCACAGCCACGAGCCGAAATCATGCTCGCTTGCGTGCCAATATCCTTTTTGGCGATATTCCAACACGGTTTTTTTCTTTATTTTTTTATTTCGTTTCTTTTTTTCAGTTTCACACCCGTTTGAAGTTATCCATTTGAGAAATAGTACGAATGAAAGCCTTTATTTCTTCTTGGAACTCTCTGAACTTCAAAAAAAAAAACTCGATTTTTTAAAGTTTACAATATATTCTCATTTCATTCTTTTTTCCAGTGTTTGCATTTTTTCGGTTTTAAAAACTGTTTTGGAAATGAAAATTATGATATTTCGCAGTGGAAAACATGTCTTTTCATGTTTCATCATGTCAGAAATTATTGTGACAAGTACGACGTTGAAAATGAATTTTAAAATATAAACCCCCGACAGAAAGTAATCAAAAATGACGAGTCTGATCTGGCCAAAAGTTTTGATCTGACGTCGAGGGTCAAAGCGGCCGAGGTTCGAGAAGGATCTCTGGAGTGGCGCGAAAGGTTCGGCGTCCCAAAAACAATCGTCATTCTGTTTTTTCTCCGTTCAGAGCGGGGTCTTGCTGCCGCTCGTCTTAGATTTTGAAATTATTATTGTAATTGATGTTTTTTATATAGTTTTATTGTATTATTTCAATTTCGTTTAGCTGTCTTTGAAATTTTTAGGCGTTATTTTTTTTTACTCATTTTTAAAGCATTTCATTTTTTTTAATGCCATGTAAACCTTTTTTAAACTAACTTTGCAGAATTTTCCAAAAACGTAGAATGTTTTTCCAAGCGATTTCACTTTTCCAGAATCTTGCACCTTGTTTTTCAATGATTGAAACTTCAGATGATCGCTGAAATTTACGCTGCTTCATCGCTTTCTTCAATGAACTTCGCTTCGCGTTTATTTTTCGTATTTTCCATCGTTTTTTGATTTCAGACAAGTACCAAGCTGAAGGAAGACGTCTCACAATCCATTGCCGGGTTGCTCAAAGGCACATATCCGATTAAAATATTTTTTCCTTCGTAAATCAACTCAAATTTTCACTTGCGCCTTTGAGCAACCCGCTGCGAGAAACATCGACTCAAAATGCTCATTTTCAAAAGATGAGTTTAATAGTCATTCAATCTTCACTAATCATTTCTTTTTCCAGAAAATTGGAGAAAACCCGTTCTGTTCGAAAATTTTTGCTGGGGTGTTTGAAGAAGCAAGTTTTTTGCATCGAAACACGACCGTTTGTCTCGAAATTTCCTCAAATCAGCTTCTGATCCCTCAAACGCCCCAGCAGAAATTTCCGAGCACGCTTAACCGCCGTTCCGGATTTCCTCGAGGTAAATTGAACCAGTTGTTGATTTTTATTGATTTTTTTTTCAGAAGGTCCGCCCTCGCTGGATCGATGGATTGCGACTTCGACGTTTTCAAGGCTTCGACTCGGATTGGTATCAAATAAAAATTTTTAAATGTTGCTTTTTGCGTTGAGGAACGTTTGAAGATTTGAATTTTCCGTTTTTTTCAGGTATTTGCCTATCGGCTTTCTGAAAAAGACGTTTCTCAACGTGGAAAGTTTTGTGTAAATTCAAAAAATTTTTTTCTCTTCTCGAAAGTTCGACTCAAACTTTTAATCCTTATTTTCAGGTCTTTTAATTTTTGACCTCTGGATGATATCGCATGAGGCACCTACATAGACTTTTGAAAAATTCTGTCTAGTTTCACTAGAAGCAACGCGGTCGCGCTGCGGTTCCACAGCCATTCAATTTTCTTCAAACTTGATTTTTTGAACCTTGTTGTTACTGTAATTTTTGTGATCTTGTTTCCTACTTTTTTCTTGTCGGTTAGGGATCAACTTATCAAGCCGTCAACTAAGAATCTCCGTTCTCATAAACTTTTTCTCATTAGTTTTTTTTCCATTTTCAAAAAGTCACAGGAAAAGTCATCCAATTTTTACCACTTTTTCAGTTCAAAAATCAACTTTCGACGTGACTCGTTGACCCTTAACCGTTTTTTTTTAATCAGAAAAAAGGAGTTTCGCAAAAAAACCCCCCAGTTTCGGCTTGAAATGTTAACATTAAGTTTATTAAAACCTTAAAAGAGTTTCAAGTAGCGTTTTTGAACCGTTACGCGACCGCGTTGCACAAATTTTTTTTGAACATCCATTTCAAAGTATTCAAATTTTTCTTTCGAACTATATTATTTTTTTAAATTTTTGTCATGAACTTTTAGATTCAAAAACGCCTACCCTTTCAATTTCCTTCTTTTGCGTTTTATGCTTTTTCAGTAGTTTTTTTTTTGAGTTTTCAGGTTTAGTTTTAGTTTCATGCGACATCATCTACCTTTCCAGCTTTCTTTTTTTTTATATTTCGAGTTGAAATGAACTTTCTAGAAGAAAAAAAAATTTTTTGTTCGTCTCTTGTCCGTGGGGTGAATGTTGCCGGCGTCCTTGGTCGGTGGTGGCGCAGAAAAAAAGACGAGTGCATCCTCGGCTTTTGTCCGGCCAGAGAGAGCATCACGAAAAAGGAGAGCTGTAGTCTGGCGTCTCCAAAAATGCCATTCTCTCTCGCCGGCTTCAGCCGAGCATACATGCGGCTTTTTCTCTGTGGATTGGGGGTACTGTGGGGCGAGGCTCTTCTTCCCTTCCAAGCTCGTCAATTCAAACGTGGCGTCCAGTATATTGGTTTGTGTACAAACAAATTTAGCTTTTTTCCAAGTCATAGTGTTTTTTTTTCAGATTAGGACTATATCCCATTTTTTTTTTCAGATTAGGACTATATCCTATATATATCCAAGCTTCTCATGTTCCGTATGAAATCAGTGATTCAATAAAAAAAAATTGTTCCGTTCAGTCTTTTTCAAGGATTCTCGGCTTTTTTCCAATTTTTGTAGACAAAACAACTGACATTTTCAGAGTTCATACATTTCACCTCATATGTAGATAATGAACCTTAGCTTTTAAAGTTTCATTTCAGGTTTATAATTTACTCTTCGTTCATTTTAAGTAGATCTCCTCAGCTTCTGGTTTTTCTAGGTAGATAAAGTGGATACTCTGATCGTTGAATTTTTTTTCTAGCTGGATATCTAATTTTTTAGTTTTTTTGTTTCTCAGGTATTTAGTCCAAGTTGTCCGTTTTTCAAGCTTCTATGAGATAAAGTGTTTTTTAGGTTTCTAAATAGATTAACATAGGTTATTTTTGTCAATCAGTAATTATCGATAAAAAGGCGGGATTTATTTGTACACAACCTGATATGATTCCCGAGCTCATGGGAATGTACTCAGTTTGATGGTTGGTATAGTGGTTCGGGAACTGGTTTGGTAAACTCACGACGAAGGTTCGCATCTTGATGAAAACTTTTCATTTCACTTGATAGTTCAAATGATTTTTTTTTCGGGTTGAGTCTTTTGTTCGAAAATGTTACATTTCACCACAATTTCACGGAATTTCATTCAATTTTTTTAAAGTTAGTACTTTTTTTTGACTTTTTATTGACCACTTTCTGTTTTTGCAACAAAAAAAATCCGCAATAATTTCATGGGCTCCAAACTTGATTGCTTCACGGAAAGTCATATTTCAAAAACCTTTTATCGCTTTTTTTTGATTTCAAACCAATTAGTTCAAAAAACCAGTCATTTCGTTGTAAGACTTTTTATGTGAAAAAGAATGTACCAGAAAAAAAAAATCTGAAGCGGACGACTTAAATGTTCATGAGCTCATTGCGTTTTTTTTTCGAATTTTTTAGGCTTTTTTTTCTTTTAGAATTCGGACCTTCGTCAAGAGTTTTCCAAGGAAAGATCTAAAAGCTTGGAGTATTTTTCACGTCAAGGATTTTTTTTTCCGAGTGGTTAAATGGCTACATTCAACCAATCAGTAAATTGTGTACATTTGCGTGGGTTCGGGCGACACCTGACATTGTCTTACAAGGTAATTCCTGCTCCTTTGTTCTATCACAACTTCCAAGCTTCATCCTGAGCCAACTTAAGCTCGAACTCTTTCTTTTTGATCTTCACATCGTTTGAAAAGAACATGCAAGCTTGTGTCTTGTTGGAAAAGTGTTCTTGAATTTTGGACTCTTCAGCTTTTTCATAGTTCATCTGCGAGGCTTCTCTTTTGAATTCAAACTTGAATTTTGCGCTATGATGTCATTTTAGTTTCAAATAATCAACAAAAAAAACTTTGACATTTTTTAAAGGTTTTTTTTTACGTAATAGTAATTTAAAGTTAACAGCTCACTATCGTCAATCACTGAATAAATGTAAAGTCACAGGTAATCATTGAGAACATTCTTTCTTTTTTCTGGACAGTGATATTTTTCAGTCAACTTTTCTTTTCAAAGAGAACTCCTTCATGTTTTTTTAAACGCTTTCATTGATACACAAAAGGATCAAGTGATTGACTTTGGTGTAGTTTAAAAAACTTAGAAGCTAATCTTCGAAAAAAAAGCTTTGCAGATGAACTTTCAAATTTTCTGAAAACTTGAAATTTTTAATCTTTCGCTGAAATGCTTGCTGCAGTTCTTCTTAGGTTCATTAGGTCAATCAGCACTAGAATAATATTTGTTTTTTTTTTTCTCTCAAACGGACTTCAAAAATGCGTTCCTTCTGAGTAAACTTGCAATTTCTGAAAGGTCGAACTGAAAACTTTCATTTTTTTTTTTCTCACAACTTTTAGATAGAAGCTTAGATGCTTGATGTGATTGTGTGAATGGACGGAAGAAGTGCAAAACGTGTTCAGCAAAAACGTAAAGTTTGGAAGACTTTATTTAATCAACAAAAAAAAACTTTGAGAGCACCTTTTCAACATTGCACAAGTACAACATGCCTTTTCAAAAGATTTGGCCATCAAATAGAACAAGCTTGAGCTCAAGCTCAGGATGAAGCTTGGAAATCGTGGTGGAGCAAGAGGAGCATGAATAAACTTGTATGACATTGTCCAATGACGAGCTTGGAGGTGAAAGAAGCATCGCTCCACAGAACCCTCACCAGGCCTCAAGCCACCTACCATAGACTTGGCCTCGGGCTCCACCGTCCTCCAGAGGGCGGTTGAGTCCGAAGTCAAGGCCTCCGGCTCGGACTCCACAGCCAGCCTGTGGGGTTTGAGGCTGAGGTCTTTGGCTTAGGCCCTTAAGGCCCGGGCTGGAGACTCCGCCTCAGACTCCAGGGGGGCTGTGGTGCTCGAGATCGGAGTGTCTACCCGGCACCTGAAACCCCAGGTCCGGCAGCGGCTCTGACCCTGCCGGACAAAACCAAGTAAAAAAGGGGGAGGAGAATACTTTATTCAAAATCATGGTTCAGAGTGTCCGGTTCAATGCCGCCCTCGGAGTACGACGTCGTCCGGCATCCATCCCGGCTTGCGTCTCGACCGGCATCCATCCCGTCACATCACTCGACCTGAAACCCTCCCCATTAGCCCCTCTGATTACCTTCCCTTGTGATCTCGAAACCCTCCAAATCTGGAGCGTCCTGGGCCCTTTCCTCAAATGACCCAAGGCCAAGTCTTTTTTTCTTGCCAAGGCCTGAGTGAATGACCATTTTGACCGGAAGCATTCCAATAAAGTGTCTAATTTTTTTTTTTGCAAGTCTCACAAGGAACCCAAGAGAGAAGCTATCTGAAAAATTAAAAGTCTATCAAGAGCCGCTCAAAGCGTTATTCTCAACTGACCCAATGACCAAGTGAATGGGCAAAGAAGCCTTTGGACAAGTCATGCAAAAAAAAAAATATATATATATATACAGTTCTTCGGAAATCAATGTTGGAGGTTTTATTTGCAAGTCTCTGATGAATGAATTCTCGTTACAAGTTTTTTGGGAGTGTTTTACTAGAAGCTCTACTCCGGAAGTCTCACTTAAAGACCAATAGAAGAATTGATGAATATATTTTTTTAAAGTTGAATTAGTTAATTTGTAGAGCTTGAAGCTTCGAAAAATGTAAAGCAAAAAGAAAAAAAGCCGAGCGTGAGATCAATATTTTTTTCAAGTTCAGTGCGGAAAGCAATTGAAAGAAAAAAATTCTCAGGATTCAAGGGTAAACTCGCAATTTGACAACTTTCTAATCAGTCTTTGAACAATTTTTTTAGAAAAAAATTAAAAAAATAAAAGCTTCATTGAAATAAATATTCATAAGCCTTTTTGGCTTTTAGATTGGAAAGAAAAATCGAAAAAAAAGTGAATTTTTCGAATCGAAAGTGAAGTTTTTTTGAAACAAAAAGGTGGATACTAATTGGCTCAAACTCTGAAAATCGCAAGTTCACCCTCAAAAATGCCTAAATGAAAACTATAAGTAGTAAAAACTACAAAGGAAATCCTTAAATATTTAACATTTTTAGTCCAACTCCACTAAATTTCAAAAAAAAAAAACTACAAGTAAATTACGTGACTATCAAAAAAGATATTTTCGGTCTAGAAAATTTATCAGAGCCTTGCAATTCAAGTCCACTCTAACATTGACTTCAAAAGGACTTGTACTTCTTTGCACGACTTCTCCAAAGACCCTTTGCTGTCCATTGAGTCATCAAATCAATTGACAATCTCAACTTTTCGAGCGGATCTCGATAGATTTGTCATTTTTCATGGAGCTTCTCTCTCGACTTCTCTGTGAAACCTTGCAAAAAAAATTTTGACCGCTTATTCGAAAACTCCCAGTCAAAACTAACGGATACAAGCGTTCTGCAGAACAAATTCTTTGGACGAAATCATTTTTATTTCAAAAATTGCATTGCAGATCCAAACTTTAAAACCAAACGTCAAAGAAAAGAAGAAAAATCAATTAAAACTAGACGAAATTTCGAGAAGAAAAATCCGGTAAAATAGTAGAGAAAATTGTCGATACACTAACGGATAATAGCTCTTTTTATAACAGGTTCAGGTCATGATAAAAAAATTTTTTCAACTTTTGTAATTTTCTGAACATTTTCGAAACAAAAAATGAAGACATAACTTATAATTTGTGTTTTTCATCACTGAAATGATAAGAAATATTATCCGCTGGTGTTTACTGTTGAACTATAGATGAATGATTATAAACGCGCCTGGTAATTAAAAAAAGTTATTTTTTTCTGTATGAAAATGTATCAAAATTATTAGATAATGAAAGACTTTTTTTGAATTTTTGAAAAAAACGTATTCACAAAGCATTTCAAAAAGACAAGTGGCTTCACAATCATTCTAGAAAAAAAGAACCTTTTTGATAATTCAATAAAATAATTTAAGTCAAATCGCATCAAACCTTCAGTCTTCCGAAATTTGAAATGTAGACGTTCGTCATAAATTATACCAAAAGTTGCAACTTTTAAAAAATTGTACAATACTTTCCGAAATATAACAAGTATCTAAAAATTTTTATTCAAAACTTTTTATTGTTGGTTTGTTGCGATTCAACTCTTCAAAAAGCCTGAAATTAAAAAACAAAATCCGGATCCGCAACACAAAAATAAATCTAAAACGCGAAATTTAGAAAAACGAAGCACTTTATTGGCAAGAATCCAAAAAGCCGATCTGCGAAACGTTTGCATCCGTTAGTTGACCACCCACCCAAGTCCCCGGCAAGAAAAAAGAAGCCGACCTTGGGCCATTTTTCCCAGGAAAACTCTCGAAATCAAATAAATTATCGACTTTTGGAGCTTCTTTTTGGAGAAATGAGTAAATAAAGTCTTGAAACAGCGTTTAAGTTAAAGAGTGGAACGAAAATTCTTTGTCAAATCAAAACTCGAGCTGCTCTGTAAAAGTCACTGAAATCTGAGAAAATAAATAAAGACATGTTTCTATTTTTGAAAAAATTGATTCGAAAAAAATTGAATGGGAAAAAATGAATTATTCCAATTCTAAAATATAGAAGTCACTGAAAGAAGCAAAATTCAAACATTGCTTTCGGGTCTCTTCTCAAAACTACTTGAAATGGGTCAGAAAAAAATTTTGAAAGAAATCCTTTTCATTTCCGGCCGCATAGTCAATCGGACTTCGCTTTTTTTGAAGAATCTTTTAAGAAATTCGAAAAGCTGAAATACGGATATTTGAAAAAGTTCCGATCGAAAAAAATGCGGCAAAAAATGGAAAGAATCTATTTTTCCTAAATCATTTTGATTTCGAGAATTTTCCTGAGTGGAAGACGACCAGCCGCCCCAGTTTTGGACAATCCCGATCCCAAAAAGGAAGGAAATCGAAAAAAAAAAAATTCAAACGAACCTAAACTTACTCGCGTTTTCAAATCCTGTAGACGGAAGCCGAATCGTTGTCCAATCCGCAATATAGCCTTTCTGAAAAATTCTCAAATTAGCAACAGTAAATAATTTTGCAACTCATATTTTATTTTACGAAGTATCTTTGATCGTCGCGTGGTCGCCTAGAGCCTCTTCGAAGAATCGTCCGCTACGCCTGAAACAAAAAGAAATTGAACAAAATAAACGTGAAAATAAATGCGAAACGATGTTCAACGAGAAAAATCGATAGAAAATTCAGCAGGTATCCAAAAAGCGTCGATGGAAAAATCCCATAACACATTATTTGTTTCAAAATTTTGCTGGGAACTTCAAAGGCGCAGAGGTAAAATAGTTGAAAGTATCGTGGAAATAATCGTTTCCATTGATATTCAACCCTCTTCTTGAAAGGATGATTAAACAAAAATAAGATAACATTGAATTTGAAATAGGAAACACCTTTCTAACAGAAAAACAACAACAAGATGCCTAAAAACTAAAAAAAAACATTTAAAAATATGCGAAACCATCGATTGACTTGAAATGATACGATCAAACTATATAAAAACCATCAATTACAATGATAAATTCAAAAATTAAGACGACCGGCAGCAACACTCTGTCCAGAACGGAGAAAAAACAGAATGACGATTGTTTTTGGGACGCCGAACCTTTCGCGCCACTCCAGAGATCCTTCTCGAATCTCGGCCGCTTTGACCCCCGGAGTCAGATCAAAACTTTTGGTCAGATCCCAAAAAACAACAACAAACCCAACACAAACACACAACAAAACAAAAAACAACCACAAAAAAACAAACACCAAAAAACAAAAAACCCAAACCAACCCACACCCCCAAAACACCAAAAAAAACCAAAAAAAACAAAACAAACAAAACAACACCACCAAACAACAACCAACCAAACACCCACAACCCCCCAAAAAAACACAAACACAACCAACACCAAAAAAAAAAAAAACACAAAAAAACCCAAACAAAAAAACCACAACCAAAACACACCCCACCAAACCCCACCCAAAAACAACCCCCCCCCAACACACAACACCAAACCACCCACCACCCAAAACACCACCCACCAAAACCCCCCAACAAACACACCCCAAAAACACCCAAACAACCAAACAAACAACCAAAACACAAAAAACCCACACAAAACCCAACAAAAAAAAAACCCAAAAAACCCAAACAAAAAAAAACCAAAACACACAAGAATATTTTCTAAAGGAAAAGAAAGTTATGCAGTTTGATACTTACGTTATCTTTATTTGGTACATCAAGGCCTGACAAAAATTTATCAACTTTCACCAATTTTTAACCTGGCAAGCTCACTGGACTTTTTGTTGAGTTACAGTGAGACTGAGAAATCGACTAAGCCTCAGACGAACAACAATCGGTGGGATAAAAAAACGACGGAAGCTAGACTAACGACAGTTGCCCGCGAGAACAACGGCCCAACTATAAATTATTTCATAGAGCGCCACAGGACAAAAAATGACTGGAAAAGAGCACCTGTTCACCTCGGAGGATGAACACCAACCACGAAAATGCAACAAACGACTAAGTTTACAACAAATTAACCTCAACAATGGGAGAAAGTGCAAAAGAAGCCTAATCTGTTTGATAATATTAATAAATTTGGCGGTTAGACACTAAGGGATTTCATGACAATCTGGATTCCAAAACATAGCCTTTCAAGAGTGTTAAAAAATCTCAAAAAGGATCATTTAATGTATTAGTGAAAAAAATTGGTTTTTTGAAGCCTTCAGGCTCGGACTGGTAACGGCCGTGCCTCGGACGTATCTGGGAGTTTCTAGGGATACTGTCAGGAGCTTCAATGCTCTTAAGTTATCACTTTAGATGCTCAGAAACGTCCAGTTTGCGTTACCGAGACCCTAGAGACGTTATACGCGCACTTTTTTGACACATGTGGATGAGAAGCTTCAAAATCAGCAAATTTCATCAAACTCTCAACCGAAAAACACTTAACCACATTTTCTTTGTAAACTAAAAAAAACTCTCGCTTAAAAAAGAGCCAAATTCTTTTGATTTGAAATGATGATGACGCACTGATACTAACAGGAATGATAGATGATCCAAAAACTCTAATATCTTTTCTCGAACAAAATCTACTGGCAATGTAGAATTTTATGTACAACTTCTAACTGGTTTTAACCAACTTTACCTTAAAAAAAACTTCACCAAAACGATTCCAGAAGAATTTTTGCAAGTACTTTCAAAATGGCCAGTCAAAACGAAGTTGTCTACACTGAAATCGCAAAAATCGATCGCCAGAGCATTGTGAACATCATCGGAGTTTGCAATTTTGTGGACAACTATCGGATTGAACGGCCTACTGGCGTTCCGGTATGAATTATATGGAAAACTGTTGATGAGAGGATTTTAGAATATTCATTTTGATATTTTCGACAAAAATGGGGATGGCATCCGTGTGTACGCTTTTTACGAGCTCGCAAAAGGAATACTGAACAGAGTTCAGCTTAATAAGGTTACAAACTCATTTTTATAATTAAAAAATAACTATTACAATTCTGCAGACGTACGCGATAACCAGCGTCTCTGTTCAACCGAAAGACCCGTATTTTAACTACCTCCATGAATTCAAGGAGCTGATCGTCACAAGTCATACGAAAGTTTGTGACACAAAAAAAAGTGATTTGAAATAATTTTGTAGATCATGGAAGTCAGGGAAGATGGCATGGTGGTGCTACCACCTCGGAAAGAATACGAAATAATAGCCCTGAATGAGGTTCCAGTGGGTCAAAATGTTGGTTTCGCCGTCATGGGCAAGCTGACGTGGGTCGGCTCGTTGAGATTTGTGAGTGACGGAAAAATTGAGAAAATTCTCTAACGCCTTAGCAATATTCATGTAATCTTCCTGTATCTATAAGAGTCGAAAAAAGTCAAAACTTTTAGAGTTTGCGGCAAAATTTTTTCATTGATTGCCTTCAGAGATCTCTCAAAAGCTTGATTTTTTCTTTCAACTTAACAAAATAAAATTTTTTCAGATTGACACAAGATGGGAGGAAAATATCGCCATCGTTAATGTTCGCTTGATAGATAAATATGGAGGAGAATGCAATCTTTCAATATTGGGCAAAAGTGCTCATGAAGTCACGGTCAAAGACTTGGGATGTGTAGTGGTCGTTTCTGGCGTCAGGGCCAGAAATTATGAAGGTTTGTTGAATTAAAAAAAAAATCATAAAACAACTTTTGAAAAAAAAAACATGACTTCCTCTGTTCCATTCGCTTTGCTGAAGTCAGACTTGAAATTATTAGAAAACGGTTTTTCCTAGAAACTTATACATACAGTTCTGATTAAAGTCGATTCCGTCTCTTTTTTTATCCTATTTTTCCCGTTCAAACTATCTAAACTAAATTTTTAAAATATAATAAAAAAACAGTCTTTCTCCGCATTTTTTTACTCATGGGTTTTTCATTTTCCGCCAACGAAAGCAAGAGTCAGGAAAAAAACGGTATAGAAAAAAAGAAAAAAATCCAAGATTCCTCGAATTCTATCTCATTTAGTTATTATATAAATCATATACTTTTATTTACAGGAAAGCTGAGTTTGAGGAGTTTACCAAACGTAAAAATAACGGTGTACAGACATCTGAAGGATGCCTGTTATATACAAAAAAAATATGGCGTTGAGAGGAGAAACAGAACGACGGAAACTCCGGAAGAAACAGTGGCCCTCCCAGAATCCCCAAGAACAAAATTGCTCAGTGAATTGCAATTTCGTGGTTTTCCTTGTTTTTGGCCTTTTATTCCAACTATTCTTCGATTTTTTACTCCAATCACTCCCGAAGTTATCAAGTTTTGATCAAACCGCTCTTCGAAAACTTTGAAAAAGTTTGAGAAAAAGATTCTTTGAAAACTTAGCTATCTTTCAATCATTTTGTTACGTCTATACGGTTTTTTATGGATCCTCTAATCTCGCCATTTATTATCAAAGCTTTAAAACTCCCCGTGAAATAAATATTTCCATATTTTTTTTCAAGAAGAACTCTAAATTGAACAAATTACATCAACAGAAAATTTGGAAGTGTTTCCTGGTGTATACATGAAGTTGAAAATATCGCTAATTTCATTTCAAAAATTTCCGAATTTGACTGGAAACTACAAAAGTTTTTCAGATAAGTTTTAAAAAAAAAGTAATAAAGTAAAAAACTCATCTTTTTTCTCTACAAGAAGTCAGAAATGGGCATCATAGCAACAATAAGATTGGTTAAAGAATGTAACAACCGATTTCGAATCACTGATAGTTCCTTTATGCCCAGTCCTGTATCCCATCAGAGTAACCGTCAAAGTTTACTGAAAAAAAGATAAATTATTGATTTGAATCTTACAGAAGTCCGAACTGGACAGTTCAATGAAATATCAGAAAGAGCTTTATCGAAATTTATATTTGAATAAACGTCTTCGAATTAATACAAGCGATTTCCACTCTTTTCTGACATCCTCATGCCCTGTGCAGGCCTGCCTAGCTCTGTCTCTTGTAGAAGCGATCGATCGCTGAAAAATGAGAGACTGATTCGAGTTTTGTAGATTAAATACATTTTTCAAGTGAATGAGAAAATATCTTTCTCAATTCCTAGAAGCCGTTCAACCAGTTGAACTGTAAATGATCGATAAAATTTCTTAAGAAACGAAAACGCGGACAAAGCAATTAGAAAGTCAAATTTCATTCCAAAATCAAATATATATCACATTTATTGAAAAACGCGTTGAATAAATTTAAAACTAAACAAAAAGTATTAAATAACTTTCTGAAACGATAAGATGACCATTCTGGGGCCAAAAACGAAAGTGAAAATAAAATAGCGAAAGATTCTAATGCCTTGCAAGCTTGTTTTCCAAGTAATTTTCGCCAAATGCAAAACAGTCTCCGACTCTCAAAACCATTTTTTCCTTTCTCTGACGGCCATTTCACATTTCGCGGAATCACTTTGAACACGGAATAAGATTCAAAACAAGCAAAAAAAAAATCGAATTGGAAAAAACGGGTATTTTGAGCGCGCTCGAGCGCGAGCTCTTTCTCTCGCGAAGCGGCTTTCGGCGCGGTATGGGTCTCAAATGGAAGAGCTTTTGGGAATTATTTAACTCTTGGCTTTCATTAGCGTTCCATCCTCTGATTCCCTGTTCAAAGTGATTCCGCGAAAAGCAAAATACCCGTTGAGATAGAAAAACATAACGAATATTTAAAGAGTCAGAGATCATTTTGCATTTCACGGAAATTACTTTGAACACGGCATGAATTTCTCTCAAAAACTTTTTTGGAGTTCTAAGAGCATTTCACGCATAAAAGTTTCATTGTATTATGAATTTGAATTTTTTGTCTTTCAATTGTCAAAACCGTTAGATTAGTTTTTCTCTGTCAAGTAAAATGTTTGATAAATTTCCAGAATGAATAATGAATGCGGAATTCACTACACTCGGATAGCTGACATCGATTGCCAGAACACTGTGAATATCATCGGCGTTTGCAATTTCGTTGAAAAATATCGTATCACAAGTGACACTGGAGCTCCGGTATGATTTAGAAATGAATAAGGTATGAAAAAAATTGAGAAAATTTTCTTCCACATTTACGACAAGAATGGGGATGGGATTCGAATCTACGCATTTCACGAAATGGCGAAAGGAATTTTGAACCAAGTTCAGCTGCACAAGGTTTCAGCTTTACTTTCATGGTTCTAAAAAAATTTACTACATTCCCATTTTGCAGACCTATTCAATAGCGTGCGTTGCAGTTCAGGAAAAAGATTGTTACGTGAATTATCTGCATAAAAATAAAGAACTACTCATCACGAAAAATACAAAAGTTTTCAATTGGAGAACATTAATTTGAGTGAAACTTTTTCAGATAACTGAAGTGAGGAAAGCTGAATTCTGGGTTTTACCGCCTCAAAACGAGTTCGAAATCGTAACGCTCGATAAATTGCCGATAGATCAGCCTGTTGGATTCGCAGTGCTCGCGAGGATTACATGGGTCGGCGAATTGAAATATGTAAGTGAGAAAATTGAAAAAAGATTTTTTTAAAAGTTATATTCGTTTCCAAAGGTTCTTTTAAAATGAAGTTCAATAGATCAACACGATAATCGAAGATGATGTTCCGCTTCTGAAAACATGGATTGTCGATGTAACTGGAACTTCTTGTAAACTGTCCTTATTGGGAATTTCGGCCTACGAAATAACGCCAAAAGACCTTGGAAACGTCGTCCACGTCTCTGGAGTCAAGGCCAAGACGCACCAGGGTTTGTCGAGTAAAAAAGGATTTCAGTTTAACCTGTTAAAAAAATTCCTAGTGAAAAGTAAAGTATTTTTGGCGAAGTTTTCTAGAAACCCTGGAATACAGAACATTGGAAGGAACTTCGCAATAGGGCCGTTCTTGAGTTTTGTCGTTTTGAATTTCAAGTTCAATAGAATCTGAACTACTCAGTTTAGACGAGTGTCGTCAGAAGTGCAACAGGTCAATGAAAACACAAATGAAAGTTGTTTGAACTTTCGAAAGATTTTAATAACACTGGAAAGGCTCTTCGTCTTGAAGCCTTGATGAAATGAGCGTATTTCTCTGAAATGCTGAAATTTGATTTTACTACAAGCTGTTTCTGGAATCAGATGCCTTGATATGGTTTTTGTTTTTCATCTTTGGACAGTTTAAAGAGATTTTAGAATGCATTTTCGTTACGAAAGTTGAAACCTTTTTTAAAAAATGTTCATTACTAAAAGATCAGAAAAAAGATAACCCAAACCTTCTTTTCCAATAGTTAAGGCCAAAATCAATTTTTTTTTTTCAGGCGAAACTCTACTATGTACTCTGTGCAACGTCAAAATCACCGTCTACAGACATTTGACTAGGGCGAAACTCATCCGTAAACATTACGGCCGTGTCAAGGAAAAACCCGCGGAAAAAGCCGTGGAAGAGAAAGTCAGGTTCATAAAACCATCCAAAGAAGGCCGCGATGAGTTTTTCTACCTTAAATACTTTGTTATTTTTCTGTTGTCATGCTTCATGTTCCCGTTTTTATTCAGATTGTTTGTTGGCTGATTTTTTCATCGATATTTTGTCATAAGTCGAATCTCGCCCGGAAAAATTTTATCATTGCATATTACGTTGTATTAATTTGAATATCTTTTTCAGAAATGAACTCTTCAAAAAAAGCTTTGATATTTGCAAAGAAAATATGACGAAATTCAATCAAAAAAAAATCCAGGAACTTTTGAAAAAAAAATTTTTCAAAAAGTGTTTTTATTATCAATAGTAAGCTACTTTTTTTAGTGTTTTTTTCTCGAATTTTCGCCGAGTTTCGGTTAATTTTTTTCGCTCATTCAGGTCTTCCAATTTTTCGCTCATTCTGGTCTTTTTTTCTACAGTGATTGGAAAAAAATTGAAGAAAAAAATATTTTTTTAAACGAATTTATGATTTTTCTAATGGATTCTCTCTTGGAATTCTTAACAATTTCATCCCAAAAGCTTGAAAAATGATCATTTTTCACATAAAACTTGATCAAAAAGACTTTTTTTTAAGTTCGTCCGGTTTTTCTTCTGAAACTTTTACTAATTTCATCCCAAAGATTTACAAGAAAATACAGCCTATTCCGCGCCAGCTTGTCACGTTTTTTTCCGCCAAAAAGACCGTATACCAAATTAGATCAAATTTCTGCTTTTATGACGGCAAGAAACGAAGGTCTTGAAGCGAAAGTTGGTTAAATTTGACCTGGCCTTTTGGCGGGAAGAAAAACGTGACAAGCTGGCGCGGAATGGCCTATAAATTTGAATCTTTTGCGATTGTTTGTGTGAAAACTTATTACACAAGTCCTCACATTTCCGATTTTCGTCTTGACAGAAAATACACTCAATTGAAAAAGAAACCGATATGGGAGTAATTCACACAATCTTGCCGACTCGTGACCCCGGCGGTGACCAAAAACGCGAAATTGACACCTCGCTTCAGACTGGTACTGACAGGGCTCAAATTATGTCCGGTGAGGCAAAAAGCGCGAGCCTGAGGCTCGCAGCCCGCCTTCTTTGCCCTTAAATAGTCGGTATCGCGAAGTTTGGGAACAGTTTCTGTCGCTGAACCACTCAACTTCACGATGAGCTCTGCTGTGACTCCTGTTCGAGCTGTTCCAGCCGCTCCGAGGTTTGACAGCCTGGCCAAAGCTCCGCTTCGCAAGGAGCTTCGTCGATCTATGGGTAGGGACCGCAAAGCCACGCCCCTTTTCGCGATAGAAAAAGTGGCTTTTTTTTGGTTTTCAACTTTCATTTTGTTGTAGTTGCAAAATATATGGAACTGGCTAATAAAATTTGACACACATGTACGAAAAAGCTTCCTCTTTCGTTTGAAAAATATTTCACGCTTTTTTGATGCGTTCTCGCGGAATGTCGTACAAAAAAACGTGAATGCAACTAAAAAAATTTTTTTGTCATTTTTTTGCTTTTTTTATGTGTTTTTCAGGTCGAACGCACTCTTTCTTTTTTTATATAATGATTTTTGATTCAAGTAACGGTAATTTTAAAACAATAAAATAAAAACATTCGTCTTTGCCAAAAAAACTTTAGGGAGTGCCGAAAGTCATAATTCAAAAATATCGTTAATAAGCGAATATAATCGAGTTTTTTTATTTTTTTCAAAATTTAGACCATGAGCTTACTTAAATTTTTCTTCACAGCATCTGCGCTTGAAACAGTTGTTTAATACACAAAAATGCTCTTGAAACTAGAGAATAAAATTAGCGGCGTTTATCACACAGAAAGCGGTCGAACGCAGGTTTTTCAAACGATTATATACATTTATTAGTAAAAAATCTTTTAATTAAAAGAATAAAATAAAAAATTCGTCTTTGCCAAAAATTTACGGGGCCGTTTTAAGGCAGCGATAGTTAAACGAGGAAAAAAGCACTAAAAAACAGTTTTTTCGAAGTGAATTTTCACGGAAAGTTTGAGTAAAGGTTTGCGAACATATTCTGATAAAAATAGCTGAATTACTTCAAGTTTTTATTTTTGAAATAGGCAATCTGTGCTATTCAAACGGCTCAAGGGTATGGCGGATGGAGGCTCCTCTCGCTAGACCTAACAGCTTGGCGCAGCGCGTGCGCTGCGATTTTTCGTTTTGAGGTCGCGAGTTCGATGCCCGCAGGCAGCAGTTTTTGATTTTTCTGGAAAATAGCGACTTTTTCGGCAAACTAGCTGATGAGCATCATTTTAGCACTCCATTATGATTTGTTACATAATAATAGACCAATATCAAAAACTTGTTCTAGAAGAAAAAAATCGAGACAAATGTCAAAAAAATGGATAATACCAAAATTTCAGTACTAAAAAAATGGTGCGCGGGGCGCCACATTTTTTTCGTCATAACTTTTTTTCATCCTCAATCTTTTTGAAAAAAACTAAACGGTTCTGAGTTTTTGAATCGAAACAGCTATCAAACCATACAAAGCTCAAGGCTGAAAAAAATTTTTTTGAAAAATTCGTCTGCGGTCCCTATCTATGGGTTCGTTTTTTTGTTTTTCAAATTTCTAGCTTCTACAAGACCTTTTGAGCCAAATTTATTAAAAAAAACGTAAATTCCTTTCACGTTTCCGCCTAGTTTTTTTAAGGCTCCGAAAGGCCAAATTCAAATTTTCTTCACTTCAATTATTTTTGAGCCCTTATAACTCGAAATCAAAAGGTTGAAATTTTGTTTCCTTCTGTGAATCACATCGCAGATTTCATTAAAAGTTTTAAAACTGTTATTTTCGAACTTCCACTTTCAGATTTTTTTTTTCTAACTCTCTTGAAGGGTCTAGCTCTAGGAAATTTTTTGTTACGTCAAAATTTGCTTGAGCCTTTTATCCTAACCATTCATAATTTTTTCGACACTGAATCTTGAATTTTCAGGTAGAATGGGATTTTCCATCAAATTTTAAACTTCTTTTTTAAAAAAAAAATTTTCTTTACCAAAAAAGCCACCTTTTTGGGGTGATTATGCGAATTTTTCCAAACAAATATTCCTTTTTGTTTAGTTTCTCCTTCATAACGTTTGATTAATCCGAGCAAATAATGACCCCAAAAATCAGATATAGCTTTCAAACCATAAAAGTGCTATGCTACTTTTACGAGAAATATAACTCTTATTGATCTTTTTTTATATCCTTCTCTCTAAAATAATCGAAGCCAATGAAGTCATAGAGCCAAAAATGATAGCGTGAGGAAAATCGCCAAAATTTCCAGATGCCACTACCAAAACTTCCAAGAAGGGCACTCGGAAAAGCCTCGACTTCGCCGCCGACCTGAGCCCAGCTTCACAGAAGAAGATTCGCAGTACTAAAGGACCTGCTTCTTCTGACGTCCAGAAGACGTCTTTTGTACTGAAGACACCGGCGCGCACCAAGATGGCCCCAGAAGACGACGAAAAGCTGACTTGGGCTCCAGTTCGGAAGGCTGCTCGTCGTTCTTCACGTAATTTTTGGATTTCTATTGCTTTTCAATAAAAGAAATTTTTCAGAAGACGACAAGCCACCAGTTTATTCGCTAACCATGGAAAACTCTTCCGGAGATTTTTGAGGTCTTCGGTTCAGCTCTTCTTCGACGATGCTCCAGCTCCGACCGTAAATTCGCCACATCAACTCTACCTCTACCTCTTATTGTGTTTTTCAGCTTCTAGTTGGCTTCAAGTAACTCTAGTAGGTCCTCCAGCTCCTAACCTTTTTACCACTATTAAGCTCCCCAATTCGGCTTTTTTGGTGTAGTTGAGCTCCTGGTTGGCTCCAACTGACTATTTCTGCTCCTCCAGCTTCTCCCTTCGTAATCTTAGCTTTTTGTGACTTTTTCAGCCCCTTTCTTTGGATCAAATTATCCGTAGTGAGTTTTGCAACTGTTAAAAGGTTCTCCAGCTCCCAGTTGCTCTAATTGATCCTCCAGCTCCTCACTTTCTAACCCTAACTTTGCCCTTTATTCTCACTATTCTCCGTAACTTATTATCCCTCAGATTTTATTAAATTCAACGATTCTTGTTCCCTTGTTCCACTTTGCTTCTACCTTTTCGCTTATATTGTATTAACTTCGCTTTTTCTTCAATAAATTCGAAAAATTGCGTTTTTGTTAAATTTTTGAAAGAAAATTTTTAAAAAAAGGGCTTAAAAAGGATCTTTCAGGAAGAGACTTGGCCCTAGAGTTTTTTTGCTTGTTCCATCATCGCTCCAAGTTGAAAAAAAATCATAAAAAAATTCTGACCCAGCCTATAAAATTTCAAAAAAATTATTCTCACTATTTTTTTAGTTTAGTCCGAAAAACTCTCGTAAAAAAACACATTGATTATGTTTTTAAAAAAAGCAAAAAAATAAATTCTGAACTTTCATATTTCTAGCATTTCTAAGGCTTTTTTTGCTAAACTTTTTGAAAGATAAAAAGCTTCCTATAAATTTTATAGAATTCATTTTTTTCAATCTTAAAATTTATCCTTATTCCCAAAAATTACGTTTTTTTGCGTTTAAACTACTTCAAGAATTGATAATCCAGTGTAAAAAAATATAATGATTTTTTTCCACTTTTTTTATATCATTTTGGTACGAAATAGTGCGAATTATGCGCCAATTAGCTTCATGGTTTTTCTTCAAAAAAATTCACATTATTTTTGTTGTGCATATATTTAGGTAAGAACTATCATCGGTTGATTTTTTTCGGTAAATTTTTTTCGAAAATATTTTCAACTATTTTTTTCCCTATTTTTTTCTCAACCTTTTTTTCAAATTATTCTATTGCTTTTTGTAGCCTACGCCGTGTGGGAAAAATTATAGTTTCCAAAAATATTAAAGCATCAAAGTTGGAAAAAAATCTGCATCAAAAAGTTTCATTCTTGAATAAAATCGTAAATTTATTATATACTAAAAAAGCATCGAAATCGGTGAAGTCAGCGTCAGAATATTTATTCAAATAAAATCAGAACACCAAAAAAGGATCGTAGTTTCGGTGATCTGTGTCAAAATTTTATTCAAATAAAAATCAGAGATGTAGTGAATACCAAAAAAAAGAATCGAAATTTTTGTAATCGCCATCGAAAGAGATATTATCTTCTGATAAAGCTGATATGGTGGAGAAATCATCCGTTAAAAAATTATTCCACGCGATTTTACAGAAAAACATTCAGCTGATACGTTTCGAACATTGGTTGCACCTCTTTTTTCCCAATTTTCAACTTCATTAGACTACAAATCAAGATAAATAGTTGGTAATCAAGAAAAATTGATAATAACTTGGGCATTCTAACAATGTAAATCGCTCTATTTTGCCTGGTACGTCCCGATAACCCACTTTATAAAATTACTTTAGTGAATCATTTCTTCCTATGAATTTTATCATTCATTCAAAAGACTCATCAGTTCAAGAGATAAAAACTCTCAAAATCCAAGATTAGATAAAGCTGAAGTATTATTCAACGTTCAAAATTGATCGTTAAAAAGAATGAAGTTTTGAATCCTCGTGTGAATTTTTTTCTCAATGAGATACGCCTTCCCCAATCTGGAACTCATCCAAGAATTGCTGGGACCGAGGTAAAGAAAAATCATATAAAATATGACAAAACGGTAAAAAAACGCAATTTATGTGCGCCATGATTTAAATTTTTTTACTTCTTTTGGCTTGAGGCCCAGACATCTTTTTACAATATTATATAAATTTTTTTATTATACACCAAAAAAAAGCATCGAAATTTCGGAAATCTGCGTCAAAAAAACTTTATTTAAATGAAAATTAGAGAGTTAAGATATATCAAAAAAGCATCAAAGTCTGAAAAGTCGGTATCGAAAGAGGCGATATATTCTGATAAAGCTGAGACTGTGGAAAAGTCATCCGTTAAAAATTTTTATTCGACCCGATTCAATGAAGAAACCTTTTTTCCCAAAATTTAACTTCTTCAGACTACAAATCAAGATAAATAATTGGAAATCAAGAAAATACATAAAAACTTGGGCATTCTAACAATGTAAATCGCTCTCTTTTGTCTGGTATATCTCGATACCCCACCTTATAAGGCTTTACTTTAGTGAATATTTTCTTCCTATGAACTTTATCATTCAAAAAACTCATCAATCGACTGATCTAGAGATAAAAAAACTCTCAAAAATCCAAGATTAGATAAACTGAAGTATTATTCAACGTTCAAAAATTGATCGTCAAAAGAATGAATTTTTGAATCCTCGTGCGAATTTTTTTCTCAATGAGATACGCCTTCCCCAATCTGGAACTCATCCAAGAATTGCTGGGACCGAGGTAAAGAAAAATCATATAAAATATGACAAAACGGTAAAAAAACGCAATTTATGTGCGCCATGATTTAAATTTTTTTACTTCTTTTTGGCTTGAGGCCCAGACATCTTTTTTTACAATATTATATAAATTTTTTTATTATACACCAAAAAAAGCATCGAAATTTCGGAAATCTGCGTCAAAAAAACTTTATTTAAATGAAAATTAGAGAGTTAAGATATATCAAAAAAGCATCAAAGTCTGAAAAGTCGGTATCGAAAGAGGCGATATATTCTGATAAAGCTGAGACTGTGGAAAAAGTCATCCGTTAAAAAAATTTTTTTATTCGACCCGATTCAATGAAGAAACCTTTTTTCCCAAAATTTAACTTCTTCAGACTACAAATCAAGATAAATAATTGGAAATCAAGAAAATACATAAAAAAACTTGGGCATTCTAACAATGTAAATCGCTCTCTTTTTGTCTGGTATATCTCGATACCCCACCTTATAAGGCTTTACTTTTAGTGAATATTTTTCTTCCTATGAACTTTATCATTCAAAAAAACTCATCAATCGACTGATCTAGAGATAAAAAAACTCTCAAAATCCAAGATTAGATAAACTGAAGTATTATTCAACGTTCAAAATTGATCGTCAAAAGAATGAATTTTTGAATCCTCGTGCGAATTTTTTTCTCAATGAGATACGCCTTCCCCAATCTGGAACTCATCCAAGAATTGCTGGGACCGAGGTAAAGAAAATCATATAAAATATGACAAAACGGTAAAAAAAAACGCAATTTATGTGCGCCATGATTTAAATTTTTACTTCTTTTGGCTTGAGGCCCAGACATCTTTTTACAATATTATATAAATTTTTTTATTATACACCAAAAAAAGCATCGAAATTTCGGAAATCTGCGTCAAAAAAACTTTATTTAAATGAAAATTAGAGAGTTAAGATATATCAAAAAAAAGCATCAAAGTCTGAAAAGTCGGTATCGAAAGAGGCGATATATTCTGATAAAGCTGAGACTGTGGAAAAAGTCATCCGTTAAAAAAATTTTTTTATTCGACCCGATTCAATGAAGAAACCTTTTTTTCCCCAAAAATTTAACTTCTTCAGACTACAAATCAAGATAAATAATTGGAAATCAAGAAAATACATAAAAAAACTTGGGCATTCTAACAATGTAAATCGCTCTCTTTTGTCTGGTATATCTCGATACCCCACCTTATAAGGCTTTACTTTAGTGAATATTTTCTTCCTATGAACTTTATCATTCAAAAAACTCATCAATCGACTGATCTAGAGATAAAAACTCTCAAAATCCAAGATTAGATAAGCTGAAGTATTATTCAACGTTCAAAATTGATCGTTAAAAAGAATGAAGTTTTGAATCCTCGTGTGAATTTTTTTCTCAATGAGATACGCCTTCCCCAATTTGGAACTCATCCAAGAATTGCTGGGACCGAGGTAAAAGAAAAATCATATAAAAATATGACAAAACGGTAAAAAAACGCAATTTATGTGCGCCATGATTTAAATTTTTACTTCTTTTTGGCTTGAGGCCCAGACATCTTTTTACAATATTATATAAATTTTTTTATTATACACCAAAAAAGCATCGAAATTTCGGAAATCTGCGTCAAAAACTTTATTTAAATGAAAATTAGAGAGTTAAGATATATCAAAAAAGCATCAAAGTCTGAAAAGTCGGTATCGAAAGAGGCGATATATTCTGATAAAGCTGAGACTGTGGAAAAAGTCATCCGTTAAAAAAATTTTTTTATTCGACCCGATTCAATGAAGAAACCTTTTTTCCCAAAATTTAACTTCTTCAGACTACAAATCAAGATAAATAATTGGAAATCAAGAAAATACATAAAAACTTGGGCATTCTAACAATGTAAATCGCTCTCTTTTGTCTGGTATATCTCGATACCCCACCTTATAAGGCTTTACTTTAGTGAATATTTTCTTCCTATGAACTTTATCATTCAAAAAACTCATCAATCGACTGATCTAGAGATAAAAACTCTCAAAATCCAAGATTAGATAAACTGAAGTATTATTCAACGTTCAAAATTGATCGTCAAAAGAATGAATTTTGAATCCTCGTGCGAATTTTTCTCAATGAGATACGCCTTCCCCAATCTGGAACTCATCCAAGAATTGCTGGGACCGAGGTAAAAGAAAAATCATATAAAATATGACAAAACGGTAAAAAAACGCAATTTATGTGCGCCATGATTTAAATTTTTTACTTCTTTTTGGCTTGAGGCCCAGACATCTTTTTTTACAATATTATATAAATTT